CTTATAAAATCTAAAAAATTATTACTATTATTATATAAGTACTACTCTATCCCTATCTATAAAGAATTCCTAGCCTCTCTAATTTATCTTAAAGCTAATTTCTACTACCTAAATTTCTATAGTCCCTATTAATCCTATTATTACTACTACTCCTACTAAAGATCTAATAAACCTATCTATTACTTATTATTTTAATTATTAAACTTAATACTTATATTACTACTATAGTAGTATTAACTATCTAGTAAATAACTACCTACACCCTAACTAAAGACTAACTAGCTATATCTCTATATTTACTACTAAACTAGACCTATACCTCCTATTAACTAGAACCCTGCCTGCTAAATACCTTATATCCCCTAAATTAAAAAATAGAGTATCTCTAACCTAAATTATAATTAAGAATATCTCTAGCACTCTCTCTACTTATTAAAGGCTGTAATAGCTAGAATAATAGTAGAAGAAGAAAATTACTAATTTAAATTAATAATCTTACCTATTAATCTAAAAATCTTTAATAAAATTTTACTAATCTTTACTATAATTAATTTTAGAGTTAAGAATAAATATTTTATAGATTATAATTAGATTATAAATAATTAATTAAAGATATTATTATTAAAGAATCCTATCTTATTAAGGAGATTTAATAATATTCTAGTAAAATCTAATTATATTATTTATTTTATTTATTTAATCTAAAAAATTTATAATTATACTAAAAAAGATATTACTTTTCTTATAACCTAATTTATATATTTTCTTATTATTCTTAGCTTATCTTAATTAAAGATCTATAACCCCTAAATTAAATTTATTAATTATATTATTTTATTTAAAAGTCTTTATTATAAAAAGTATTATAATATATCTCTAAAATTTATAAAAATTTTAATATTATATAATATATTACTAAAAACTTCTTTTTAATATTTTAATTCCTACCCTAAATCTTTAAAGAATTAAAATATTATTAAAGTCTTAATTATTACCTATATTATATATACTTACTATAGATACTAGATATTTATTATTATTATTACTAATATTAAAGTTATTCTAAATCTTATTACTATTACTAAATCTAAGCTATAAGAGTAACTACTCCTTAAGTTTACTAAATTTTATAATATATTCTTATTAAAGGAGGCTAAGTACCTACTATCTTATTAATCTAATAATTATAAGATTAAACTATTATTTAGAAAAATCTTATCTTTTAGAAATCTATATAATATATCTTAAGATAAATTAAAAGTTTTAAAGAAATAGATTAAAGAAAATTTAAAAAAAGATTTTATTTACTTTAATTTCTTCTTTACTATATTTCCTATCTTATTTATAAAAAAATCTAAAAAAAATCTATAATTTTATATAAATTATTAAGCCCTAAATATAATTATTATAAAAGATTATTACTTATTATTATTAATAAAAGAAATATTAAATAATTTAAAAGAAATAAGATATTTCTTAAAAATTAATATTATTTCTATTTTTAATAATTTATAGATTAAAAAAAAATAAGAATATCTTATTATTTTCTAAACTTAATTAGATTTATTTAAATTCTTAATAATATTATTTAGACTTACTAGAGCCCTAATATTATTCTAGAGATTTATTAATAAAGTTTTATATAATTATCTAAATATTTTCTATATTATATATTTAGATAATATTCTAATTTATAGCTAAACTTATACTAAATATACTTATTATATCTAATAAATATTAAAATACTTATAAATAGTAGGACTTTATATTAAATTTAGTAAATATAAATTTTTTATATATAAGATAAAGTTCCTAGAATTAATTATAGATAAAGATAGCTTTTAAATAGACCCTAATAAAGTAAAAATAATTATTAAGTAAAAAATACTAATCTATTTAATTAATATTTAAGCCTTTATTAGCTTTAGAAACTTTTATTATTAATTTATTTATAATTTTTTAAAAATTATTAAACTATTAATTAACTTAATTAAGAAAAATATTAACTTTAACTAGATATTTACTTACTAAAAAATATTTAAATAATTAAAAATTACTTTTATAAATATTTTAATATTAAAATCTTTTAACTAGTTAAAAGATATAATTCTAGAAATTAATATCTTTAATTATATATTTACTAGAGTATTATTATAATATAATAATAAAGATATATTATATTTTATTATATTTTTTTCTAAGAAATATTCTATAATAGAATATAATTATAAAATTTATAATAAAGAATTATTAGTTATTATTTATTACTTTAAAAAATAGTACCTTAAATTAAAAGGAACTTTATTACTTATAAAAGTTATTATAGATTACTAGAATCTAGAATATTTTATATTAATTAAGCTATTAAATTATTAATAAGCTTACTAGTCTAAATTTCTATTAAAATTTAACTTCTAAATATATTATTACTCTAGGAAGTTAAATATTAAGCCTGATATATTAATTAGGAGATTAGAGAATCTATTTAAGAAGAAGAATAAATAATTTCTTTATTAAAATTAGATTATTCTAAAATCTAAAAACCTACTACCTAAGACTATTATTAATCTAAGACTAAATATTAATAATTAATATTAAGTATATTTTATTAAATAACCTATTATTAATAAACTAATCTCCCTACTACTAATATTATAACTATTATTTAATAAAACTTATCTATAAGATAAAAAGCTCTAGTCTATTTTAAATATCTTAAAGAATAGTTTACTAAGATACCCTAATATTATACTAGCTAATTATAGATATACTAGTCTATATTTAAGATATTAAGACTAACTTTATATACTTAACTATAATAAAATAAAAGCTAAAATATTAAGATTTTATTATAAAAATCCTATTACTAGATATTTTAAAAAAATTAAGATATATAAATTAATATTATATAAATATTTCTAGCCTAGAATCTATAAATATATTAATTAATAAATCTAGAATTATTATCTTTATTACTAAATTACTTCTTCTTAAAAAATAAAGTAAGAAATATTAAAGCTTTTACTAATTTTTAAATATATTTAATAAAATATAAATATAGACTTTATTATATATTTATTATTAAATAATAACTATAATACTATTCTAGTTATAATTAATTATTTAATAAAGATAAAGTACTTCCTCTCTTATATTAAAATAATTAATATTAAAAAAATAGCTAATCTATATCTTAAGTATATTTAGAAGCTTTATAATATTCTTAAAATAATTATATTAAATTATAGAGTCTAATTTATTATTATTTTTTAAAAATATTTAATATCCTGCCTAAAAATCTATAATCTATTATTTATTATTTATTATTCTAAAATTAATAATTAAATTAAATATATTAATATTATTTTAGAATAATACTTATAAGTATATATATTATATTTATAAAATAATTAATCTAAATAATTATTAATAATTAAATTTATTATTAACTCTATTTATTCTAAATTTATAAGAGTATTATTATTTATAGCTAATTATAGATTTTATTTAATATTAAGATTTAAATTAAGTTATTTTATTATCTATCTTATTAAGAAAAATATTAAAAAATTTATTAATATTATATATAAAATTTATAAATTTATTTATATTAAAATCTTATTTACTTAAGCTTATTATAAAATATAAGCTAATTATTAAAGATAATCTATATATTACTATATTATAAGATAAGAAGTCTAGCTAGATATCTATAATATTTAAATACTTTATTTATAAAAAAAATTAAATTAAAAGAATTTTAAATTATATTATATTAAAAAGATTATTAACTTATATATTTATAAATTTAAATTACTTAAAAATATAAGAATTTATTTTATATTTAATATATTTTTACTTTATTTTATTATTAATAATCCTTTATTTAATTAATATCTTAATCTATTACTATTTATTAAAATAGAAGGATTAAAAAAATAAGAAATTAAAAAAATTTTTAATTCTTAATAAATTTATTAAAATTATAGTAAATTTAAGCTATAATATATTATTAAATAAATTAAATATAATAAGCTAATTAAAGAGCCTGCTAAATATCTAGAGAATATCTACTAACTAGTAAATAATTACTACCTTTATTATCCTAAGAAACCCTAGCTAATTCCTTCCTAGTCTTAATAGAGCTTAACCTTAAGGAGGGGGGTACTATCACAGCATGAAGCTATAGTACCTATCTAGTTAGATTCTGCCTTGACTATCTACTCTTATTCCTATATTTAAGCTATATTATTCTTAATCCTGTTATAGCTCTTCAAGCTATGTCCTATCTATTACCTGACACCTACTGTTCTGCTGTTCTGTCTGGTTAGCTCCTAGTCAATGAATATCTGAATCTGACTCTGCCCCCTGACACACCATGACACTTATATAGATAATCTTTTTTTCCTTCCTTAGATTCTATATTTAATAAATATTAATAAATTTATATCCTACTATATATCCTATAAATATTTTTAGGTTGAACTACTAAATATAAGTAGAAGAGATTAGCAAAGTAGAAAAAGAAAGTATATAATTCTCTACTCCCTTTGTGCTTGCAGGAGTTAATTTAAAGAGGAATTAATAATATAAGATATACTAAAAAAGCTAGAGAGTTTTTTTATTTTAATTACTAGTATTATTATTATTATATAGCTTCAAATATTAAAAAAATCGCGAAGAATATATGATCACGAAGAATGTGTGGCGCACCTAAAGCAGGTAGCGGTTTAGGTGGGCAGAAAGGCATGGATATAAGACTATATAAGTGGCTTGGTGTGGGGCGGGAAAATATACCTCCGACCCCGGCGGGGAGATTTGTTTGCTATAAAAAAAATTAAAAAAAAAAAAAAAAAATTCAATGGCGGAATGACTCATTTCCGATTCCGAGATTTATTGAAATACACTGAACTGAACACACGCCATTTACACTTGCTCCAGGAACCCCTCCCCCACACCCTATCTTCAAACAGAAAACATTTCAATCGACCACGGTAATCATGAACGCAGAGGAAAGGTTCGCTCTCATCACCGAAAACCTCGAAGAGGTCCTGAATCCCGAGCTGATTCAGGATATCCTCAAGGAGGGGCGAAACCCGAAAGTCTACTGGGGTACAGTACTCGTCTCCAATACCGCTCCCAATTAGACTCTGCTAATATGTTTCGTTTCTTATCGCGATAGGAACCAGCCCGACTGGCAAGCCTCACTGCGGATATCTGGGTGCGAAACTTGTGTTGCGATTTTATCCCCACTACCGGTTGTCCTGGCTAACTGGTGTGTGTCGATAGTGCCGGCCGTGAAGATTGCGCAGCTTTTGGCTGCAGGATGCGAGGTCACTGTGCTAATCGCGGATATTCACGGATTCCTTGATAATTGTGGGTAGAATCGTGTTCCTGGATTATCCGGCTTTATGAATGACGGGGCTAACCAAAGTCTCAAACACAGTGAAGGCAAGAGCTTCGAAGATTCGACCCGAGGGGGAACCGCAGTCGCTAACGTTATTTCCCGAATAGGCACCGATCGAGTTAGTGGAATACCGCGCCAAATACTATCAGTTCACAATTACCGCTATGCTCCAGGCTGTCGGCGTGTCGACCGAGAAACTCCGCTTTGTCCTCGGCAGCTCTTACCAAAAGAGCCCGGAATATATTATGGATGTGTACAAGCTCTGCTCGTTGGTGTCGGAGCATGCGGCGAAGAAAGCCGGCGCCGAAATTGTCAAGCAATCCTCGAACGCTCCTTTGAGTGGTCTTTTGTACCCCATCCTGCAGGTTTTGGATGAGCAGTATTTGGATGTTGATGTACAGTTTGGAGGTTCGTTTTTAAGTCCTTGTTTGTCATTCTTTGGGACAAAACTGAACTGCAGTAGGACTCGATCAAAGGAAGCTGTTTGCTGCCTCGACGGAATGGCATCCCAAGCTTGGTTATAAGAAGGTAGGTGCCGACAAGTGGTTCCTTGGATTGATCCTGCTCTGTGACTGACACACTCCCAGCGAAGCCACCTGTGCAATGTCATGGTCCCCGGTCTTACGGGTGGTAAAATGAGTTCCAGCGAAGAAGGTATTTTTAACTCCTCCTGTTATATGTGTCTAGGCAGTGTCCTAATCCCAAAAATTAGACAGCAAAATCGATCTTCTGGAGCTTGCGGACAGCATCCGGAAGAAGATCCGCAAAGCCCAGGCTGCTCCACGTGAGATTGAGAACAACGGAATCCTAGCGTTCGTACAGTATGTCCTTTTCCCGGCGATGGCCTTGAAGAGCCCGACCCCGGAGTTCCGCATCAGCCGTGAGCGAGATGGCCTGGAGCCACTCGTTTACACCAGCATCGAAAAGATGCACGAAGATTACAAGAACGATATTGTACGTTCATCTGCCCCCCCCTCCCCGAATTCTCTTTTCTGGATCGTTCGAACTAATGTATTGCTCGCAGCTATCACCACAATTACTCAAGCCTGCCGTTGCGGAAGCTATTGTGGAGATGACAGCGCCAATCCGTGCAGCATTTGAAGCCTCTGCTGAATGGCAGGAGGTAACGCTGAAGGCGTACCCACCACCACCTCCCAAGCAGAAGAAGGACAAGAAGAAGGACAAGGGATCGAGATACCCTGGTGCTGGAAGTGGAGAGACCCCTAACGGTGTAGAGCCGTAGAATAAAGCCTGTAACTAGATTAGATTTTTGGATGTCATGAATAATGATGCATTATATATTCTATCACCACCAAAACACGTGTAAATTCGAATCGAATTATTTAGACATAGTTCTAGTCTGGCCAATCTTGCCATTGGAGCATCAAGTGGTGGGCCATTATTTGGCTTCTAAATAAAATTGATCTCTTCCGGAGTCCTGTAGACTTATTTCTCAGATGTCATATACATAAAACAGTAGATCTGATCCATCATAGTAGTAATGCAATATTCACTAGTCTTGGATTCTTACTCCTGTAGAGTGTAGACTTGGGGATTGACTATTGATTGATTGGCCTTTATATCTATCCCCTTACTCGGTCCCCGATATCAGTTTCTCATTAATTGCCTCTATTTATTATTGCTTTACATTTGCTTGCCCCCCCCCCCTTTTTTTTTTTTTTTTTTTTCCCCCTTCCTCCTATACCATGGACCTGTTCCTGACCTACCGCACTCGCTCTTCCCGCTGAGTCCCGATCCCAGATCGCAATGCATACAAGATGTCTGCCCTGACTTCAGTCTGGTGGCCTGGAGATCGCGTGAAGGCGACCATCTGTCCCGACTATGTCTTCAATCACCTCCCTCCCAGTACTTTACCACGTCTGGTCTCTCCCTTGCCTTGGGGGGAAGGTCTGACCAACGAAACCTATCTCGATTGGATCCTGGAAAAAGCGGGGAGACTCTTTCTTATCTTGGTTGATATTGGAATCCCCGAGCGCATCTTTCACCTGGTAGACGAATCGCTAGATGACACCGATCTCCCCATTGCTGCACACAGCGTCGACCGTCTGCAGCTGTCAGCGAATGGGCTGAATAACGAGCTCGACTCCAAGTTCTTTCTCGCCCAATGGCGCTTCGTCGTGCGGGGGATCAGTGAGGGGAGTCATGTGGCATATACGGAGAATGAGGGTGTTCCGGTGGAAGCCATTCAGACAGGAACTGCCTTGGCGAGAGAGGGGGTCGAGAAGGTCGTCCTGGCGGGCTCCGTCTGTCGCGTCTTGCTGCGCACCCAAGTAACCATCGGGGGCGCACCGCATTTCTTCGATGAACAAGAAGTCCTGGAGGAGATCCGCTCTCTGAGGAGACTAGCCCACGACCACGTTTACTCAATCTACGCCTCCTACTTTGCGGACAATACCGTCTGTATTCTCTTCTCCGGTATTTATGAGAGGAATCTCATGTCCCTCCTGACCGATGTTCCCCAGTCCTTCAAACGCCTCCCAAAAGAACGGCGTCGCCAGATTCTGGTCAACTGGCCACATTGTTTAGCGCATGGCCTATCGTGGCTACATGCACATGGCCAAGTCCACGGCCTCATTCGTCCGTCTAACATCCTTGTCGATTCCGATTTTCGAATATTTATTGGCCAATTCGAGGCATTGGACACCTTATTGCCTCCAGTCAAAGTCGACGACGTCGAGTCTTATCAGTATGGGCCTCCTGAACGCTGGGTACGCTCCATAAGTGTACAGAATAGTGGCCAGACAGCAACTGTCCTCCCATCGGGCGGCCGAACAGGTCGTAAACTGGACGCCCGCCCGACCAGGCTGAGTTGGGCTCGCCTGAGAGACCTACATATCGCTGACCCGGAGATGTTGAGTCCACCGCCGGAGTCAGTCGCTTCCCACGGTACCGTAATCCGCGTTGGACCCCCGGGCTCTTCCTCGCGGTTTTCCTTTGGCATTTCTTCTTCTTCCTCCGGCTCTAGCAGCGGCAGTTCCCGCAAGCATAATATCTCTATGAAACGCCCCATTCTCTATACCCCATCTATCACCTCTTCCACCTCGTCCGGCTCTTCGGGTCAGGGTTCTATGATCTACAATTCTGTTGGGCTGCCGACGGCCCACACCAGCGGCGGAGCGCTTGTTCAGGTGTGGCAGTCTCAACAGACCGATCCAGAGGCCTCCGACATATTCTCCCTAGGGGCAGTAATTCTAGATATATTGACCTTTATGTGCAAGCGAAAGATCTCTGCTTTTGCTAGCCATCGTGGCGCGAAGAATCGCACCGCTGGCCGCGGCGGGGGTGCCGCAGACTGCTCTTTCCACTTCGATCGTAATATCGGCCAAGTGAGCTCGTGGATCACCCTCTTGGACAGTGACGCAAAGAAGCGCAAAGACCCGGTTTTCCAGGCTATTCGGCCGATGCTTGCTATGTCTCGGGATATGCTCTGCCGGGATCCATCCGGCCGACCTTCTGCCTTCCAAGTTGAACAGTTGTTCTCCTGTGCGATCAAAAAGACAGAGGAAAAGGTTGCCCTTCACTGCAAGTCCAACTTGTGTCCCCGTCCCCGAGGGCGACCTAATCAACCGCCTTTGCCAAAACCAGATAGACTGGCTGTCCCCCGGGTGGCATCTCGTTCGCGATCGACTTCCCCAGCCAGCTCATGCAAAAATCTTTTGTATCCTGAATCGACATCTACCACGAACCCCAGCTCCTCTGACTACGCAGATTCCTACGTAAACAGCGACACGGATATTGATCACCGTGAGTATAAACCAAAGATATCGACCAAAATGCGCTGGATCTCTCCAGATCGGGGATCAAGTCCAGTCACGGCCAATGATCCATCCTGGAACTACGGCAACGTTGTTGGGCGTTGACACCTTTTATCTTCATCTACTTTCTGCCCGTTTTCCTTCTGTCTTCTCACTTGGACAAATACCCCTTTTGCAATTTCTGGGGCTTTTTTTTTTTTTTTTTTTTAGCTCCCTTGTATTCTACAGGTATCTGACTGCTTCGGTTCGTTTTCTTGTCTTCCCTACTCTGCCTATATTTACCTCTTCCTTTTCTTTCCCCGGGAGACCTTCCGAAATATTATCCCTGTGTACCTCTTGGGTCCTGTCTTATCTTTTTTTTCTTTCTCTTGTCATGACTGGTTATGACTGGTTATGAAGTGATGATTCAGTCTCTATGATATCCTGGTGTCACTCTTGGTGCGGGTATGAACAGACATTTCTACAAACAGTGATTTAGTACACAGTATTGCAAATGCCTATAGACGTAGATATTCCGGATGCTGTCTCGTCAAGCTAAGCATCCCATCGATCATGCTCCATTCAAGATAAAAGCCTCCTGGCCACAGCTAGCTAGCTATCCCCCCATCCAAACTGCACAAGCACCCAAAATCCTCAACTGCGATCTGGTCAACTAACTGCGTCTGCCACGGGGTTTATAGGCAAGTATGTATATGGATGGATGTATGGATGTATGGTAGTATTATATAGTCCACTCTTATATAGTAACAACTAGTTGATGATCTGAAAAAAAAAAAAAAAACTTAAGGATATGAACGAGGAGCCCAGACAGTAGAGTAGAACAGACACCTGCTGCACCCCGGGTGATGTCGGTTGAGAATACCAAGGCAAATAAAATAAAATAAACACCAGGTGTCCGCACCAGTTACGATACAGGGTGGAACTCCCAACACAAGAGATTAATTAAGGACTAGGTAGTTCCATCTCATGGTTCATTTATTTATGTACGCGCTAAAGTTTCTACACTCAAGACTGGGACAACGCTGCCCCCAATCAACACGAAGATCCAAAGTGTACTACTACACCCCCGAGGGCTTGAACCCAGCCGGGATAGGAATACGATGCGCAGAACTTGCACTCGACATGATCACCGTGAGCTAGTGGCGCCAGCCCCTGGGATGTTGGTTCCAAGCTCTTCTTCCTTAGACACGGACTCATGCAAGGGCATGGCGCGGTTTCCTACCCGAGCGTTGGAAGAGGAGCATTCGGGTCCACGGCCCATCCACCAGCCGTGGGAGTAGGACATACAGGCGGCGTTATGGCTGGCACAGACTGGGCGTATTCCGACAACGCGACGCCCGTTGGGGAAACCTTATCCCATTGCTCTTTGAGATTATCAAAGTCTGGAGCCACGGGGGTAGGGATACCCTGACGAACGAATCCATCCTGAACCAAAGCCGGCGTAGCCCCGGGGTCCGTACCGTAGCTAATTAGCCCGTAGTCGTTGGCTTCCTCGATCCATTCGTAGATGATCGAGCCCGACCAGGTGTCTGACATCTCAGGGCCAAAAATGGCGGCTTGGTCCTCGAATGTGCGAGGTCGGGCTGCATTGCATCCTGTTTCGGAAAAGAAGATCGGGATTGGGTAGTCTTTGGCGTATTCCTGTAGCTGCGCGTATCCGGATTGTCTGTATGAAGACGGGCCGCACCATTCATATGCGTTTAGAGCGAAGAAATCGAGACGCTCTGCGGGGTCGGGGCGGCAGGCGAGGTAGTTCTGGAGCATGGGTCGGAGTTCAGCAATATCAGCGGCTGCATAGCCCACGGGGATATTCCGGTATCCTTGCTCATCGCGATACTGTTTGACATCGTGAGCTGCTGCTAGGACGTAAGGGGCTGCCGCGGAGCCTTCTTGGGAATTGAGAACCTCGTTCCCGATAAAGAAGCCTGCCGTATTGTTGTATTTTTGAAACTCGTCTAGGACGGCTGTATATCGGTCGAGTTGGGACTGAGTCCAGTATGGGGTATCCTAAGACCTACTGTTAACACCAGTCCACATCCTATACCGGGTGACTCGCCTGTTTAATGGAGGTATCGAATGTGTCGAGATCAACAAACAGGTAAATCCCTGCCTCTGCGAAAGCTTTCATGCAGCCATCATGGTTGGCATGAGGGTCGACATGGTACACGCGAATCGCATTGGCGCCCAATTGCGCCATGAGAGCAATATCACGCCGACATTGAGCGGTATCAATCAAAGGGTCGTCGGGAACAAGCTGATACGCAACGCCTTAAAATGAACCGAAGTGAGCGTCTCAATCTGGTTATGTTAGGCCATCGAAAACTAACCTTTGATGAAGTATTGGGTACCATCTTCGAAGAAAAACTTCGATCCAACTGCAGAAATCGTCTGGATCGCATCCACCTTCAGTACGCAAAAGCTCCCCAAAAGTAAAGCTGTCAACCAGAGCCCAAGCATCGTATATAGTTACCTCGACAAAGCCTGGTCAAGTGATTTTACCTCGGATTCCTGCAACAAGAGGCAGTCTTGAGTATCTGATTCAATGCCCTGAATTGCCCGACCCAGGAAACGGTTGCAAAAATTGAATAGGCCATGTCCTACTTGGAGGAACGAAGGACCCTCTCTTTAAGCTGGCGCGATTCTATGAGATCACCCAGATGTAGGACTGTATCTCAGCCATGTTGGAGACAACATGCATACCAATGCCCCTGGACATAACATGACGTCAAATGGTATTATTGCTCGTCGCGACCCAGATTAACTCTGCCTTAGTCAATTCTTCGGGAAAAGCATAGTAGATTGGAATCTGCCGTTGAGTGGTTAGGAGTGTTTCGGAGGAAAGAAAGGGATAATAAGAGGGCATGGCGAGGTATGTAGGTATGTCACAACGAAGGGAGGTCGAAACCAGCGTCATAACTTAATCGTCCCGGAATGGCTTGCAAGCTACTCCGTAGTTTATTTACTCTAAAGTAAAAAAAAATCACATTTAACCGGACTGCCGATTAGTTCCAACTGCACGAGCCTCTGGCATTCTATCAACCAAGACGCACGGCCAAATCTATCCCCAACAAGGTTAAATTCCCCCGATGAAAGCCCGTCTCCCTGGCACTAAGACATTAGGAGTTTGTACACCTTACAAGGAATGCAGAATCCTTTGCTCATCTGTCTTAAAGCAATTGATGTGATAGGCGCTCTCAATTCGTGGGGTTGCTGCATAACCCACTTCTCTGGCTCCGAAAGAGCTGCAAAAAAAGCACCATGGACTATCAGCGAGCCTCTCATCAGCACATGATACTTGTATCGAGCGCGATGCAACCGGAGTCCATGAAGAAGGAGTAAGTTGACCAGATGACGGGCTATTTCGGGATCACCCCGATGGATATTGCCTCGCCCCATTTCTGCCTACCAGGCAAAGGATAGTATAATAGCAAGCTTGGAACAGTCAAGAGACCTATGACCAGCCAAAAAGAAGCCTGCGCATTCTTTCTTCGAGTAAAACCAACTTTCCGGATTCAAGACCTGATACCTATCCACCAATATGGGAACTCAAAGCATCAAGGCGTGGTGGAAGGAAAGCACTGTATATCAAATTTACCCGCCATCGTTCTGCGACTCCAATGGCGATGGGGTTGGTGACTTGAACGGCATCATTTCCAAATTGGATTATATCAAAGCTCTCGGGGCGGATATTGTTTGGCTGTGTCCAATATTTAGCTCTCCACAGATCGATATGGGCTACGATATTTCCGATTACTATGGTATTCATCCGCCCTATGGAACGATCGAGGATGTGGATCGTCTGGCTGCAGAGCTTCATAAGCGAAGTATGAAGCTAGTGCTGGACTTGGTAGTAAATCACACTTCGGATCAGGTGTGTATAGATTGTGCTCACGAGGTCGGCCCACCGGCTAATATCAAACAGCACCGGTGGTTTCAAGAGGCGCGTTCGTCCAAGGGAAACCCATATCGTGACTGGTATATTTGGAGGAAGCCGGTATTTGGGGAGGACGGAAAGCCAAATCCACCAAATAATTGGGAGTCATATTTTGGAGGTCAGTAACTGAAATCTGTGCCGCTTAACACGCTATAAAGTTCTTAATTTTTGTGCAGGTAGTGCTTGGGAGTACGATGAAAGCTCTGGGGAGTACTACCTCCATCTGTTTGCCCGGGAGCAGCCCGATTTGAACTGGGAAAACACCAACGTCCGGGATGCAGTTCATGACATCATCCGATTCTGGCTTGATCGAGGTGCAGATGGGTTTCGAATGGATGTCATCAATTTCGTTAGCAAAGACCAGGCTTTCCCAAATGCCCCAATAGTGATTCCAGATTCACTGTGGCAGCGCGGTGCCAAGTATTACGCCTGTGGACCGAGGCTGCATGAGTACCTGCAGGAGATTGGCAAGATCCTGAAAGAGTATGATGCATTTTCTGTGGGCGAAATGCCGGATGTCAATGACGTTCAGGAGGTCCTGAAGGCTGTCGGGGATGACCGTAGCGAGCTGAGCATGATCTTCCATTTTGAAGTGTACAACACCCACTCCTCATACTCGAGGTAGTCGGGTTTGAAGCCTTTGCTAACAACATTAGGGTTCATCTTGATCACGGCCCGAAAGGCAAATTCAGCGCCAAAACATGGAAGATGCGCGAGCTCAAGTCCGTGGTCTCCAAGTGGCAGACATTCATGTACGAGAACAAGGGCTGGAACGCGGTATACCTTGAGAACCACGATCAGGGCCGAACCGTTTCAAGATTTGGCTCGGATTCTCAAGAGCATCGTGCCTTGTCTGCGAAGATGCTTGCAACCTTTTTAGGGCTTCAAAGTGGTACCGTCTTCGTCTATCAAGGCCAGGAGCTCGGCATGGCTAATGTCCCAAGAAATTGGGGAATTGACCAATACCGTGACATTGAGACGTTAAACCATTGGGCCAAGTAAGTGAACTATTGAACGAACTTCCTTCCACCTTGCGTTGCTTTATTCCCTGTGCGTTACCTAATATTTCATAGAATTTCTGGCAGCAGCTCCGACAAAACCGCACTACAAGAAGCTAGCTTAGCCGAGTATCGGCTCAAGTCCAGGGATAATTCACGAACACCCATGCAATGGAATGGCTCACTTTATGCTGGGTTTTCTACTAAAGAGCCCTGGATCTCTGTGCATGATGACTATCGGATATGGAACGCGGCGGCTCAGGTGAACGATCCCACTAGTGTATACCACTATTGGGCGGATGTTTTGCACCTGCGAAAGAAATTTGCGGAAATCATTGTATACGGCTCTTTTAAACTCATCTCCCCGGAGGACCCGGATATTTTCGCGTACACACGCTCCATACCCTCGTCTCCAACTGTGGCCGTGGTTGTTGTGAATTTCCGCCCACGTCAAGTAACCTGGCCTGTCCCGCTGACACTGGACCTATCTCCATCCGGAGCCGTAGTGCTTTCAAATTACCATAGATGTGAAGCGTCACCATTCGGCAATTCCAGTATTGCTTTAGAACCATTTGAGGCGTTTGTTTGGGTCGGGACACTTGGTTCTGAGTTCACATCCTAGCGATGAGAAGAGGGTGCGCTTTCTGAGACAATTGAAGAGATATTTTTATCGAGTCCCCGCTATGATACAAATTGGGAGATTTTAAATATCACGATCCGAAGTAAGCATTGGACAAATTTGGAGATGATGTATCTGATAGCGCCCGCATCGCTCCGCCCGATCACTTCGGAGGAAGCTGGGTGCCTGGGTCTCCAACCAGCTTATTGTGGCTTGAGCAATAAATTCAATAAACCACTTTGATAGCGGCTGAACTCGATATGATTGGAGCCACCTTCGTAGAGCCAGCGCCACAGCGACACCCAAGCGACCAAAGAGCATTTTGGGACAAGGACAACCGACGCGAACGTATTGACCACTTGTTCTCCGAGACATTGACAGCGAATGAAATTGTATACCACATCCGACTGCATCGAGGAGGTGTATCTCGGGAGTTGTCATTATTGGTAGGGCCTCGGGGCCCTCCGCCAAGAATAGAAACAATAGTGTGGAAAAATATAGATCCGAGACAGCAACCCAATCTTCAGCCCTGTAAAGATGCGATATTGCTGGCAGCCGAGAGGAAAGTCAAGCCTGTCTGTCGTTGGGCTCATTCACCTGGTGCAGGCCTAGGGTCGCCTGTCTGCTATGTAATTGAGCCCCGATCACCGCCAGAAATCAATATTCATGCTTCACTCTCCCGATAGAAGCCCATCCGCAATCATGTTTATCGCAAAGAAAGGTATCCGGGCAACAACGGACCAATTGCGAGTCGGTCGCCCCCTTTCCCCCCCCATTGCAGGGTTCTAGGATACTAGCAGTACTCCGTATCGTCATTCGGAATATGAACAGAGCGAAATTCTTGGCACCGATCGAGACCCTGGCTGGATCCACCTCCCAGCAAATATCATTGCGGTCTGCTGGAAGCGAAACTTCGACTAATGTCCACGGTGCTTCCCTAGAAAGAGGGGAACGGGAAGCGAGAGCATGTTCGTCATGAAGGACGCTGCAAATTTTCTGGCTTTGCCACTGATGTAGTAAGTAGTAACCTGAGATGAAACATCTTGGGGATTCAGAATCAAGACACAATGAAGATCAATAGGGGTATTTCAACCATCGAGTAATAGATTAATGAAAATCGATCCACTAAGTTGTAGAGATTGTGGATGTTTCTAAAAGGGGATCGACGTGGGCTTGCGTGGATAACGGGGCCCTCACCTGACTTGGAAATTAGAAGCCCTTCCTCCTCCTCCCCCCCTTTGCCCGCATGCGTGAACAACAAGCAAGCGGCTTCTCAGCAATCTTAGGGAAATTATTGTCGCTTCTGTTTTCAGCTCCTCTTCTTTCTTCCTTTTGGCGCCTCTTCCTCTACTTTCGTCTATATATCCCGTTCTCACTCAATTCAATTGTCTCTTCTTTTTTTGTTCTTCCACTCTCTAACTTGTCTAGACCATGCAATCCGTGGTACTGCCTTCCCCTAACGTCACCTGTTCGAGAAAGCTTCGTTATTTGCTCTACATTGCCTGATTGGCCGCGGATCTTACAACGTTTGTCATAAACGTCACCTCGTTTAGGAGTTGGTTGCCTTCCAAATTGTAATCTCGTAGATTACGTCTGGCGGGATCAGGATCATTCATTCCCCTATCTAGGCTCACATTCATATATCAAACCCCTCCCCCTCCCCCCTTTTTCTTGGTTCGCCAACGGTGCGGTCAAATTGTCAGCCGCAACAATGTCGTCCAGGAGCACGCCTTCTCCTTTCCGCATTTCCCGAAAGGACGGTGAGAAGCTGGATAGGAATGAGGCCTTTAGGGCCATTCGGGAGAATTTGAGGCGGCAGGAGTTGGGCATAGAGGCACCTAGGTTTGTTGCACTGGCAAACACAGAAATATCAGCTGAATCTAACCACGAAGAATCGCAGTTTTTGTTCTTCGCACCGGTATGAATGTTCGGTCCAGGGCCAAGAAACATTTCGCCTGCATCGGGACGTTATCCATACTCTCCTATTGCCCCTATTTGTGCTCCATAACCAAGCCTCTCGTATTGCAACCAGTGTTCTACCGAGTCATAAAGGAGCGGAATCAGAGCGCGCCTTTCGCGGTGAAGCTCGTAGTGCGTATGCTTGGCTGCATTGCATCCTCAGTGAAGAGCATGATTGGTACTTGACGGAGCGCTGCCCCGCCTGCATCGTCCTGCACGTCCTGCATTCTGAGCCCACTATTCGCTTTGTGGCCGTGGCATGTCTGTTGTCAGACCACTTACTTGGCCTGGGCCTACTGAATTCCAACAGGCGGTTGCCTAGCTTTGAATTTTGGCTCGAAGCGCTGGAAGCTGCTGTGCGCGAGGATCCCTTCTGGGGCGACGATTGCTGGCCGGACATCGAATATCGGGCATGTTCGCTGACCGATGGCGTGAAGCAACTTGTCCTGCAATGTTTGGAGCTCCAGACAGCTCTAGACAGGCAGAACCTGCAATCACCAACGTCGTACAAGGTCAACCTACGTTTTGGCTGTGAATCATCTCAAACTCTGCCAACCCACTCGGTTCCTGGGGTGTCGTCAGACGGCACACAAAGGCCCCTCGTGAATGCAGAGGACCATAAACAGTATTCAAAAATCGCCGCGAACCGATGTCTGCAATTGCATCGGAATGACCGTCCACGGAGGTTTCATACGAGGCGGGCTGGTGACTCACGAAGCCGGTCGGTAACTTCTTGAGGAAACGGAGATGTACGGGCGATATACCCGACTCTCAGATTATCTCCTAGCCACCTTCAGAGTGCAACTCAGCAACTCTATCCTGATAGGTTCCCAGAGTTGGGCTGAAAATAGGGAGCAGAGGAATGGACCCGAGACCCAAATTAGGGTTACGTAACCGATTCTTGTCCCACGATGACTCACACCCAGGGCTCAAAATTATCGTATATAATTAAGAGACATTCCCAATTGCGTGGATAAAGAGCGATCACGGCCTGTTCAAGCGACCCAGATTCCTCGATCTACACAATCAACCTAATCCCGACCACGTCAGCCATCATGCCCACTTCCGGTTCCCCGAAGCAAGTCTACTCGACCTCGTCACCCTTCGAGGAAAGAATCGGATATTATCGAGCTGTCCGCCACGGCCAGCATGTGTTTGTATCCGGTACCACAGCAGTCGACCCCACCTCACCCAGCAATGCCCCGCAGATTCTCTTTCCAGGCGACGCACGGCAGCAGACGCGCGTGGCGCTTCAGGAATGTATCAAGGCAGTGCAAGCCCTCGGCGGCAAGGGGGCGGAGAACGTGGTGCGGGTGAGAATGTTTGTCAGTCGCCCAGAGGACTGCACGGCGGTGGGGGAGGGATTCACAGAAGTCTTGGGGCGACAGAACCACCCTGGTGTTGGAGCAGCGGCGACGATGTTGGTGGTGCGGGACGGGTTCGTGGATACGAGAATGCTGGTCGAGATTGAGGTGGATGCAATTGTGGAAGAGAAGTGATTTCATAAATTGACTCTACGCTCAAGGCATCTGCGTATCGTATGATATGGCCTAGATATAATTGTGTCATCTCCCATGTCATAGGCTGAGCAAAAGCAGAGACGGTGATGCCTACCTGTGCCGGTCCTCAGATATCTGCATCCGGATTAGTACCACAATTATCCATGCTTAATAACTCAACCACATAACTCGGCACTCTCTCTCTCTCTCTCTCTCTCTCTCCATCTCAAATAAAGAATCAAATAGCCAAGTACGGAGGGTACTGTACTTAAGGGCGGATAGTCAACCACCTACCCCTCCCAACCCAAGAGAGATGGAATCTAGCGAACAACCCCAACGGTCACAGCATGGTTCCATCCCATTGGGGCAACAACCGTGACATCGGGCGGCAACTCTTAACATCACTGCTCTATACTTGAGACAAGTCATAGTGGGGACACGGCAGAGGAGAAGAAAAGTGTGTTGGTGGACTTGAAGGGATTCAGGCGATGGTGTTACACTGCCTTAAGGTACGGTCCTTAGTTAGGTATGCTACGTACATCCACAGGTACATAGATACATAGATACCTACATTATAGTATACACAAGCTGTACGACTACTTGGCACTTGGCACTATCACTCTATAACCTCAGCACTAGACTAGGTATTTTGATCTATTATACTCGATTCTCAAAGATGTCCTCCGTAGGTTCGGGTTACCTTACGTAGCAGTATACGTCAAGCACTGTACTCTGTACTAACCTAACTCCCGAGTCGAGTACTCGTACTAGTAGTAGGTACGTAGTTGGAAGTGAGTCCCATGGAATGAAGTGTTTGAGGTTTATCAAGCTCATCTCATCTACCAAGATACAATGAATTAGCTCGTTAATTAGGTTGAAATGCGTGTTAATTTCTCTCCATTTCTATTGATGACTAACTCGTTCTTGAATGGAAGACGGAAAATAGATTAACGAGAAGAGGAGAAGAAACCGTATATCCTACTGGGAGGTACCTAAGTTACCGATGCATGGCACTTGCTGCATCTTGCCCGAAAAGGACACGCGACTGATATGTTCCTCCATGAGTTGTGAAAGTGATGAAGTGGCATAAAGGGATCATCATTTATTGGTTTATTTAATCTATTTAGAATCTGTACTATACCCGTACCATCGTACCATGGTAGTTAGTTACCTAGGTCGGTCATCATTGATCGGGCTTTTCGTCCTCTTCGTCATATTAGGGCTGTCGAGCCTCAACACCAGAAAGAAATCAAATCTGGATTGAGGACTGGATAGGCGAAAAGGTACGAGGGAAAATACCTGCCAATAAAATAGATGCTCAGAACTGCAGATCTTTGCGCAGTAATCCAGACTCGGAGAAAGGAAGAAAAAGAAAAGAAAAGAAAAGAAAAGCGGATCGCTTCGGCAGCACAGAGCAGGGCCTAGAGGGGACCGGCTAGATTATTGGCTGCACGGCGAAGGCGAACCAAGGGGAGACCAGAGTTGTCGACGTCAATCATTTTCATTTTCATGCATGGAATCATATTCATTGGAGAGGGAATAATTTGCATCCCTGGTTTTATGAGATAGCTTTGGGTCCGTGTGAAAAATGTTGGTACTATTTTCCAGATCCTGTACACATTATTCGCATTATTCGCATTATTCGTATTATTCGTATACTCTCTACCTTGGAGTAGTGATACGAGTAGCATTCAGGTACTCCGTACAACCCGAGGTGGTTCCAGTCACCAGACAACCTTACCACCCAGCGTCTATTGATAGTCAAAAAAGTTCCAGAGTATTCTATTATTGCAATTGAAGAAATTAAAAGAAAACATGAGATCCACGATGGTGGCAGGTTTAGAGAACCAAAGTATGCAAGGCATCAAATCAAGTATTCCTTACCATCACACCTGCCTACAGTAAAAAAGCCAACCAAAAGAAGAAAAAAGTAATTCTAATAACAAATCAATACTAATAATAACTAGTTAATTATAACCTCAGTAATTTATCCCAGACCAGCAATTATTTTATTATTATTTTTTTTTTCTCCATCGATCCTCCTTTCCAGTGGGGCGGTCAAGGTCCGTGTAATTCCCGTTTACGGTATCGTTGGATCAGCCACTATGGAGGGTCTAGACACATCGGTTGGGATTAGGAGGATTAGCTGCAGGAGTCTTGACTAGGAAGATTTGTTGAAAGAAAGAAAGAAAGAAAGAAAGAAGGAAAGAAAATATGAGAGAATATAGAAAACAATCTTTTCCTTGACCCTCCCGTAAATAAAGAAAGAAATAAAAAATGACTATGTAAATGGAAATGAAATGTCCTCGTGTCATCCATCCTGGATTAGTCCCTGGTCTAGAACTCGTTCACCGGAACGAGACTGCGAGACTGGAAGAGTCTGGCCCTTGAGACCTTCATTTTCCCAGCGTCATTACTTTTACTTACCTGCTGCTCACTTGCTCTCACCCTTCAACGGTCCCTTTCCATCCTTTTCTCTCTCTCTCTTTCTTACTTTCTTTCCTTTTCCCTTCAATCTCCTTTTCCCCCACCGTTTCGAACCTTTTCTGCCCTCCTCTCATTTCTCTAACCAAGTCTACAACCTAGCTGTATATATCCCTCCCATCTTCTCTCACTGGCTATTCCCCTCACGCATTCTGACGGCGACTATCACCTACGACGGCCACTACTACTAATACGACGCCTTGCATTCATTCCCTCATCCATCACTCGCCAAATTTTTCTATCGCTCCCCATTCGACAGATTTCTTGGATATCCATTTGCTCCTGGTTGCCTGCTCGTTGCCCATATAACCCCGACACAACCTGGATGAATTCTCCACAGTGCCATGGACCGTGTCTGTCTGCCTCAGCGGTGCGAAATAGCTCTGTCATGCGTTCACCGTTCTCGTCAGATTCACCATCAGATGTGTCCACAGAAGCTGGCACTTCGCATCAGGGAGTCGTGCATTCACCAGAACAACAACCTTCTTTACACCTCAACCTTCCCTCATCGTCACTGCCCCGATCCCTCATCGGCTCGAGCCGACTCAAGCGTCGAGCTTCACAAGGGTCGATCCTCACCAAACCTTCCACAGTCTCCCGGTTCCTCACCCGCAGTAGTGCTGCTCTACACCCACCAACCCTCGATACGGTTGGTTTGTCCACAAGAATAGAGTCTCCATCATCCGATCTTCGCATCTCTACCTCTGCCTCCTCTGCCTCGAGTTCGCTGGCGGCTCGAGCATCCCAATCCACTTCAGCCTTGTGGGATCCGACGTCTAAAACAAGCGACTACCCTTCAAATCTCCCTCCAACCCCACCCTCAGACGACGAGCACAGTATAGCGTGGAGCCCTCGAAACGGAATGCTACTCTTCGAATCACCCATGAACCGGGAGCCGGGCCCAACGCCCATGGACGAGGGCCCAAATATGGACAACACGTCGGGGAGGGGACATTCGGACAGCATTGGTAGTCCGTCTGAACGGCTATCAAACGCATCGTCCTCGAGTTCTGGCGACAGCAGCCCCAGGTCCTCAGGTGATATGGATTGCGACCACCCTTCATGGCTAGAAAATGGAGTGCAAACAACAGGTAAGTCCTGGGCCAATAGAGCCATGTCAAAAGAGGAAGAATTAGGGGGGGGGGGGGGGGGGGAAGGGAAATATTGATATCTAATTTTGGAGTAGTATCATCCCTTCCGTTCTCGGATGGCCGAGGAGAAGCCGTCAAGATCGTTTCCCAGATGCTTCCGTACCCGTGCCCAGCGGATAAATCAACCAGCTCTCAAAGTGAAGAAAGTGTCTTTTGCTCCATTATCCAGGCCGTCCAGCACCGCCTGCAGCATGGACAGTCCCCATACGTCAACATCACACACGCTGTTCCGGAGCAATTCAACGTCTCAAATCTTCCCCATTCTCCTCCCAACACGCCACGGCCCCTTTTCCCCACAGATGATTATTTCCGGCCAACTGCTGTCTTTTCCAGCGCGGCCGTAGTATCCGCTTACCACGACTTCCGGGGCCCTATTCAAGCAAAATCCCCGCATTTTCCTGTCCCCGTTGTACCCCCCTTCAGCGTCCATGTCTCAGTTCTGGAACGATACCTTCCCCCATCATCATATCAAGAATACAAAGACCTTTTCTCCCCTCATCGGCCGTCATTCTTGGTGGATCGACTGAGCGAGCTCTCACCAGATGGCGGCTCACTCCTCTTCATCTACCCCACAAGACGGGGTGCCTCAACCTTCAAGTCACAGTACCTTGGGCCCATCCTTGATCCGTTACTTCGACAACTGGTGGTCGTCAATGAACTGTCCGCTGAAATCAGTCGGTATCTTGGCAAAGTTTCATCGGTCGCTCACATGGATGACTTTGACACGATGCGTGAGAACCTCGAGCGGCTCTGCTGTGAGTTGAGTTCGTCGTCATCGCGATTTGATGTCGTCGATGCACGCAAGGGTAGCATTCGTCTTGACCGCAAACTCTGGACCGAGTGGTATATCCACCAAGACAAGGCTCGTATGAAGGAGGTGATCAGCCTCTACTGGCAGAATAGCCGCCGTCTCCCGGCAGCCAAATCAGTACCAAACACTGCCACCAATTATCTCTTGGAAGGTAAAGAGGTTACATCTGCCATGTTGCTCAGTGACATTCTCGACGGTATCCGAAGGCGACCGTACGGTGAAGAGATGGAGCCTAGAGACGGGATCGAGTTGGGGGTTTTCGTGGTCCGTCGGTCTCACTGAACCCTCCTCTCTCTGCCTCTATATATATTTTCTTTCCTTCTGTTCTCCTACGTGTTTTTTTTTTTTTTGGAGTTAACCAAAAGGAGGTCATCATGGCGTTTTTTTGGCATCGGGATAGGTATATACAGCTGGCCTATCATGGATGAACTGCATTACTATCATTTATGATTGATATCATTGGGGGGCATTGGACATGGAATAATACCCGGATTGATTGTTCTTTTTTTTTTTTTTTTCTTCTTTCCATTGTTTTATGTGCTGTCTAGAAACAAGACATATTCTAGCGGGAAGCTTTTAGAAACGAATAACTATAACAGTATAACTATGTACATTGTACACAATGATTTAACCCTAGTACTAGTAGTGTAGAAAAAATACACTAGGAATCGGTACTCGGGTAAAAATCGGCTGTATTACAGTTACCAAAGCTGGCGTTGGTTAGAGATGACGGAGGTCACCTGGGCGGTCAGATTGGATGCGCCCCGCTAAACCAAAACAGGCATGCAAGACTGTCGCTCTCTGCTTCACGGTTGTCTGTTTCTCCCTCTTCTGTTGGCTCTCTTTCTCTCCTCCCTCCTCGGCCTACTTCTGTTTGTTTTCCATGTATACTCCTTCTATCTACCCTCTAACTCAAGAAAGATCTATGTTCAGCGAGTCCCGATTCATGCTGTAGCATCCCTCTCCGCAAAGTCTTTTCGCTCTTCGCATTCCCACAGAAAGCACCTTGACAGGCCTATTCCTCGTGACGATCTTCTGCCTGCCAGCCAGCTAGCTCACACGAGCCATGGCCTACTCTCCTGCCCCAGGATCTCCTATCACCGGGAGTGGGGTCCCAGTCATGTCTAATGGCTTGCACTCGAGGGGCCGCTCGACCAGTCCTCTAACCAGCTTGCCGCTCTCCAAGCGGGACAAGCGACGCAGCGCATTGCAAGAGCGTCTGCATGACCTCACAGCCTCGTTCAGCCAGAACCGCGATACCCAGTTTCGCCAACAGCTGCATGCCCTTCAGTGTGACATGACCTTGATCAACAATGCTGACCCTTACAACCCGGGCCCGATCCCGGATTCGGCTGAGGAGATTGCACAGTTGATCGAAAACACCGTGGGGGGTGGTAAGTTCGCAAAAGAAATGGCTAGTTTGGCGGGCATGTGGTATGCGCGCTTTTTGCAGGAAGTCAACCAGGTCAAATCGGATAAAGATGCCGACCTGGCCATGTTGGTGGTAAGATCTCGCTTTCCGTTTTCCTGCTCTAGCGCACCCAACCCTAACAGAACTTGCTTTTTGGGGGGGGGCGGGGAATATAGCACCGTCACAACAACAATCTCGAAAGATTCCAGCGCGAATATGCCTTTCGAGCTCATTTTGCCGAAGAAGAGTACAATCATCTCTCCTCCACGCTCCGCGAGCGTCTTGTTCAGACCCTATCCGGCAAAAGAGCTCGTCTCATGAGAGAAAAGGAGCAATTAGATATTGCAGACACGAACGCACTCCTCCTCCACCCCAATCAATTCAGTATTACCAATCCCGCTAGCCCCGGTGGACTTCACGGCAACCGCAAAACCCGTCATACTCGTCATCGTGTCGATCTGGATGAGTTTGGCAACGGAATCATGTCCGATCACTTTAATAAGAGGAAAAGAAAGGCGCCCGAGGACGAGGTTGGGTCACCGGTGCGGGATGGGGCCTTTTCGCTTCCTGCGGAACGTGCTAAGGCTCAGATAGCCCAACAGCAACACGCGCCCACCTACTCGATCAATTCGCTCTTCACAGAAAAGGAACTTGGTGCACATGCAAACCAAGCCCATATCGCTACAGTTCACTTCTTTTCCACCTCCAAACGCGCCGATCAACCATCGGGGGCAGCAACCAACGGGAATAACACTGATGCGGATGAGGCATCTGGTCTGGACGGTACTGGGGCAGAAGACAATGGCACTCCAGCCACAGATATGGCACGAACTGCCAGCCAAAACTTCCATGCCACGCGCTCAACCCGAACGCACGGCAATCACGCCCTTAATGCGTTGGCTGAACTTTCTGATAAGCCCGCAGTCCGTCCTAATCTCCCGTACAACATTCTCGCCAACTACCACGCCCGACCGAGCAACAACGGTGCTCCCCCGCTGCCTCCCCTGATGAACGAGGAAGTGGACGATGACTGGGCTCGTATGGATAGATTGCACAACAAACCCCAAGGTCATGTCGATAAGGGTCTCGTCCATCTTCTAGTTGACCCCGTGCCGTCAGAAGTAGACGGAGTTCCGCAAACCCCTAACCGATTCAATCTCCTACACCCAGCCTTCCCCACAGAAATGGGCATGCATCTATATCCGCTAAGGAAGGATATCGGAGAAAGCCACGAGCGCACAAAGAAGACAAGAACTGGCTAAAAATTCGGTTTTTCGTCACTTCTTCTGGCGTTAGTTTGGGGGGGGTAAGCAGGCTGATATGATATGATACACACACCAATGGGCGTTTTGGGGTTGAATTGGCGCATAAATTAATTGGACCATAATTTTGCCTTCACTTGTCAATTTCATTTTTTTTTTTCTTCTCCTTCTAGGCTTCTACATACTTTCCCCACCATGCCATAATATTTCCTTCGCTTCTTATAGTTTACATGTTATGGACGCATCGCCTGCCTGCCTACTACCTTCCTACTTACGACCAATCGCGCAGACAATTCTTACCACCCACCATCCACGACAGCATTACAAACGCGGCATATTCAGTCCAGAGCCGCCGTTAAGCTACTAAATACAGATTCATTGCCCTTACACTTATATATTTGCATGCTAGATAGACCCTTCTATCTCTCTCCGGATTCCAGCTTGTCTGCCGGTATTCTAGATAAAGCTTTCACTTGGTAACTGAGGTATTAGGTTGGTTTGCCGGATGGATGGTTCGTTCATAAGCTATATATATATACTGTACTCTGTACCGGTCTCTTTGCTTTCTCTGTTTATAACAACATGGCTTAGTACGACTAGTAGCTAATTAGCATACCTAGGTATTTATTACTGTTCTCTACTGTTCTCTACTCTGTCTATCTATCTATCTATATTCGTATTTCCAAGCTAAAGCTGGGTCTCTTCTCTATAGTAAGTAATACAGCAATGGAATACTGGGTAATCTTTTTCAACGAGAAGAGGTGGATTCGATTATCGGTTGGGTAGGGTTGAATGAAAGGTAGTAAGGCGTCAAGATGCATGGATAGCTAGAGCGATAGATAGGTTGATTGATAGATGGAGAAAACCAAGGTAAGTAGCAGTACCCTAGTACTAGGAGTGGAGAGGTTGGGGTGGTATTAGCATTGAATGTTGCGAGCAAGAACGCAAGCCATATAGGTATATATATATATATATATATATATATAAGGTATGCATGAGGTAGGCAGAGAAAAAAACAGAAAAAGAAGAATAAAAAAGAAAGAAAATATATAGAGAGAGAGAGGGCCAGAAAAGAAAAAGAATAATGATGTGTTGTTCTATTGCGCCTCTCGTACCTCTCTTCATTCAACCAAAAACTTTCAAAAACCCCCATAGTCCAATCCCGCTTAGAACGGGGATCGTGAAGTTATCATCCCACCCGAAGAGATCTATGAATTCACTGCCCGCTGCAACAATTCCAGAGACGACACTCATCACACCGAGTGCAAGCGGTCCCGAAATGACCGTGTCTGCTGTCCAGCCGAGAAGACCCTTGACGGGGTCTGGCAGGAGATTGAGGCGACCCGTGAACATGAATGCACCCTCCGGGTCGTTGGGGAAGGTCCCGATGTAAGGGACAAAGAAGCCCCAGAAGGCGGCAGCCGTGACAACGCCAACAAGCCACGCGCTCAGAGTGCCGGCGAAGCTCTTGCCCTTGCGGAGGTTGAAGGTGTAGCGGCCGTACAGACGGCCAAAGGTGGAGGCTGCAGTATCACACCAAGAAAGGAGGAGGACGCCCATCACGCCGACATCCTTGGGGAAGAATCGGAGGACGGAGTACGCGCCCACCAGGTACCAGATCACGCCGTTGTAGCCGGATACCTCTGTTTCTCGCATAAGAGCACCCACGCAGCGGATATAGAATTTATTAACCGTCTCCGATCGGTGTCGGATCAGGTCTGTTGTGGCGATGGGAACGAGAGCCCCGAACAGCCAGGGTGTGATCTGGTGTGTCTGAACTCCGCGACTGTATAAGTGAAGCGTTAGGAACCCAATAGACACATGAAGCAGTTTGCGCGGGATTTCATGGCGGTGAATAAAGTTGCGATAACGGGTGTGGAGAGGAATCAGCCCCAGAGGAGAGGGGGATCGAGATATGGCATGTCGACCACCGTCTGCCCTCGCCAGCGGGGAGAGATAGCCGTTCGACTGCACTGTGTGGCCGTTTGTTTGTGGCGCTGAGGTGGTTGCTGGGGTTGCTTCTTCTGCAGCTGAAGAGACTTTTGGTTTCGACTTCCGCGTGCGATGTCGTGCTGGGGTGGCACTGCCATTCGGGCTGCCAGATTGTAGAGGTGTGCCCTTTGAATCCAACTCCGTTATCCCGTTTTGAGCCTTTTCCACGACCTCACCAAGACGTTGTTGTCGTCGAGCAGCGGACCGTGTTGTAGGTGCGGAATAGCCATCTTGTGATCTCGATGATGATCTACCTTCCGAGGGAGTCGGCGATGGAGAAATGACTCGAGGAGTTGCTGGGACAGCATCTACATTTCGTGAGGAAGACATCCCGATAGATCTCACGGAGAAGGGCGGAAGGACCGCAGCGAGGGTCAGCCTAGACAAAGGGCGTTTGCTAAACCAACTAGAGGCAACAACGCCAGAAGTGAAGGAATAATAAGGCTCGGAGGACGAAATGATGGGCAAATGTCTTGCGACACAAAAAAGAAGGTAAGGTAGACCGAGAGATGAACCAAGTTTATGGGTAGAGGCACCAGGCAGAGACACGGCCGCGCATGCTGGTCCTCCCGTCAGATCCCAGATGAACAGAGCAAATCAGATGTCAGAACGGGGGATCCTGTCTTTGTGTGAGTATGACTGTGCCAGAACGAATTAACTAAGATGTTTTCTCTGCTTATCATCGCAATATTTAAAATTTCAGCCCATCAAAAGCACTTCTTTTTTCTTCCGCCAAATCCGGTATCGATCACGTGCCACAAAAAGTCCGCAGCAAAAACAAGCCGGCAGAATCTCACCGCCCGCCATATCTAATCAGAAATATTTCGATAAGGAAAAATTTCCCATCCTTGAAAAGAGGCCATCCATTTACGCAAAAATAAAAGAAAACGGAGGAAAAAAAAGGGTAAAGGGAGGTTGTTATTTCCTACTATGGCTCCAAAACCCCCTCCAGGCACCTCATCCCGAGCCTGGGATGCTGTGAACCCCTCACTATCAGAATGGGTTCTAGATGCCGTCTCCTCCATGGGCTTCACGCGCATGACGCCGGTTCAAGCATCAGCCATTCCTCTTTTCATGGCGCATAAGGATGTTGTCGTTGAAGCAGTAACAGGAAGTGGAAAGACTCTGTCTTTTTTGATCCCTGTTGTAGAGAAATTGCTGCGCTTGGAAGAGCCGATCAAGAAGCACCATGTAGGTGCTATTATAATTTCTCCGACAAGGTATTTCTTTTCGCGATACCCTATATATATAAATATAAATAAAAAGTATGTGCTAATACTCGATCAGAGAACTTGCCTCACAGATTTACAACGTACTCTCGTCCTTACTTGCCTTTCATCCTCCTTCTGCCGCCCTTCTTAACCCCGACGACGAGGACGACGCCGCTCCCCGCCCAAAACAATCATCCTCAGTTCTTAAGGTCGTTCCCCAGCTACTCCTCGGAGGCTCTACCTCCCCCGCAGAGGACCTGAGCAGCTTTTTGAAGCGATCGCCGAATTTGCTAGTGGGCACTCCAGGAAGACTCCTAGAGCTACTCTCTTCGCCCCATGTGCATTGTCCGCAGTCCTCATTCGAAATGCTCGTCTTGGATGAGGCGGATAGATTATTGGATCTTGGATTCAAAGAGACATTGCAAAGCATTCTGCGTAGGCTCCCTAAGCAAAGGCGAACTGGTTTGTTCAGCGCTAGCGTGAGCGAAGCTGTTGACCAGATCGTTCGCGTTGGCCTGCGTAATCCCGTCAAAGTGGTGGTGAAAGTCAAAGGTGCATCAGGTGTCGACGATAAACGCACCCCCGCCAGGTTGGTTGCATCTATCATGCTCTGTGTTTGGGATGTCAATGCTAATATCAAATTTAGCCTTCAAATGACATATCTAACAGTTCCTCCAACCCACAAATTCCCTGCTCTCAAGCAAATCCTGAACACCGTTCAGCCAACTCCCCTGAAGACGATATTCTTTGTGTCAACGTGCTCTGGAGTTGATTACCTATCAGCGACATTGCCATTAATACTGGGTGATGATTTCCAATTAATCCCGCTTCACGGTAAGCATCAAGCAAATGTGCGCCAAAAGAACTTCAACCGCTTCGTCAATGCCCACACACCAGCTATCCTCCTCACAACCGACGTTGCATCCCGTGGGTTAGATATCCCATCAGTCGACCTCGTGGTCCAGATTGACCCCCCTTCAGACCCAAAAACTTTCATTCATCGATGCGGTCGTGCTGGAAGAGCAGGACGCAGAGGTCTGAGTATAGTGGTTTTGCACCCCGGCAGAGAAGAGGATTATGTTGCCTTCCTGGAAGTCCGCAAAACTCCAGTCGCGCCATATCCTCAACCGATTCACTTTTCCGACTCCGACGCCAGCGCTGCGACCGAGATCGTCCGGAAAGCTGTACGGGCGGACCGTGCGCTCCATGACAGAGGCCAGAAGGCATTCGTCAGCTGGCTAAGGAGCTACAGCAAGCATCAGGCAAGTAGCATATTCCGGGTAGCAGACTTGGACTGGGAAGGTCTCGGGAAATCCTGGGGCTTGTTGAAACTACCAAAGATGCCTGAATTGAGGAACTTCTCCGGAGATCGAACACTTGGCGTCGACATGGACTGGGATACATATACATATAAAGATAAGCAGCGTGAAAAACGCCGCCTGGAAGTTCTCCAAGAGGCTGCGGAGTCTGGTGCTACTCAGGACTCATCTAAGAAGCGACCCAACGATAGCGTTGCCTGGAGCAATAACCTCGAAAATAGAAACAAGAAAGTAGCACGCAGAGAGAAAAAGCATGTGCGCCAAGAGAGGAAGAGATGGGAGAAGATGACCGACGAAGAGAAACAAAAGGCCCTAGAAACGGAGGACATGGTGGAACAGATTCGGGTAAAAAACGAGGAACAATGGCGGCTCAAACGTGCAGCGGCCAAAGCTGGGACAGCAGCAGCCTCCGATGGCGAGGAGGAGTTTCAAGGATTCGATTGAGCCTTCTAAATAATTTATACATACTGGATATAGATATGACGAATACCCTCCCTCATATAACCCTGGTTTTATCAGTCTTCTGCATCCCAGTAGATGTCTTTCTTTCCAGAGAGCTTTGTTCAAACACTGATATAAACGCATCAATGTAGAACTTTTTGTGTAGAGATATAGGATAAAGCACCCTTCATTCTAATGAATCATAGTTTAGTTTAATACACGGGCTATCTCAATGCCAGTCTAATCCATTAATTAGCCCTGAGAAACTCAAGAACAATTATTCCTCTTGCCCTAAGCTCAAAAGTATTCTATGCGCATACTAAGGGGATATTTTCATAAGTATTATCTCAGACCTTTCTCCATTACCCTCTCAAGTTATTATTGCCCATCTTCAGCCCCAACCACATTATCGATCCTTTCGTCCCTGTCCACCTTCACAATATCCCCACTCCCACTGTCGCTCTCATTTAGAGTATGAGTCCCCCCCACCTTCTGCTCAACCGAGACATCCTCCCCAGATAGCATATGCGCGATTGACCCCTTCCTAGCACACGGTGCTCCCTCCGTCTCCGTCGCCATTCGCGTTTGCGGCGAAGTCCCCCCCCCCGACTCAGCCGCAAGAACCGACGAACTCAACGGCGACGCCATCCGAGTAGGCCGGGAAAGCATACTCTGGATCTTTCTCTGGATCTGCGTTCCACTCGTATAGCGAGTCGACGGCAGCGGCGAGAACCCAGTATTACAGGTAGTAGTAGTAGTAGTAGTAGTAGTAGTATTAGCCATTCTCCCTTTCCCCTTGCCGATTTCAACACCCAGACTCGGATCCATATCTGTCCTTGTACGGGTCTTGAGGAACTCAGCAGGTGCATTTTCCGCGCTATTCGTATTTCCTCGCGCAACCCCGAACCAACTCGTCGTGGAAGCGGGAGCAGCAGAACACTGGGCGCAGAATCGCTGCCCGACGCCCCTTGCAATATACCGATTGGTGCATACCCTGATCAGTGGGTGTGGGTTTTGCGTTGGGGACGGGGCCGGGTAAATTCGAACATTGGAGCAAGGTTGGATGAGTTGGAGGAATGAGCAGGTGCAGGGAGGTTGGTTGGGTTTATAATAACACATTCTTTTGCTTGCTCTTCCTGTTTTCTTCCTTCCGATTAGTATGTTGGTTGGCTTTTTGGGAGGGGACAAGGGGAGGTGATTCCCGTCTTGAAGTTTTCTTAGGGCTGGGTAAGGTGTATGTACTGTTATTGGCGCAGCGGAGAGTAATTTGGAAGAGAGAGACGCAGGTAGAGATGGAAGGATGGTAACGATGAGAGCAAAGAGAAGAAGAAGTAAATGTAGGATATATATCCTGCTTGGAAAGGCCACTCCTTTTGCATAGTTTCTGGCAGAATGACAGCGACTGTATTCTTTGTTGACATGGCGGAGACTGAGATGTTGGTCTAAGGAGTGTTTCAAAAGAGTGAGGAATCGTAGAGCTTCTTATGAGACCAAAGAAAGCCCTCTTGGCTAAAGAGAGCTGTAAGTCACAGACAAAACTTCTTTGTTCTTGTCTACCTATCTAATTATTTCATCTGGATTAGTTCAGAGACTCCTCCATCTTTACCTTGTTAGGTTCATTGTTTACAAGAAACTGGATGAAATGAAAGGCTAATATTCAACGCCTGGAGATAACTTTCCATGTAATAATCCTTGCTTAATAAACGCATGAATAAAAAGACAAAAAGACACTTTCCTGCAAAATCTGACTCCAGATGAAAAGCATGCCCAACTCTTAGCCAACAATTTCATCATGGAGGCGAGATCATTAGATGCTGCAAATAATATGGACACGCCGAATCCCATACACAAAAACAGACAAATAACAAATTCCATCATGTCAACCAGACCCCTTCCAATAAATAAACAACACCTCCAAGATTAACCGGTCCATATGAACATGAATAACACTAACACAAAACAACAAAAATGAGCATGTACTCCCTCTATGCCAAGGTCTTTTCAAATTCTCGGAGTTCGCGCTTGAAGATAGCATAGGCCTTGTCAACATCAGCATCATCCCAGATTTCAGAAAGAATTTTAAGTGCAGCTGGGCTAGCATTAAGGCTTTCTGCAAAACTCTGTTTCGCAGGCCACACGAGCTGGCGAAGATCACCAGATGGGCAGTTTTCATACAACCACTGGGCGTCCTGTGCAAACTGGTCGTCACCGAATTTCTCTGTCATCTCCTCCGCAGGGGGGGCAGGGGTAATATTAATATCAGGTGTAAGGGTGAGAGGGCTCGAATAACGACTGGTAGTACGAAGCCCACTGGGTGTCTTCGGTTTATATTTCTCAGCCTGAGAACGGGCTCGCGCAAGGGCTTCTTCGTCAACTTTCGCGGGAGTGGAAGGAGGTAGCGTTGGACGTGGAGTAAGGTGTGAAGCAGAAGGTTGAGTACTAAATAAATGGTTAATAAGATTACTTTTCTTAGTTTTCCAGGGCAGGTAAGTGACATACCTCTCGGCGGTGTTGGGCTGCGTAGAAGTAGGAGTTTGGGGGACAGCGCTAGGAGCATGAACGTCAGGGGGTGAAGGGGCACCGCTGGACTCAGAATCGTCGGAGAAGGCGTCGTAGTCGAGCTGGAAAGTTCCCTGCTTGTTCGGAATGAAACCTGGTGGACGAGAAGGCTCACTGGGGCGAGATACAGGTGTCGGAGTAGTAGGTGCGGAGAAAGTCTGAGGCCCACCCATCCCAATGAAGTGTCTCCCACGATACGGATCGGTGGCACGAGCAAGTCGGAGTTTGGACGGAGTGTCCTCGGGGCTTGCATCGAAACGAACCTTCTTCGACGCTGGCCGCTCCGACTGGATAGCATTTTGGGCAGCACTCTTAGCGAGAGCATCAACCTTTCTAGGTTCAGTTCGGGGAGCAGGAAGTTCAGACTCTTCGTCACTGTCAGAGCTGTAGCAGAAGTAATCTAGATCCATTCCATAACTAGATCCAGCCGGGTTTGGGATAACATCGGGCGAAGACGAGCGCTTGCGCTTCTTTTTCGCCGTCTCGGCTGTCATGTTGCGCTCTTGGGAGATGCCGTCACGTCCACGGGCAGTGTAATCTTCAGCCTCAGGTTCCTGAGAAGCGTCTTGCTCCAGCGGCTGAATTTTCGGTGCTTGTAGCGAGGAAAGGGATTTAGAGGGTTTTGTCGGAAGATCCCCAAGGTAAAGAGACCTATCGATAGGGGCTGGAAAGAGAGAGTAGGAGAGGTTACGTGCACGTTTCACCGGGGGCTGTTCACTTGAACGACGGCGAGATTGAGAATCTCTTTGAACAACGGCAGTCGAATCCGCTTCAGGTAGTTGTATGCGCTGGACGCGCTCCGAGGCTGGTTGTTGAACGACTACATTTTATAAGCACAAAGGAAGGTACGGACAAAGAACCCCGAGGCACAAACATACCTGATACTTCTGACCTCTCAGGGGTACGGCTGAATGAAGGTAAAAACCGAGAAAACGAGCGAGGCACGGAGCTAAAAATTCCCCGGATATTCCAACCTCTTCGTGGGGGCTCTGGTGTGCATGGCTCTTGAGAGATAGCAGGCTGCTCTGTAACATTTTGATCGTCGGTCGGGGTTTGTTCGGCTGAAAAATCGAAGTCCGTCTGCAAAGGCTCTGGGGAAGGGCTAAAAGGAGGAGTCGCAGACGCCTGACGGTCGGCTTCAGTCTGAGCCACAAGTTGGGGAAGCCGAAAGACAGTCCTATGGATCCGGCCTTGGCTTTCTGCCCTGCGCCGCAGAAGCCTCTCAGAATATGGGACAGAATTCGTGGAAATGCGGCGGGAAAGGTGAGTGAGACGTCGAGCATACGGGGTACTTCCGGGGGGTCCTAGGTTTCTACGCTTGTTTGCGTAGGGGGTTTCGGGTTCGGCGCGGGTCTCAGAGGTGGCCTGAGTATGAGACCGCTTTCTATTGACTTTTTTTGTTGTTAGCTTCTTACTCTTATGGGTCCGGTTAGGGGCATCCTGGGTAGGTGCGGGGGTCACTGCGGGGGTCACTGCGGGGATCACTGGGGAATTGCCATGGGGGGTATCAGGGGTGACGATTTGGCCTGCTCTGGCACTTGAGCTGGGATGAAGGTGAAAGCCCCTCTCCTCAGGGATTGGGGAGAGCGGAGTTGGTATCCAAGCCCTAGGTTTGGGGGTAGGAAAGATTCGACGCCACTCTTTGCGTTTGACCTTGGGTGGGTAGAGCGTAGGACGTGAAATAAATTCAGGATCCTCCTCCAACACCGCCGATACCAACGGCCGTCCCACGATCTGCTGTCCTTCGTGCGAAATCACACGGCAAGGCTCCGGGCCGTCTCCATAGATAGACGACGGAGTATCCAGGACTGGTGTTAAGAAGATCGTGGAATGGCACTGTTGAACCCGCTCTGCTGTTCTAAACAGTTCCATCGTCGGGAAGCTAGGAGGAACATCGGAATAAATCGATGCCATTGGAGGGGTATCAACAGAGGCTCCCGAAACAAAAGGCGGTTGTCTGTAACTAGCGATTTCGGAACTTATGTTACTCGCGCTGACTAGGTTGCATTCAGCGACCAGCTTTGTTTCGGGTAGCCACGCTGGCACGGTGGTGGACTCTCTCGAAGAAACAACCGCTTCCTCGGATAAGCTGGGGACAACATCCACCAGAGACAAGCTTTCAAAACACTGTGCCAGATCATCAACTAGCTTGTCCTCCACAGTTGCTTCTTCTCCGGAGTCCACAGCAGAAGCCAAAGGTGGGAGCGTCTCCTGTTTGTTGGGCTCTTCACCAACGGTGGTCTCATTGTCTTTTGACTGCTCTGCCTCCTTTGGCTCCGCCGAGGTTGATTCCGCCATATCCACTTGCTCAGAGGTGCTCAGGGCCACTTGGCTGACGATAGATTTATTCACAGCCACAGGAGTTGGAGTAATGTCTGTGTTACTGTTGTCTTCAATAACGGTGGCTGGGCCTTCTTCAGTATGGGCAGCCTCCAACTCCTGGGCGTCGTGAATTGATTCCGCCATATCCACTTGCTCAGAGGTGCTTAGGGCCACTTGGCTGACGATAGATTCATTCACAGCCACAGGAGTTGGAGTAATGTCTGTGTTGCTGTTGTCTTCAACAACAGTGGCTGGGCCTTCTTCAGTATGGGCAGCCTCCAACTCCTGGGCGTCGTGAATTGATTCCGCCATATCCACTTGCTCAGAGGTGCTTAGGGCCACTTGGCTGACGATAGATTCATTCACAGCCACAGGAGTTGGAGTAATGTCTGTGTTGCTGTTATCTTCAACAACAGTGGCTGGGCCTTCTTCAGTATGGGCAGCCTCCAACTCCTGGGCGTCGTGAATTGATTCCGCCATATCCACTTGCTCAGAGGTGCTTAGGGCCACTTGGCTGACGATAGATTCATTCACAGCCACAGGAGTTGGAGTAATGTCTGTGTTGCTGTTATCTTCAACAACAGTGGCTGGGCCTTCTTCAGTATGGGCAGCCTCCAACTCCTGGGCGTTGTGAATTGATTCCGCCATATCCACTTGCTCAGAGGTGCTCAGGGCCACTTGGCTGACGACAGATTCATTCGCAGCCACAGGAGTTGGAGTAACGTCTGTGTTGTTGTCTTCAACAACGGCGGCTGGCCCTTCTTCAGCATGGGCAGCCTCCAACTCCTGGGCGTCGTGAATTGCGAGGAATGCATCAATCTGCGCGAGTAGATCATCGTCCAGCTGCAAGTCTGGCGCAAATCCCCTATCACAAGGGAGGACAGGGGGCGAGTGGGATCTCTCCGAAAAGGCATATCCAACTTCGGTAAGTTCCTCGAATTCAAGGTCATACCAAGCGGGGCAAGGGGTTTCACCCAGATTTGGGAGGTCAAATTCATCGTCGATATTCCCCACGCTGTTCAGGAGTTCGAGAAAATCCTGAAGGTCATTGGGGGTTTCAAGGGGTTGGGGTTCCTCTACGGCTTGGGGGGTTTGGGGGGATGGAAGGAAATGTTGAGACTCACGCTCAGAGCTTCTAGGTTCCAGGAGGGCATTATCTGCTGTGGGTTGTGCAGAGACGGATTCCTCGGGGCTAGCTTCGGGGTTTTCTTTCTCCTCTCCTTGCGTAGTCTCGGGATGTTCCTCGTTAATTGATTTTTGTTCTTCATCATCAGACACTGGGTTGTCTGTCTTGCGTGTAGTCTTTCGCGTTACTCGTTTGGGAGCCTTCTCGGTCTGTGAAGTAGTAGTACTTGGGGAGGTCTTTTTTGTGGTCGCCTTTTTCACTGTGCGCTTGCTTTTGGGCCTTGTCGCAGACTGTGTTACAGGTTCAGCGGTCTGTTCAGATCCATGTTCAGATGTATCAGGTTGAGAACTGCTCTGCTGAGAAGCAGCCCTTGTAGATCTTGTGCGACGAGGGGCACGTTCGGTATCGAGAGAAACGAAGCCACCAGGCGACGCTTGCTGAGAACGGGTGCGCATCTTGACTGGTTGTGCTTGTGGAAGGTGGGTAAAGTGACGCGACAGAAAACGCCACGAGAAGCGGAGTTGTCCAGCTACTTGAGGACTTGAACAATGCGGATATGTAGAAAGATATTTTGAACCTTTGGAGAACGGTTCAAATACGGATCTTGGAAATAGAATGTTATGCAGTGAGGGTAGTAAACAGGGTGATGAGAGGAGAGAGAAAAAAGAGGGAGACGAAGGAAAGAGGGCTGGAATCGAAACTGGTGTTATTGTTGTGGTGTCACGCGTCACGTCGCTTAGAGAAACCACAGTATTTTCAATACTTACTTACCTTTGGTGAAAGAGGGTGAGGTGATTAGAAGTGTGATAGTAGTAGGGAAACTGTTAGATATTCACTCATTCACTAAAGAAATTCTAAAATCGGTGTGACATCCTGGCAGAATGCAAGGCGGTCAGGCGGAAAGTCATAAGATGTCAGTCACTGTGCCTAGTTACTCTGTATTTAGTGCGGCAATCATGATCAAGGATCATGAGCATCTCTCAACTATTGGCTCTGGTATCACTGTGCAGGAGTTTGATATGTCAAGGGCAGTTCATACTAACATGACTCTGCCAGACTGTGTGTGCAACGCGGTGGCACTATGGCAGCTTGCAGTCAGATGGAGGAGCGTGGTAGAACTACATAGAATCATATATTGAGGATGAAGGTGTCGTATGTGAGGTTTTTTTTGTGTCATGCTGCTAGGGTGATATAACTGGGAAATAAAGAAGGCATATATGTAAAAAGTGTGTTTGTTCAAAACACGGTTGATCTAAGGCAGATATTCGATGGGCCACAGAATGTACTGTACACAGAGATGCAGGTTGAAGATCATATAGTTACACGCCAACACTTAGTTGGGAAGCAAAGAAGATAGAGGATAAAAAGCTAGAATACAAACGCCAGCAGCCCATTACATGCTAATCTCGCCCTTCCACGCAGCATCCGACAGTCCAAGAGTTTCAACGAGATACTTCCACCTAGGGCCTCCCCTCTCCTTCTGTCGTACGTACTGGAGTAACTTCTGTCGCTTGTGGAGAAGTACTCGAAGGTTGCGCTTGTTGTGCTTGTCTTTATTGGCCGATTGCAGGTGCCTGGACAGGTTCAGGATCTTTGCGGTAAGGATTGCGACTTGCACTTCAGGAGATCCGGTGTCTGGCCCGACACGAGGAGTCTTCTCCGGATGCACTGTCGCGGACTCATGCGACACAGCAGCAGGCTTTGGAGGCAACACGTTATCAGTGTTGTGTCGTCCAAACGTCTCAATGCACTTCTGAATACGGAGACGCATTTGGTCTCCTGTGTTTCCGTTGTTGATGTTCACGATTCGGTTAATTGCGTCTTGTGCGTTTCTGTGTTCCTGGAGATGCCTTTCGGCGGCTTCTTTTTCAAGCTGAGGGTCGGCTGTTGCGCGGTTGGTGTCTTCGAGAGGCGAGGTTAGGTTCTTTGAGTATTCCAAAGCGCGGTTGAGCTCTTCGGCACGAAGAAAGTAATTGAGTTTGGATTCTTGGGTTGCACTCTGCGTAGATTGAATTTCCTCGACGAATTGTGTAGGTTTGCTCTGCACGGGGTCTCCCAAGGATCCTTCACGTTCTTCAGCCAGAGCTTGTTGGCGGGAAAGGTTGGCGGCTTTTCGCTGGCGTGACTGTGCCATCAAGAATGGGTCATGTCTGCGTCGCTCTCTGGTCTCCGTAGATCCAGCTCTGGCAGAGGTCTTGACAGGGTTTAAAGCCAATCTAGCGAGCGGACTCTGGATGTTCGAAGAGCCTAGGTAGTGAAGCACTGGGTTAACACCACAATCGCACGGCAAAAGGGAAATGGTAACACACCAGTAAAGGCCTTTAATGAAGGCGGCAGAAGAATACGGGGCGGCATTGTGGATAAATTGGTAGCTGGATATATCCAGTAACTGCAAAACAGGCTTGCAATGTTCTCGTCTCTGATCTTCCGGTGCTGAACTCCGAGCCAAAATCTCAAAATCTCAAGCGCCAAGGAGCCAATCCAGATTGGGATAGCATTACATCACGTGAAACCTGGGGAGCGTGACAGATGACTAAGTATTGACTAGATTGGGTTAGCCGTTTATAACAGCAAACCAGCCAATGACAGACCAGGGACCAGCCCTAGCCCTAATGCTCACAACCGGCAAGCGAAATTCAGTGAGATCTCTATCGCGAGGAAAAAGTTCACTTTCGCGTCAGTCTTCTCTCTCGACCTCACCATCCCGACAAGCGCCAGACGATTGATATCTTCAATTCGCCGTCCTTTGTAATATCAATCGCCCATCATGGCCCCCTCTCAGCTCCCCCCCATGTTCAACCCTACTCCTCAGGACATTGAGATGCTCCTCGCAGCTCAGTGCCACATGGGATCCAAGAACCTCCAGGTTCACATGGAGCCCTACCTGTGGAAGACTCGCCCCGACGGTGTCAACGTTATTAACATTGGCAAGACCTGGTACGTTTTATCGCAGGAGATATATGTATTTTCGAGCGTTGGATTTTGCAGGTCTAATTCTAGGCAAACCACAGGGAGAAGATCCTCTTGGCCGCTCGTATCATCGCCGCCATTGACAACCCGGCCGACATCTGTGTCATCTCCGCTCGTCCCTACGGCCAGCGTGCTGTCCTAAAGTTCGCCTCTCACACCGGTGCCACCGCCATTGCCGGTCGTTTCACCCCTGGTAACTTCACCAACTACATCACCCGCTCTTTCAAGGAGCCCCGCCTCATCATCGTCACCGACCCCCGCACCGACGCCCAGGCCATCAAGGAGGCTTCCTACGTCAACATTCCCGTCATTGCCCTCTGCGACACTGACTCCCCCACCGACTTCGTCGATGTTGCCATCCCCACCAACAACAAGGGTCGTCACGCTATCGGTCTCGTCTGGTGGCTCCTTGCCCGTGAGGTCCTCCGCCTCCGCGGCACCCTCGCTTCCCGTGAGGTTGATTGGGACGTTGTTGTTGATCTCTACTTCTACCGCGACCCCGAGGCCGAGGAGAACAAGGAGATTGCTGAGGAGACCAAGGCTGCTGCCACCGAAGAGCCTGCCGCTGTCGAGTCTGGATACACAGGTGAGAACTGGGATGCCCAGGCTGCTGCTCCTAGCACTGCTTTCGCTGCTGCCACCGGTACCACCAGCTGGGAGGCTGATGGTGGTGACTGGGCCGCTAGCTCTGCTCCCGCCCCCGCTGGCGAGAGCTGGGCTGAGACCCAGCCCACTGAGGGCAAGTGGTAAAAAGCTGGATCCGGTGACGTGGAGAGCTGTTAAGAGTGGATAATTGGATGGCTTTAAAATGGGAATCCTCTCGTACAACGAGAAGAGACCCAACAAGATATCCCCCCCCTGACATGTCTATCCTAGTCTCTTGTCCCGCAAATACTCAAAAAAGGAAAAGAAAAAACGGGAAAAAAAGAATTAACGGAGACCCCACTTCTTCAAGAAAATCATTTTCCCTCTTCTCTTATGGTATGCTACAGCGAAATATCCTTTTCATGTCTTCAGCCCGTTATTACGTCTTGTCCATGGTGCATTGGGGGGGGAATTGCGTCGTCAATGACTGATCGGAACTTATGAGGGAAAGATATCCAGTTGTTCTCTTCAGTGAGCCTCTGGGGGAAAGCCCTGTACCGTCAATTTTACAAGGTGGACTTGATCGTTACCTTGGTTTCTCCCTATATGTTTTACGCGTAATTGAAAAGTGATGCTCGCTACCATGTCTGTATTCCATTTCTCTTGCGTATAATTCTGTAGTTGAGTAGCAGTAGTAACTGTCGAACCTCTGTAATCGCGGCATAAGGATAATAATACCAAAACAACTGTAGCAGCATTTACTAAAAGATATTTACTAACGGTATGGGTATCATAGCACTCGCAAGGCAAACTAGGGGATCTATATATTATATATATATATATTAAAGAATCACACAACCCCCCTTCGATTGCCCCCCAGCCTCTGTAGTCGTCATAAATGCAAGCCTTGCTAAATCCTCAAATGTCTCCGCCATAAGCTCCCCAGTCACAGCAGAGCATTCCGCATAGCGATCACACCGAAGCTCTTGCGCTATTCCGTATGACTAGGAGTTGATTAGCCTGAGGGAGAAACAAAACAATCTACCTTAAGGAATCCCTACTTCTTCTGGATAAATAAGCCCTTCTCCCGGAGCTCTCAGGTCTCGCTTCAAACCCACCATCATAACCGGGATGCGTTCACCAGCACCACGCTGGAAGTATCGAATCACATCGGCTCGCCACTAAATCAGAAGTAAAAGCTTTAGCCGTACTGTTGTCACTGACTTGATCTGCCAAATGGAGTTCAACTTACCCTCTTTAGACCATCTAGCGTCTCGCGATTCGAGATATCAAAGGCCAAAAGCACCACGTCAGGCTGAAGAGTAGACCAATGCTGGTTCGGACTTGCAGTATCATAAATCTCGAGCGTAAATGACTTCTTGGAGAAATTTATATCGTACACAAAGGGCTGGTCACCATCCCGAAGTATCTCGACTTGTGTATTGGATGTTCCCGGCCCTCTTGGTCGGATATTCTTAAGTCCTCTGGTCGACAGTTAAAATCACCTCCTTATTTAGGTTGTTATTTTTTTTTGGTGATGGATCACCAAGTAAATGATTCTATTTTCAATAGTGTATATGTTAAGAAAGATATACTCACGATAGGAAGGTCGATTTCCCACATCCTGCATCCCCTAATAACAGGATCGTGATCGGTGTCTCGAGCGTCTCTCTGCCCACAGATTCCGCCATGACGACAATATGTTCTTTAAAAAGATACAATATTCAATTCTTCAATATATATATATAAACTCCTCTATACCCAGTATTGATAAAGGTGTCTCAAAATCTGGTCATTCATTGCTAGATTCATTCTTGGTTGTTGCTTGACATTCTGGATCTTCGGTGAGATATCGTTTTAACTTTCACAAGCGGGATACATAGTGACTTACCCAAAATATTAAAACATCACATTATTGTCTGTGTTTTGAATCAAAGGCTAGGAAATCCTCTGACTACAATAAAGATATATTTAAGACTTACCACTAAAAATTATCTTCGAGACTATGAAAAACACCACGCCTCCTCTTTATCACTATTGTCACGCCCGCTAAGACTCTACAGAGAGACCTTCATGCCTGAGAAGGATATGAGCCAATGTAAGATACTTTCCCATAGTAAGATGCTGGCAACACAATTAAATTATTGTCAAATGCATTCTAAAGTCGCATATCATCATAATTCTCCCTGTTTGAAAGTTTACCCAGTGCAGGCTTGACAATATCCCGTGACTAGTCCCGTAGCATAACTCGTTGAAAATCATCATGATCAATGCAGTTTCTCATATATCAGCGCTGTATCTAGCTCTAGAACGCACAGAAAACATCTGCAGGGCTAGCAATACAGGCTAATACAGAACGTTTCTATCCCCAGCCCTGTTCCACGGTAGTTGACGATTTTTCACGGCCAGAAGCAGACATGGCCCCGACAGATTTATCTTCTTCGGTGGCAAAGATATTGATAAAGTCGGATCGTATTTGTCGTACTCCTCTGCCTCTTCGGTGATTCCGTCTACAGCTTTGCTTATGAGCAAAGTTGGACTCCGTAGTATCTGGATACGCAGGACTCCAGGAGTATGTCTGCCCAAGGCCCACCAAACAACGGGTACGCTAGTCTTGATCAATGAGGATACCACTTGGGGGATATCGGCAAAAAAAAAAAGACACAGAGAGGTTCCGTCGAGGCTTGGGCCTACGCGCAGGTTACTTGTATTGCTGTCAAGGCGGATTCTCACAGAAATCTGTGTGATACCAAGCCCGAATTTTTGAAAGACCATGGGGGAAGTTTAGTCCCTAATCCGGCATCCAGCTGTTTTTCAAACTGGATGTTCAAAAGTGCTTTTGCTTGGGGCTGTTCAATGTATTCCAATGGAAGGGAGCAGTACCTAGTTACCTGATTTTGGTCAATGGCTTCGACGTCTAAGTTAGTATAATTCAATTGATAAACGTGAAAGGGGTTGGACATATTGTTTCGCCACTAGATGTACCAAAGCTGTATGGTGTTTGAATAGGGACGCAGGAAAACGTTATTGAAGCTTGCATATCGTCCATATGAAAGTGATATGGTAAATCAGGGTTCTAGTGATAGGCAACTATAGCTTCGAACCGGGTCGTTTTCTCATGTACATATGCGTGCAACACTGCAAAGAACCTTTTTCTTTGGTGATGATATTTTAAGCGGCGCTGTTGATCAGTTGACGGAGATGGCTCAGAGTTAGGATGCTGGTCGTAAATAATCATACCCTGTGCGAAAGGACAGCCCAAATATATATATATATAGACCTAGAAAATAGGCCCTTATAAATTGAAGCAAAAGTTATCCATAAAGTCGTGAAGATTCGACCTGGTTAAGTTGTTGCTGTTTATTGGAAAGCACCAGCCATGTTATCAGCTTATCCGTAATATTACAATACAGGGCGTTACAGGGCAAAACCACCAGCGCAAAACCCAAAAATTTCTCCCAACAACTTTTTTAGATCGTGTGAATCGAATAACCTTGAATAACCCCCGCTGTCTTCAAGGGGATGTGGAGACTCCAGAGGAGATCATATTCCGTCTTGAATCAAGCTACAAAACCTATTTCTTTCAGCAAAAGACACTTCCAGCGCCTCTGCCACCAACACGCCAGACTTGAATCTCTCGCAACCAAAACCATGTCCGAGTCCACCACCACCGTTCCCGCCGGTCAACCGCAACCCGACTACTCGACCTGGACAACGAACAGTCTAATTGAGAGGATCACGGAGCTAGAGCGACAGCTGCACTCTCGGACGGTGGAATACACTACCTCGTCTTCCTCTTCCTCCAAAACTGAAAATGAATCGACTACCTCGAACCAACTCCAGCCCGAAGTATCTAGTAGTGCCTCCAGCAACAAGATAACTGGGAAGAAAGGGGATCCTAATGATATAACACATACAACCGCGAGCCGACCACCGAAGGCGCCGAAGAAGATGGATCCCTCCAAATACACCACCCGTTTCATAGCGCTCAAGTTCGCATATCTGGGACAGCGGTATAATGGTCTTGAACATGCGAATGGGAACATTACCCCTCTGCCGACGATTGAAGAGGAAATATGGAAAGCTCTACGGAAGTTGCGGCTGATTTTTCCAACCGACATGCTGGACCATGATTATAAGGAGACTGAAGGTCCGAGAGAAATGAAGCCTTACTTGATTAGTTGGGAAGGGTGCGATTATTCTAAAGCTGGACGGACGGATCGGGGTGTCAGTGCTTTTGGACAAGTTATTGGCATTCGGGTACGAAGTGCTCGGCCAAAGGGCAAGACAGTTCAGGACCCAGACACTACAATGGGGGATGCAGACGGAGCTCACTCGGAGGATCGGACGGCCGATGAAACGTGGGATGACATTGCAGATGAGCTACCATACATAAGCATGCTGAACAGAGCACTCCCAGAGGATATTCGGGTGGTGGCATGGTGCCCTCATCCTCCAGAAGGATTCGATGCTCGTTTCTCTTGCAGAGAGCGTCAGTATAAGTATTTCTTTACACAACCTGCGTTTTCGCCTACCCCAGGTCCCCTTGGCTTTGCTCAGCGTGCAAATAATGGGAAAGACTCTATTACCCCAAAGTACCGAGAGGGATGGCTGGATATCGAGGCGATGCGTGAGGCCGCGAAGTACTTCGAGGGTGTGCATGACTTCCGAAACTTCTGCAAGGTGGATACCAGTAAACAAATTGAAAACTTCGAACGAATTATCTATCGGGCCGACATTGAACTGCTCGACCCGAAGAGCAACCCACTAGGCTATGTGAATCAGCCAGAATTCCAAGCCTCGGGGCACCCTATTGCGGATGTGGCCTCGGACGATTCGCAAAACGTGTCTCCCAATGGTTCCCAGGTGTATGTCTTCACTTTACAAGGCTCCGCTTTTCTGTGGCATCAAGTGAGACACATGGTTGGAATGTTGTTTTTGGTGGGACAAGGACTGGAAACACCGTCGATTGTACGCGACTTGCTAGATGTCTTCCAAAACCCTCGCAAACCAATGTATGAGATGGCATCCGATGCCCCGCTAGTTCTCTGGGACTGTATCTTCCCCGATCTAAACGGTATCAGCCGTGAGGATGCACTTGAGTGGATTTATGCCGGTGATTCCAGACAGATCAAGACCCAATTTGGCAAGGGAGGCGGAAAATTTGGGATTGGAGGTGTAGTTGAGGATCTCTGGGCCGTCTGGAGGCAACGGAAGATGGACGAAATTTTGGCGGGCGCACTGCTTGATCTAGTCATTCAGCAGGGTGATCAGAATGTCGCCAAGGGAGGCGATGTCAAAAGCATCGAGGCGGAGAGGAAAAAGAGGGGCCAGAAGATATTCGTCGGATCTAACGAAGCCAAGGTTGGTGGGAAATACGTTCCCGTCATGCAGAAGCGGAAAATTGAGAGCGTGGAGGTTCTCAATGCAAGATGGCTAGCGGCAAAACAGCGGAGGAAGGAGAAGGAATCACAAGCCAGTAATGGGGATATATAGATAGGAGCCTGTAGATGCCTACCATAGAATATATGAATATATTGAGATTTCTCCTATCTCAGAAACCTCCCCGATATCATTCGAAGCATTTGACCGCATTATGGCTTTGAATCGTACAAGCAATGTCGCGAGCCCCTCCAAACCTCCTCCAACTTTGCCCTGTTGGGTAGAAGTTTCTGATCCATAAATGATAAGCAAAAAATTCGCTGCAGATGTAACATTCCAGAATATAGGCACCCTTACCGGAAATACCACAACAGCCTCCGGTTCTCCCACAACAATCACAGCCAAGTAGAATCGCACCTCGAACCCCTTAAAAGCCTCATGTATGACAATGTCTTGAATTTCAGTCGTAGGTATGAATCTTGTCGCAGCTTTGGAAAGATAAGTGGGGGAAGATGTAGACGTTTGGATTCCTAAACCTCGGATAACTAAGAGTGATTCCTCTATTGGAAACCAATCGCAAGTAAGTATTGGATTAGGGAAACTCCGTGGAAAGAGACGTGACGAACCTGTGTAGCCCTTCCTGAATACGCTGTATATCACGAGCACACTCACGAGAGCAGTGGCCACAAAGTTATAAGTATCAGCGATACGACAGACAGAAGATCCCAACGGGCTCGACCATATTTCAGTCCAGCGCAGGACAGATCCATCTTCCCCAAAGAGTGTATGACGGAATCGTGCAGCATGGAAGAATAGTACCCCGGTGAATATTACTCCTCGCAAAACAAGTTGAAAGTAGAAGAACAGTTTCGCTGGGGTGCTTGCATGCCTAGAGGCATTGGAAACTGTGAATAATGCGGTAGTCGGGGAGGGACGACGCGATATGAGATGAACCGGCATTTGTACGGGCAGTCAAGGGTGACCAATTGTTGTATATATAACAAAACTTCGCAGTCATGGATTCATTCACGAAATATCCATTCGATTTAATAAGCGAAAAGCGACCGTCCGAAGCTCATAGTCTCTGGGGCTAAATCTGCGCATCGGAGTTGTCAACTGCCTGGGCCTTTTTTGACCATCACCCTTTATTATTATTATTAATTAAATTAAATATTAAATTAAAACCCAAGCACCTCGCCAGCGAGACACTTACAGTAAGTTATTAATTAGATTATTATCTTAACATACTAGCTACTCTTATCCCTGGATAGGGGGATCACCTGTGGTCACGTGACACCAGAACATAGTTAATCCCCTCCGGTGCGGATCCTCGGGTGCTTCACGTCAGCAGCATCTGGCTTCGAAGCCGCTGGTCTGACTGATGTTGATTGCCCAACTCTCTCTCACTCTCTCTTGTTGCCTGATCTGCCCACGCAACGATTTCTCAGATGGTCTTCTTGGGAGAGCTTGTGTTCTGATAGAGGGACGATATTGTGCAATAGCCATGATAGACATTAAGCAGACAACTCAGATGGAGCCGGCCGTCCACGGCACGAGCGAACCCAGGTGGTCGCCATGATGAAATAGAGGCCCATATATATATATGGGACTTGTACAAGCCTGCTTATGGATTGCTAGGAATGAGCTCCTAGAAGGCCGAGAGCGGCGGAACGAAGAGCAGATTGGCATAGAGAACAAGACGAGGGATAGAAAGCCCCCAAGCAACCCCTCAACCCCAAACCCATACCTATTGCTTTGGAACATAAGTATTAGAAGGGTAACGAATCCAGAGGTATTTACTCCTTCACTTTGAATTCAATACCTACACGTTTTTACTTATAATAACCCCACTACTCCCAACGGTTCACACTGACTATTTACAGGGTCATCCAGCAAAGACAACCACACGCGACCCATGAATGAGCATTGCCAGAAACGCCGACTGAGGGATTTTCTTCGATAGATCGTGTATAATGGAAGGGTTATAGCAGTTGATTTGTGACTCTGTGAGCCACCTCCTCAACCCAGATATCTACCTAGAGCTTGCGTGCTATTCGCCGCGGTGCTCTTGGGGTTACCCCCGCAAAATGTCGCATTACTGACCATAATATTAGCAGGGGATTATAACTGAAATTAGTATAACACCGTTGTATGGCGGACTTGCTTTTTCTTATCACATTGGTGCCTCCTTTCTGTCTGGACTGCTATTTCCTTGCCTTGCAACATTGGAGACCTGTACCTGGACCTGGAGCAATGAACAATGCCGTCGGATCAATTTCTGATATATTTCTTATCTTCTGCATGGACTGCCTGTTTCTTTGACTGAATTCCAAGTACTTATCGGCAAATTGAGACTATGCTCTTTCTTGTAATGCAGCAGCTACCTAGCCCTTTCGTAACAGAGAGAACCATGATTTTTCTGTTCTGTCTGAGAGAGATGATGGCTAACTATATGCTGAATGCTGTTTGTTTTGTTTTATTTTGTTTTGTGCTCTTTCTTTTCTATTTTATTTTGATTTTGATTTTCTCTCCATCCTCCTCTGACTAACCACAAGCCGGTTCCGGCACCCAATTCTTGTGAATTTTGCCTGTTCTGCGGGGCCGTTGGACTTTTCCACCGCCTCTGTGCCAACGCTTGCCAGAATTAGGAAGGACGGAGCCTGAGGCTAAAACGGCAGAAACCCGAATCTGCAGGTTCCACTGGGGACGCTTTTTTTTTTTTCCTTCGATCGCGGGCTCACACGACATTCTAGTCTAATACTTTTCTCCTATATCCCTTTCATTTTAGCCCTTGAAGCGTGTTTTTGACCCCCCGCCATGAGATAGTGCCCTGTCTCTGCTCGCTGCAAGGCTATTTGTTACCATTTTCGCTCACCTCGTATCTACCGAGCTAACCCTCCCGATCCTACCGCCCCTCCAGATCACAGCCGCCTTGTCGGATTTTCTTGGATTTTCTCCGCTTCCGAATCGGTTGCTCCCTCCAGCGCCCTCCTCGCATTACCCAGCATCCAGGTTCTTCAGTGCCTTTAACCGACATTCTGGCAGCTATGGTTCGAAATATCGTCGTCATTGGGGGCACTTCCCACCCCCAGTTGACTCAGACGATTTGTGGCATTCTTGGGATTCCTCAAGCCGACGTGCTACTGTCAAAGTTTTCTGTCGGCGAGACCAGGGTCGAGATCAAAGAATCCGTCCGTGGGAAAGACGTCTACATTCTTCAATCCGGCGGCGGAAAAGTGAACGATCACCTTTTGGAGCTGCTTATCACCATTTCGGCCTGCAAAACTGCCTCCGCAAGAAGAGTCACCGCTGTTCTTCCCCTCTTTCCATACTCCCGCCAGAGTGACATTCCTTACAACAAGACTGGAGCTCCTCTAGTCAAATCGTCAGTCGATGGAAAGACAGGACCCGCAAACGGTTATACTTTTGAAAGTACCCCCCCAACACCTCATCCAGGAAAGCCTGAGAGCGGCAGCCTGTTGAATGGCGTTGATAATCTACAAAAGAGTCTCGCAAGGGCGCAAATAGAAGAGTCTAACGGCAGCCCGGTCAAGAAACGCCAGCCTAACGGAATCACCCGCAGTGACACCCTCGACTCATTCAAATCGGAGAGCAGCAGGTCTACACTTCTTAACGGAAATGTTAGTGATGACAGTCAAAACAAAATCACCAACTTCCAGCCTCAGCCCGGATACAAGCAATGGGTGGCTCAGGCGGGCACCCTTGTGGCAGATCTACTCACTTGTGCTGGTGCGGACCACATCATCACGATGGATCTCCATGACCCCCAGTACCAGGGATTCTTTGATATCCCTGTCGACAACCTCTACGGGCGTCCTCTTCTGAAGAACTACATCATGCGAAACATCCCCAACTATAAGCAAGCCGTCGTCGTTAGCCCAGATGCTGGTGGTGCCAAACGAGCGACCGCGATTGCAGACTCTATGGGTATGGAGTTTGCTTTAATCCACAAGGTATGTATATTCTGTCTGTGTTTCATGAATCTTTTCTAATACTTTTTAGGAACGACGCCCTACAAAAATTACAGACCGCCAAAACGCTACCATGATGCTAGTTGGTGATGTGAAAGATCGCATAACCATTCTAGTTGATGACCTCGCAGATACGTCGAATACTATCACTCGAGCAGCCAAGCTTTTGAAGAAGGAAGGAGCTTCGAAAGTCTATGCACTCGTAACACACGGGATCCTAAGCGGTGACGCTATTGATCGCATCAACGCTAGCGCTCTCGACAAGGTTGTCGTGACCAACAGCGTTGATCAGGCAGACCACCTGCGACGCTGCCCCAAACTAGAGGTCTTGGAAGTCGGCCACGTTTTTGCAGAGGTAAGAGCTCACCCGGTCAGGCTGCTTTCTATCAGCAACTTTTTCCTGACACTCCATAGGCCATCCGTCGTGTCCACCACGGAGAAAGTATCAGTGCTTTATTCCAGTATGACTAGCTGGGTTAATTGCTTTTTCTTTCTCTTTATTTGGCACTTCCGTATCGGACATCTGAGATGATTTTTTCCTTCTTCTAAAAGTAGCACTGAGTTTAAGCCATATATCATGGATTTCTTTTTCTTCATTCTATGACGCAATATACTCAAGACAATTACAATACTTCATGAATTGTTTTGTGAATGATACAATCTACACCATTGCATATTTTTCATTAAACATATTTAGGTTTGATAGAGGCCATTCTCTGTGGAAAGCTGCTCTCCCTGGATCTTCTTTTTTACAGTTGATGTGATGTGATATATTCTCTAGCCTGCCCACAAGTTCTCGTGTGGGATCCAGCATGATGGCTTGTCCAGAGCCAGGCCACAGACTTTTTGAACCTCCCAGTGACGCTGCTCTAGACAGAAACAAGAGCCATTTTATCTTCTTCGGTACATATCTTACCCTCCTTTACGGATACGTAAAGGCAACCTGCGCATCCTTCTCCTTATACTTACTAACTTGAGCCTCACCCGACCGAGGCGCTTCCATCTGAGGCTAAAAATCTCAGATGATTCTGCCTTTTTTTCCATATAAAAAGAACACTGTTTGTTGATAATGGAATATTTCCCTGGGAATTCTTGCCTTCAATATACAAGAAACCCAGCATTACGAATACATTGCTCACCTAGCTAACGTCGTCAGCCTGTTTAGGTGAAATGTGGCTGAACGAACCCTAGATCCTAGAAGGAAAAACCATGCATATATAAAAAAAAAACCTAATGAACCTTGACACTCAATTTTTTTCCCTTTTAAGCCCCTCAAACTTCTCACGTTTTGGGGTCTGTTCTGTTCTGTGCTGTACAATGCAGGACAGGCATCCCGCCGGTTCAGACCCACGTCTGACCTCACTTTATTCCAAGGTACTCCGAGTCGCTCGTGCAAGTTGGTCGTCTATGATTCATGGGTATATCTCTTATTTACTCTCGATGTCATATGGTAGATAGTTGACAGTATGAAGTAAAAAGCTGCTTCTGATTAATAGAGAAAAGTTCTGTTGTTGACATTAAGTTTACTTAGGCCCATCAGTTAACTAACCGCAGAATTGTATTTGAAACCTTACATACTTAAGAGGTATATATACTGGTTTTTCTTGGATATGGCAAAAACGTGGTTGAGTGAATTCTTCATCATCTATACTATAACAACAGCTATGTTGCTCTGGAGGTAGGTACTATGTCACACGAAGCAAAATGAAAACCCCAAACGCCCTGAACAAGAGTAAAGAGAAGCGATCTAATCACAAAGCAAAATAAGCTGGATGATTCGATGCGCTCGACAGGATGGGTACTTGGTTGGTACTAGTCAAGAAAAAAAAAAACGAAAAAAGGAAGACAGAAAATCGGCGACCGCTGGAGGAAAAGCGTCAAAATACATGCATGGTCCTAAGCTAGACCGAGAGCGAGGAGAAGGAGCGGTAGGGAGGAGGATTGCAATTAAAAGACAGAGATGAAATTCCCAATCCTCTCTTTCTGGTTCTGAGCAATACACTCCGAGATCCAAGTAACGTTTCTAATTTCCTGCATAAAGTTAGTTCAACGTTCGTGGGGTTAAAAACGGTGGAATCCTGTCTCACCTGTTCCTTTAGTCGCATCCAAGCATACACAACAGCGGGGGTGAATTGCCTGGTAAAAACGATCTTGGACATTTCCATTTCCTTCTGGTAGAACAAGTCCTCCAGGCTCTTTCCATCAGAGCTACCGCCCATGCCAGCGAGGCCGGTGCCGCCTTGTGTGAGACCGACAGTGTCGAAAAAAGCTTTATAGTCGGCGGAGACGCTCACAGCAAGGGCAACAGATTCAATATCATCTGCCCGTGAGAGCATTAGGGATCCCTCGGGGTAAAGTTTGCCGAATTCCGGGTAGAGCTTTCTGCGTTCGAGCTTAGAGAGCTCCGTACCGAAGGAGTTCAGAGTGATATTAATAGCACGTCTATCAGCCTCGAATTGCAGAATCTCCGACATCACTTCTGCCGTTGGTGTGCCCTTGAAGTCCGAGTGTGTGGTGACAAAGGTATGGAAATCCTCGAGGTAATTCTTGTAGAGTGTGTTGCGAACGATCTCGATGTTCAGCTCATCCAGATCTTGGTGGCTGAGACTGCTCTTGAAGTAACCAGCCAACGGTGTCTCGATCAATACGGAATTATATAGCTCTTCGATATTGGTCGCAACACATAGAACGGGCAAGGTCTCGAACCATCCGAGAGGGTGGCATCGCTCAAGAAGCTCTCGCGTATCACGCTCGTGCAAGGTACCGGTGATCAGGAGAGCGATATTATCGATCATATACCCGTAGGTAAGGTATTCCAGAAATCTAGCCGTGGACCCCGTGGCCTGCGCGAGGAGGTAGCGAAATTCGGCGACCAGTTTATCGGTCATTTTGCCAGCGAGGGCAGAGGTGGAGGGGTTTGGGGGGAGGGCCCCAAGGAAGTCGCCATATGCAGGTCCCAGCTGTAATTTGACATCTGCAATCCAGAGGTACCAATTAGAACAAGCAAAAAAGCTAGTAGGGGCTAGGTTTTAGAGCAACAGACCATCGATAGTTTCGCATTGTGTCAGGTTTGAGTAATGCTGCCCGGTGAGGAGGCTGTTCCGATATCCTCGAACAATCCCCTCGATATAGCTGCAATACAGTCAGCCAGCTGCCTCACAGATCCCACAACCTCCATATTCATCTCTCAACTTACCCGCTGTTGACGTTGAAAAACAGTCCCTCCATGGTGGAATGGTGGAATCGCAAGTGCCCAAAACCGTTCTCCGCATCGAGCTTCCAGGCAGGTTGCTGTTGTTCTTTTGGTCGCCTCTCGTGTTACATAAGCAGCTGCACCGCCGCACGCACACACACCGCCACAACCTTAGGCCACTAGCCACCGGCTGCACTTTTTCTGCACTTTTTTAGTTTTTGGAGGTCAAAAAAAATTCCCTTCAGCAGCACGCTCTTGGTGGTTGAGTCCACGGTCGCCCACATTTCTGCCCTCCTCCCCCCGATCCCACCTCTGGCTGTTATCCTTTCTCGATCTCCAGCAGCTACGAGACGAGGCCGCACACCATGACGCTCTTCATCCTGACCGAAACCAGCGCGGGTTATGCCCTGCTTAAAGCTAAGGACAAGAAGCTTCTGAAGCGAGATGATCTCGCTACTGAGGCTGCGACTGCAGAGGGCGTTTCTAATCTGTAAGCTCCCTATTGTGAAAATATTTTTCACTCCGATATACGCTTTCTGTGCCTCAATTTTTACCCTGTCTTGTTGCTGAGAACGGGAAAAAATTTTTTCCCCACGTCGCAAAACCTGATCTAACGCATCATACAGGGTTAAGTTGAAGAGCTTCCAGAAATTTGATAGCGCCGCCGCAGCTTTAGAGGAAGTCGCTTCTCTCGTTGAAGGAAAGGTTACTCCCAGACTCGCCAGTCTGCTTGACGAGATTAAGGATGAGAAGAAGGTTTCTCTGGCTGTTGCTGACCCCAAGCTGGGTAGGTGGTTCCAGTTCAGGAAAATATCGTGAAAAAAGCGTGTAATTAACATTTATTTCGCAGGTAACTCCATTGGCAAGCTGCCTGGCCTCTCTATTCAATTGGTTGCGGACTCCTCTACAACCGAGATCTACCGCGCCATCCGCGAACATCTGCCCACATTGATTCCCGGCCTCTTGCCTCAGGACATGTCCACTATGTCGCTTGGTCTCTCCCACTCTCTTGCCAGACACAAGCTTAAGTTCTCTCCGGATAAGATCGATACTATGATTGTGCAGGCGATTGGCCTGCTTGATGACCTGGATAAGGAACTGAACAACTACGCCATGCGTGTGAAGGAGTGGTATGGTTGGCACTTTCCTGAACTGGCTAAGATTCTCAACGATAACATCGCCTACTCGAGACTTGTTTTGAAGATGGGCATGCGAACCAACTGGGAAACTGCCGATCTCGCTGAGATTCTCCCCGAGGAGATCGAGACTGCCGTGAAGTCTGCTGCAGACAGGTCTATGGGTACTGAGATTAGCGAGGAGGACTTGGAGAACATCCAGGCTCTCGCCGAGCAGGTGATCGGCTTCGCTGACTACCGTTCACAACTGGCTGGCTATCTTACTGCCCGTATGAACGCCATTGCCCCCAACCTGACTGCTCTGGTTGGTGATCTGGTTGGCGCCCGCCTCATTGCTCACGCCGGTAGCTTGACCAATCTGTCCAAGAGCCCCGCCAGTACTATTCAGATCCTTGGTGCTGAGAAGGCTCTGTTCCGTGCTCTGAAGACCAAGCATGACACACCTAAGTACGGTCTGATCTATCATGCCTCTCTCATTGGTCAGGCTACTGGCAAGAACAAGGGTAAGATGGCCAGAGTTCTTGCTGCCAAGGCTTCTCTTGGTCTCCGTGTTGATGCTCTTGCCGAATGGGATGATGATGTTACGGAGGAGGAGAAGGCTGCTCTGGGTACCGAAGCTCGCTTCAACCTTGAGAGGAAGTTGGCCGCCTTGGAGGGCAAGGCTCTTAAGCCCCGTGGTGTGGCTATCGGCCCCAACGGCGCTGCCCAGCCCAAGAAGTTCAACATCAACGAAGTCCGCAAATACAACCCTGATGCCGATGCCATTGACGAGGACGAGGCTACCCCTGCCCAGAAGAAGCTTGTGCAGGAGGTCTCCGACGAGGAAATGGCCGATGCCGATTCTGATGATGAGGGTGCCGATGCCAACGAAGTCGACTCTGACGATTCTGAAGAGGAGTCCAGCAAGAAGTCCAAGAAGAGCAAGGATTCAGAGCTTGAGAAGATGGCTGAGAAGGCTGGTCTGAGCCTGAAGAGATACAAACGTAAGCTTGAGCGAGGTGAGATCCAGTTTGACGCCTCTGGCAACCCCAGCTCGATCAGCAAGAAGGACATCAAGAAGGCCAAGAAGGATGCCAAGAAGGATGCCAAGGGCGAGGAGAAGAAGCGCAAGCGATCGGATGACGGCGAGGCTGTGAACGGGGATGAAAAGAAGAAGAAGAAGAAGAAGAAGAGCGACGAGTAAGGTCGTTGCGGTATGGCATATAAAAAGTTTTGAAAACTTGACGGATTTCTTTTCATTTCTGTATGATATCACACCATGTGGGTTGATCTTTTTACTTTTGTCGTTTGCTATTTCGAACCGTTTGACTTTGGGTGGCATTTCAAGGATGGGATTATTGGTCCATCCACGGCGCAGAGGTGCTTGTTGGGATTTTCGGCAATAATAAGATGTTGATAAGTATCAAATCTACCAACTTGATATAATTCTGCCTCATCTCCAATAAGACTGCTCGCGGATATACACGCGAAATAATATGCCCTAACCCCAGCATCTACATCGCCCTCTTCGTGCTCACCAGACGGGCCCTTCAGTTCCCAACCCATTGCGTATAAGCCCGTATGTATCTCTTTTACACAAGTGGCCGCTCTCCAAGCTAACCCTCACAGCCTGGTATACAAAAAGCTTGAGGTCGTGGCCTGAATCGTTATCCTTGCACAGTGGCACTTCTGGATGAAGATTCCCTTTTTTTTTTTTTTTGCAGGAGGCGATATCCATCGGAGGAACATTCAAATATAACTCGGATTGTGCGAACCCCCGAGTCATTAATACCTCCAGCGTTTGCTAGCCAGGCGATCTCTGTATTCTTCTCGTTGATAGTTTCAAGAAGAACGGCGCCATAACCACCCGGCATTGGAATCCCAGTGGAACCTACTACACGTTAAGATATGGTATGGAAGTTCAAGCAGGCAGGATAACTCCACCACTCTCATAGAAAAATGCACTGAATTCGCAGGAAGTTTGTCCTTACTGTCCAAACCGACGAGCAGGAGTAACATCGTAACCTCCCCCCTTCCCCAAAAATGAAAAAAATCAGATACTTACTGCGGGCTATACAAGCGTTTTAGGCTTGTATGTATTGAGTATGTATCGCTAGATATGGGATTCTGGGTGTTTAATGAAAGATCTCGACCGCGAAGTGGAAGCAATGAATCCAGTTTCCCAATGTACCCCGTATAACGGAAGTCGAAGATGAGCATGCATGCTCACGGCCATAGCCGCAGTATTCAACGATATTTCTTCACATATCGGTACTCTATGGGCTAATCAGCTCTATAAAGCCTTTTAGCTTGTCCTTTTCACCGGTAGGGGTATATGTTTCTGTTTTATGGGGTCTACGTCGTGTCGTCACTTAGGGTCGGACTATGTATGGAATGGGGTTTTCGATATTATCTTTTTTTTTTTTCCAGTTGACAGCTGAGAGTCAATTCAATCCAGTATGCACCTACCTACTAACCCTATTCTACGAATTCTTCATCTCCAATTCTTAACCATCTTCAATTGAAACCTCCAAGGTTGTGTTTTGCTTTGCATTTAAAAGATAGTAAACACACCGCCGCCTGTAACTTAATAATTCTGCCGGCAAAACCCATCTTTTCCCCCCCTCTCTCCGCCCTAATTTTCCTGGGTTCCTTTCGCGATTCAGATATCTGATCTGAACTATCTCAACCACTAAACCCCTCCAGAACCATGCGGGTACATACATACCCCTCCCTTTCTTCAGAAAAAGGAAAGGCATTGACATGCGATATAGATCATCAACCCCCAAGAGGCAGTCCTCACAAACGTCGAGGTTCTCGCGTACCTCACTGCAAACCCACCAAGAAGACCACCAAACCCCCCGCCGAGTTCAAGGCACTGGGTACCGAGTCCGGATTTACGGGACCATAACACGGTTGTTAAGGAGGTATGCCCTCTTTCTCTTTCTCTTTCTCCCTCACACTCACTCACCCACTCTCTGTCTGTCTGTCTGTCTGTCTGTCTGTCTATTCCTGGATTTGGTGCTTAGTATGATTATGCGAGTGATGAGCTTGCATTTTTACACGGAAAGAAAAAAAAAAACCTCCAGAATATGAATTGAATGAGTTCGAGTCTGACTGACTGACCGATTGACTGATGATATCTAGATCCACAACTATGTCTCCCGTCTCTCTCCACACATTCTCAAATACCCACGCTACACGACCACCACATCCACAACACAAACGCGCGCACAGAAAGAAACAGAAACACCGCTCGATGGAGCCCTCCGCGCCCTCGTCACGCGACTCCAGCCCTACGGCCTGACGAAAGGCGAGGTGCTCATGATCGTGAACCTCGGCGTAGGCATTGACTCGTCCGCTTCTGCTGCTGAGAACACGGAGAACGCTCCTGAGGGCGGCGAAGAGATGGACGTTGATGGTGCGGATGAACAACAAACTGGTCAGGAAGGCGACGGTGAGGGTGAGGGTGGAGAACAGGGTGAAGGGGGGGAAGAAGAGGAGGATCCAATGGCGGGGGATTACGGCGCGCTTGCGTTACTGGATACGGTGATTGAGGAGCGTGAGGAGAGGTTGAGCCAGGAGGATGTTGGTGAGGTGTTGGCTATTATCCGGGAGACGTTTTAAGGTTGGGAATAGGTGATTGAGTTGCTCCTCTTCCTGCTACCTTTTGGAGAGCAAAGGAGGGGGAGATTGGCTTTGTGTATGATATGATTCATGATATGATTTGCAAATTTTTTTTTTTTTTTGGTTATGGAGTTGGGATGGGTTACTCGGTACATAAATACTACACTACTACATACTACCTACTATGTAAGAAAAGTTGACTGATCAGTCCAATATTTACTATACTATACTTTGTGTTTCTCCTCTATCTGGTATCTTTAGCTATCTTTAGTTACGAAGTAAATATCCATGGTTAGCGTCAAAAAAAAAAAAAAAAAAAAAAAAAAAAAAAAAAAGGGAAACACAGGCCAGTACGCCATGACGGATTACAACAATAAGAACCCCAACACCAAACTGAATATACACGGCTATGGAGAACCCATTAGCCTGTGCGTGGTCCTAACCACGCTAGTCAACACACCTAGAATAAGGTGGTGAGATCAATATATGCAACGAAGGGGATGATATGAAGAAAGGGGAAACAAGAGCGGTTAGAGCTATTGACCCTTGATCAAGTTGCCGAACTCATTGTATACGGGTCCTCCGGGCTCGCCGCCAGCTTCCTCGCCCCAGACTCCGAGATCGTCATCAAACATGTCACGCTCAAAACCTGCGCAGACTTCAGGATAGTTAATCCACTCTCCCTTGTCTGTCCAGATTCCTCCTGCGCCGCCACGCACGTCCCACCAGTTTTGGCCACCTAGTAGGGCCGTCTGAGCTGCATCGAACCCGGTCTGGGCGCGCATGTACTTGCGGAGAAGAGCCCGGGCCCAAGGGTGGAACCACATTTTCGACCACCACGTATCACGCAAATTTCGTTCGACGGTGCGTTCGACATTCCGGTCGTCTTTTATATTCATATGCACCAGAACCGGAACCGACGCGGAATGCACGTTTGTCATCAGGGGGATGTTATTCCAAGACCGGTTATTCGGGAGCTCGTCCAGAGTTTCATTCCATGGGGGATTGAGGTATTCATTCTTGCCGAACTTGGGCTGGGTAAATGGGTTGCAAACATTGTCCTCGGACAAGTCGTCTGGAAGGATAAGGCGTCTTTCCCGGGGCACATGATGTTCCATCTGAACAGATGATGTCTTCGAGACATTGTTATATTTCAACCATTCAACATCTTGCTTAGAATTGAACGCATTGAAAAATAGCCGGGATTCAAAGTCCACGCCGATTCCATACTCATACCGTTGGCCAGAGTCCAATCGAGGAGGGACGCTGGTCATATTCGCTGCCTCGGATATACCAATCCATCGGTACAGTCTCTCCTTGAATCCACTTGTGGTTCTCAGTCTCTCCAGTTCCCGAACGTACTCCTGCCGTCCGTACATCTGCGTCAAAGCCAGATAATCCCCATGGACGTTACGGTGCTCCTCCACATACCGTAGAACTTGCGCGTAGATCAGTTTCAAGTCTGCAACTTGACCGATAGCTGCGCCTGGTTTGAGCCACCGTGGTCGCGTTAGGGGTCCCCGCGTATCAGTTTTCCATCCATAGGCGTCTGGGGGTAAGCTAGATCGAGGAACTGTAACGCAACCCGCATCAAGTGGAAGACCTGGGAAGCATTCTTTGCCAGCGGAGAAAATCACGCGCTGGGAATACTTTTGAAGGGTTTCTACTCCTTCTTTACGGAATGGACGCTCAACCGTTACCATCCCGTATTTCTTTCGCAACTTGGCATTGTTTTCTCGCAGAAGGTCCTGGAATCGGGTGATCAACACCTCCGGGGGCAATTGAAAGAATATGTCGAAACCATCCACAATAAGAACGATGTCGTTATCTTGTAGACGAGGGGTATATTCTAGAAAGTTGTATATTCCAGTAATTCTATCAACCATAAAATCGTATTCTGTCGAGTGCTCGGGTAGAGCTCTCCCGTAACGGACTAGAGTAGGGGGTGGATAATTCAGAATCATGGCGGAGGCCAGGGTGCGACAAAGAGCGGATGATTTGCGCGTCGCGGGCAAGACGAGGTGGAAAGATGGGTTGGTTTTTTGTAGATTATTAGGAAGGGTATCATTTCGGTCAAGAGAGAGTTTCGGGGACACGATTCGAGCATCTTCAGGGTTCTCGTGAAAAGGATGGTATGAGGGGTACTTGAGCCAGTAATTGATGCTCGGCTGAAGAGAGGTGATTAGCTTCTTTCCGAAGATTTAAAATGCAGTCTCGGGAAAGAGATAAACCCACCTCGCGAGGAGGACGCAGGAAGAGAAAAAGAAGAAAGAAACATGTTGCGACAGCGAAAATCGACCTGACTGGTCGTGTTCGCGGACGGGGATAGTAAGTCTGGTGCAGGAACCTTGTCGCGGATAGGCGCCACGAATTATACTGGTCGACCCAAAGGCCGTTCAGTAGGCCACGAGAGTCCATCTGGCGAAGAGCACTTGTACCCTCTTTCGAGAGATGGATCGCCTGAACAGAGCAATGGCACTGTCACTCAACCCAGATGGAAGATAAGGGACGGACGGTCTCAAGCAGCTTGAAACCAAAAAAATCTTGAGAATGGACATTCCTGCCGCCACACGTCGTCCCGAGTAGCCCAAAGGCTGATTGAGGCTGGCACTGGGATGGGGGAAGAAGAAGCGTCTAAGGATGGTGGAAGTTGAGAGGGAAAGAAATCAATGACAGCAAGAAGTCACCATGTTGCAGATGACAAGTACACCGTAGAAGAAGAAGATGACGACAGCCGCAAGAGTAAGACCGGACTAGAGCCTGGAAATGTTTCAATGCGACCGGTTGGGACAAGATTAACACTCTATGATGGATGAATCCTTGTCCAGGCCTCTAAAGCTGTGTAAAATGAGTTGATTACCAGAGGGTTTTAATTCCCTACTTCCATTCGGTACCTCTCTCGCCCCTTTTCTTAATTAACCTATGATTCTCTCCACCTCAAGAATCCCTTCTTTCTTCCAGTTACACCAAGTATAAATAAAGATCTTAACTCTGAGAACATAAGCCTTCGCACAGAACTTCCTCATGGCCGCGTCATCCAGTTTGCATCCCTGTTTCATTCATTGGTGGGATTGATCATCCAGAGTTCCTTGCCGTGACTTGCTTCCGTTCGCCAAATGAAATGCCACGATACGGATTTGGACCCTTCATACTTTGCAATCGATGATTACCAAGTCTACAGGCCTAGGACAGTTGATAATGATCTATTAAACCCATGGGATATAAGGGAGGAGGAAACATATATCAACCGAATTACTCCAAATAAATTTCTTCCCGTAACCGCTGCAGATTCTTAAATATCCCTCCTCCAGGTCCCTCGCTCTCCTGCCTCTGGTGTCCCCTCCCAGAAACCCCGTGCGCCGGCTGTGCCTGTAAATAAGCCGATGATGACGAACCCCCCTGCGCATCCAATACCCTCCTCCTCTTATCGTCCACCATCTTCGCTAACCCATCCACAATCCGATTCCGCGCCTTCTCCTCGGCTGTCCCCTTCCACACCGTCGCAAGCACCCGCAACGCTTCAATCCGGTCCGTTGCGGCCTCTAATCCAGCAACGGCGTCATCTGAACCGAGGAGTGTCGCTATTTCCGTTCGTAGTTTCTTCGCGACTTCCTGACCCTTTTCTTCGCGGCTGTGGCTATCGGGCCCGGAATCCGGCGCGGAAACGGAGATAAATGAGGACGCGAGAGAGGTTTCCGAGGGCGGGAGAGGCCATTCCATTGCGTCGCCGAAGGTTTGGACGACGTCGTCAAGGTGAGCGCGGACAGCGTTCAGGGTGCGTAGTTTGGTAATGTATTCTGCTTCGATGGGGGGCTCTTCGGTGTTATCATCGTTGTCATCGTCGCCGTTGTTGCTTTCTTTCTCGATCATGGTTGTTGGTGCTGTACTTGTAGTGGTGGTTGTGGTAGTGGTAGTGGTAGATTTGGCGTTGCTAAACCGCGCCATTTCTTCTCGGAGTCCATCTGTCAATGTATCAGAGAGACCTATTGTCTCGCCCCGTAGAATCTCAACCTCGTATGCAAGCCTGCTCCCACTGCGGAGGATTTCATCCGTGAGTTGTGTGAGGGTATTAGACTGTCGAATATTCAGGGCGTTGGCTTGGGAGAGAACAGACTGAACGCGGGAAGAGAGGTCTGCAAGGTTCACAGGTGTTTTTCCGTTTCCTCCTCGTGAAGTGTGGGAATATGATTGTGTTTGTGAGGACGCCAGCGTCAGCGGGGGGAGGACATCGTTGAGGAAGTCGACGGGGTCAAAGGATGGGTTTGTGAAGTCGGGGTTGATTGTTATGGTTCCGGCAGTTGCTGCTGAGGATGTTTGGGTCCTGGTAGCTTGCAGAGCTGAACTGGACTTTTGTGAGGGAGCCATCTGGCTATCTGGGGGGTTGGATATTAAGGGTATCTAGTATGAAGGGGCGAGAGTGCCCGTGGCATCTTGGATTAATGTGGTGTAGTTAAATCAAGAATTACGGTTGAGTTGGTGTCCGTCCCCACTTGGAGCTACAGCCTCCTGGTTAGTCTTTACGAGTACTTTGGAATTCCATTATTGCAGATATCATCAATCTCTATAATTTTATCTGGATTTACTTCTAAATATTGTCTTTATCGACTGTCAAAGGTGTAGTGTCGGATTTATGGGTTTATCCGGTAGGTCATATACTCGCTGCTGAATTCAAAAAACTAGACTTGGATAATTTGCGAAGCGACTCTGTATACAGGTAAATATATTATGAACCATGGAATCCCTCCGGGTTCAACCCCCTAGGATCTTTTGTCCCTTTCTCTCTTCTTTGGACACAGAGCTAGCCCACTTATCCTCCTCACCTCCTCACCCACATAAGCTTATGCGCTGACAGAGCCGAGAATCTCTCAATAGTTAACTAGTTAGTTAGTTAACTAATGGGAAGCGCTAAAAAAAAGGCTAAAATAGCCCAACAACCTAGGCCATATATTCTCCATTGCCTGAGCCAGCATTAGAACGGGCAAGCTGGTCGGATCAATCAGGTTGGCGCCGTCCGTTAATGTACCAGCCGTCAATTGAGAGGAGTGTTTGGATACTAGGGATTTGCAGTGAGAGGTAAGCAAAACTCGTTTGCGCCTCCTGTACGACATCTTTTGGGTTGACCCGGTGGCCCAGCAATTACACTCTGGTCATACCGCTCAATCTTGGCTTTATCCTGCGACATACTAATTGGTATAGATCAGTGTAGAAGCCGGAGCTTTTGACGAGAATGGAATACTGGGGTTCCGATAGAGTGGTTGGGTGGCAATCATCTTCTTTGAACGTCTTCGTCGCCGTTCTAGATTAACGGCACCAAAGTCCAGCCCCTTACATTATTGCGTTCGTGTACATATTGTGGCATCTGTCATATAACCTGTGCATGCAGTTCAATTAAAGACCATATCTGAGTCGCTTTCAGTATCAAACTGACAGGTAAAGGTCCCATTTATCCTTGGCCGTTGGTTGATCTCGGCATTGGATATAGCACGCTATTTGGGTACAAGGACCTGGGTTTGCGCTCGAATTCTGACTAGCGAATGTAATTTTTTCATGCCAAAAATACTTCTTGGGTAATATTCATAGTAGAATTTCTTATAAAACATGGTTTAAAATCCCACGCCCGGCCTTTGTACTTCCCTCCCCCGCCCCCTTTGTTTTTTCACACCCATCTCGCTCTTCAGTATTTCAACTAACATCTTATAAGCCCAGTTGACACCCGGGATCTACAAACATGCAGAGTCGTATGAACTTCGATGATGTTGCATGGGAACAGAGTGAGGTGATTGAGGATGCTTGGATAGCAGGGTTATTTGAGACCGATACTTTGAAAGAAATCGGTAACTTGATCGTGAAGCACCGAAAAGGCGTCCCTGTAGAGTTATGTGACGCTACAGCCGGAGGGTTTAATGTATGTTTCCGGATGAAATTCGAGGATAGTGGCTCTGCAATTATTCGGTTTCCAAAACCTGGCATCGGCATGTTCCCTGAAGAGAAAGTTCGCAACGAGGTTGCTGTGATGAAGTATCTTCGGGACCATACATCGATTCCGGTCCCAGTTATTATACACTGGGGGACAAAGGAAGAAAGCCCCCCCGGTCTAGGGCCATTTATTATCATGGAATATATTGACTATGCCATGGATTTGAGTACAGCGCTGAATACACCCGGGCTTGATATTAAAGACCGCCCAGTTCTTGATCCACATATCGACAACGACAAGCTAGAAATGCTGTATGGACAGCTTGCGGATATCTTGTTACAGCTATCTAGATTATCATTTCCTCGGATAGGATCCCTTTCCCAGATAGATGACTCCACATGGGAAATAGCACGCCGGCCTCTATCTATCAATATGAATGAACTCGTCCGGTTAGGAACGTTACCACGCTCAAAACTGCCCACCACCACTTTCAATACAGCATCTTCATATTTCCAAGCCCCTTGCAGAGCTACATACAGAGCATTTGACCCAGCAACGGAATGACGCAGTCGACTCTGCGGACGATTGTCGACGGAAGTTTGTCGCTAGACGGCTCTTCCGCAAGATCGCCAGGGACGGCCGACTTACGTCCAGCTTCCCAAAAGACAGCGGCCCGTTCAAAATATGGTGTGACGATCTTCGGCCCTCCAACGTGCTAGTGGACGCAGACTTGAAAATTGTTGGGGTAGTAGACTGGGAATTTACCTACGCAGCGCCAGCCGAGTTCTCCTACGCGCCACCATGGTGGCTGCTTCTCGAGCAGCCGGATTACTGGCCAGACGGGATCGAGGCTTGGGGAAAGAGGTTTGAACATCGTCTGCAGACGTTCTTGAAAGTGCTTCTCGAGCGTGAAGCCGCGGCTCTTGAGCAAGGAAACTTAAAGGAAGACCAAAGACTTTCTGGTCCAATGCAGCAAAGCTGGGAAAACGGGGACTTTTGGGTCATATACGCAGCGAGGAAAAACTTTGCCTTTGATGCTATCTTCTGGCGGAAACTTGATGATCGTTTCTTTGGTCCAAGTGGGGTTTCAGAGCAAGATAGATGGAAAGAGAGGATAGACCTCCTTGATCAGGAGGAGAAAAACTATATGGAGGAGTTCGTGAGCCGAAAACTTGAAGAGATGAAAGAAAGAATTTTGGCATGGGAACCAGAGGAAGGTTCTGAATGTTAAGCTGTCTGTCATTCTTATTTTATATATATATAGTTATAAAATAAACATAGACCACACTAGTACCTTTTCCTAGCCCTAGACTATCTATATAAAGCCATTTTGTGAGAGTTATTCGAATACTCCAAAAACAAGCCAGAAAGCCAGAGATCACTACTATAACAACGGCGAAAACCATGACAACACCTAATCCTAAACTGACAAAAGAAAGAGAAGCAAAATAACACGAAAAGTCAAAATTTAGTAGCAGCCGGTATTATATTTGGCATCCCCCTTGTAATGGATGGACTTCACTCCACGCGGCCGCGTTCAAAGACAATCTTGGAACAGTCCCATACAGTTAAACCCCGCTTGAACGAAACTGCAGTCCTGTATTTACAAATGATAATTGATGAGAGTATCTCCCCAAAGCACTATAGGAATTTTGAAGGATATTGTAAAGCCACTGGAGATCTACCGCGCACTGGTCTCATGCTCCCTTCCCTGGGTGCTAGCAGTTGCTTCTACTCGGGTAGTCATACAAGAATCATAACAGACATTAATTCAATGATCAAAACAGACGGGTATCTTCATCCAAGCAAAATAGAGAAAGCAGAATACAGAAAAAGGCACGTGTCAGGCGTTGTTGCATTTAGATGTCCTCCACCACACGTGCATTCATAGCACGCTGAAATCCCTCGTTAACTTGAGGGTTGGAGCCGTAGCGACTGGGCCCCTCGCCGGCGTTTTCGGCTGTTGCCAACTGTTGCTGTATGCTTTGGTTCATAGCGGGAAGGAAGATGACCTTGCTGTTGGCAGTCTTGGCCATGGCTTGCATGGCCTCGAGGTATCGGATCTGCATAGCAGGAGCAGAAGACAGGATGTCGGCGGCCTAGAGAATAATAGTCAATATCAATCGGCCAAGCAAAAATAAACTCAACAGAGTGATTCGTACCTGGCGCATTAGCTTAGCCGACTCAACTTCAGCACGAGCAGCAATGACCTTGCTTTCGCCGATTCTCTTGGACTGCGCAGCCATGGACAGGGAGTCCTGGAGGTCATCACTGAAGATAATGTCCTTGATGAGCATAGACTCAACCTGGACACCCCATCCTGAAGCCACCTCTTCGATGATCTCCGATGTGGATTGAGCGATCTCCTCGCGGCGCTCGATCACATCCTGCAAAACACGCGCTCCAAGTACGTGGCGCAAAGTTGTCTGGGTGCGTTCCACAAGCGCCTGACGGATGTTGGAAATACCAAATGCAGCCTTATGTGGTGAGACGATTTGGTAGTAGATCACGGAAGTCAGGTTGAGAGTAACGTTGTCCTTGGTCATGCACACCTGGCGAGGCACCTCGACGATCTGAATCTTCACATCTACAGTAATGAGGCGCTCGCTCATAGGGTTGACCTTAACGAGACCGGGGTCGACAGCGCGTTCGAAGCTAGAAAAAGGCAAGTTAGCGCATTTCTCCTTCATCAGGATTGCGGATTCACAAACCGGCCAAATCTCGAGACCAACCCGACTTCACCTTGCTGGACAGAGCGGAAGGGGTTTGGACAAGGACAGCAGGGAATGATACCCAGTGCACCGATGCACTCTCCGATGTTGTGTTCTATAAAGGAGACGCTATGTTAGTACTAAGACCCTTTTTCTGACGTCAGACCCGCTATTTGGCAAGTGACACGTACTAAAAGAGGCATACCACCCATGAGCCTCGGGGTTCTGGTGGTCCTGCTCAAGCACTTGGGCGTATTTAGGCTGCAGATCAGACAACCGCGCAGGCTGGACGTTGACGATGCCAGATGGACGGTGATGAGGGCGAACTGGCGCTTTGCCGTTAACAGAGCTAGCTTCCGCAGACATGTTCAAAGGCCCAGGGTGTGATTAGAGAGCACGCGACAGTCGATCGAGGGGTTGCTGATAGAGAGTTGGATCGTTTTCTAAGTTTAAAGTCGATGTATGAGAAACCCTTAAAGCGATGGAATCCACTATGTAGCTTGAAGGGGGAGAAGAGCAAAAGAAAAGACGATGATGGGATTTAAATAAGGTCAGGACAAAAGCAGGACGTCACTCAAGTCTCCCCACCGAAACACGAGCAGTAGACTGCTTTGTAGCTTCTAGCTTCTTGGCAGGGAGCTTCAGGACTAATCATCGTTTGGTTAAAAGGTCTTTGGACAAGTTGGAAACTGAACCTTGTCTTCCAGTCGCCTTAGGATATCCCATTATTGGTCTCCTCCACCTCCGCCTTCCAAAAACCTCCCCCAAGGCTCAGCCCAGTGGACCAAAATCACAACTCTTGGTTGACTATATGTATTGACTACTTCTGGTATAAGTTAGTCAATGCAGTTGTCATTGTTCCAGGGCACCCTGACAGCACTGCCGCATCCCAGGAAGTATTAATGTTCATTGTCTTGCCAGTGACCACGGTCTGACACATCATGTGAGCAACCCCCAGCAGCCTTCCGCATTTTCTTGAGTGATTTGAGTGATTTTTTCTTTTGCCAAACTCAAAAAATACGATAGTGCGATTTCTGCATCTGAAGGTTTCGGGGGGAGCAAGCGTTTTCCTTCCTGTTGTATGGATCCATTTGTAGCTTTGATATCCGGATTGAGAAAATGCAGCGCCGAGCCCCGCAGCCCTGTGCCCTGTTAGTAAACTGTCCAGTGTCCACTGTCGGGCGCGTTGGGGCAGTGTTCCACCACGGGCACTATTGCTGTTATTGGTAGCTAAGAGTAGCCTTCATGATGATTCTTCGGCTAATTCTCCGATAGGGTCAAAATATTGCAAGGCATTGATTACTATATTCCCGATGCTACATAGTTGCAAGGGACAGCAACTGTGACGCTCCACTCTTGACTTCTACTTGGTTATTGCAGGGGAATGAGACATTTCACAGTAGATGGCACCAGGGCAAAGGAACATGCCATCAACCATATCAAGGTAAAAGCGCAGAACCCACAACGTGTATAGAGTGAGGAGTATTCTTGTACAGGGAGCTAAGTATACTGTAAATACACCAGCCAAAGTTGAGTAATAGGATGCATGTAGTTAGATCTACAGTCTTTGTTACTTGGAAACAGCACAAGTCCCTGAAACTAATTCTAGCTCATAATGTCAATAAAAATGCCTGCTTATATCAAGAAGCATCATTGGTCTAGTGGTAGAATTCATCGTTGCCATCGATGAGGCCCGCGTTCGATTCGCGGATGATGCAATTTCTTTTTAATTTTTGCCAATGCTACCTGACAATGAATCTGAATCTTTCAACACCTTTTTCTTATCCTTGCTTTTAAATTTTACAAAAGAGAAAATAATATAACACATCATCACTTCCTACATTGCTGCATACAGAGCCATATTCATCAAGATAAGCAAATACAAAGTATCCTAGCATCTACACTTTGAACTTACAGTCAACTCTTACATTGGATACAAGGTGGCTTCCCTATACCAGCGGCGCTCGTTTCACAACAGGGTAGCTGTAGCACTCCCCCTTAAAGGGTTGTCCGATATCCCAACATAGCTGAACAGCTCTTACTATGAGACTATTGGATCTCACAAATGAATTACTCATACAAACCACAGACAATATTCAATCTTGAATTCCTGAGCATGAAATGATCATCCCCTGTATAAACCCCTGGCTACATTTCTCTACCAGCACAACTTGGTGTATTCTAACATGGTAAGTATTAGCAACATTTCAATTTGAAGAGTAGGATTAACCACATCACAGGGGGACTAGAGAATACTTGCGTAATCGATGCAAGCCCATCTATATTCACATGATATAAACGCGGAAGAATAAACTGAAGAATAAGCCATGATCATCTCTGTAGAATAGAAGTTGATGAGCCTTATTGTTACTTGTTGGGATGAACAATCAATACACTCCTAATAATTAGTTTTATGTACTCGCTTAGCTGCGAACCAACGCAAGGGAAAACAGAGATGATTTAGTCAGATTTATAAGGTGTTCCCTGCATCACTATATTTATATTTAGGCACCTTTAGCCCGCTTATGGCTTCAACTAGGTGTGATAATGGGTTATCATGAATAAACTACTAGTAGTTAGAATGATGAGCAAAACATCAACATATCTTCGCTAAAAGGGGCTGTGGTTTCTGAAGCACGGTTTCCTGCGTGGAGCTTCCCCGGGTCATGTTTCACAGCAAGGCTGCGGAGGGATCCGAAATGGATAAGTTAATGCCGTTCATTGGTGTCGATCTTCGGGGTGAGTGCCCTAAGTCGGATGATATTCTGATCCTTGAATATAGAGTAGCCGCCGTGGAGAAGCGATTTACCCGTTGCATATCCCTGGAGGGGATTATAGCTTTGTTTATTTCTCAGTAATCTAAATTGCTTAGAACACGCACTTCTATCACGTAAATGGCATTCATCAGTTTATTGGTACTGGTTTTTTAATACCTTAGCAGTGTCCCTCTTTCCAAGTCACCAAGGGAAACTCATTCGTTGGCAATTATTTCGTGTCTCATTTAGTAGAACTCCACCAAGGCTACCTACCTACTGTCCGACTTTTGAAGGCCAGATCAATCGCTTTCAAAACAGTTCGATCTACCACGGTAATTGTAAAGGAGTTGGAAGATTAGCCCCTAAGACAGGCTCAGCAGTCCCGATGTCCCTGCATAAGTTAGAGAGATGATTTATCTCTTTGCTGCATAGTCATGAACATACCTAGGACCCCGAGGTGCCCAATACTCTCCAGTCTTGTTGATATCAAATTCTTCAATAAATGAAGCGAGAGATTTGGCGGCTTCTTCGGGAGTGACGGCTGTAAAGCAACCGTTAAGAAAGATGCAATGAATCGAGATTGAATTGAGCTTACCTCCACCATCGTCCCAGTATTTATCAAACCCAACACTTCTCGTCATATCCGTGCGCATAAACCCCGGATGGACTAAGCCCACAGCTATTCCCATAGGTTTCAAATCCAAACTTAGAAGCTTTCCTACCATATTCAGAGCAGTCTTGCTAGCATGATGACCGTAGTTGCCTCCACCTTCTTTCTCATGGCGCAGGGTAATGCTGCCGCTTTCACTACTACCGAGAATAACCTTGCTTCCTTCGTTGAGGTGACCCGCCTTGACGAGTTGCTGGACTAAAAACACTGGTGCTATGGCTGATGTAGTGTACATTTGTACTTGTTTGTCCCAATCTGGCGTATCAAAGGATTCGAACCCGAAGTATCCCGCTGTAACGATGACCGTAGAGAGTTTGAGTGATGACGGGAGTTGAGAGACGAGTTTCTGTCCAACATTGGATTTCAAAAGGTCAACTTCCGTAATCCAGGATACTTTAGGATGACTATCTGGTTTGCTGTCCGAGCGTGTGGTTCCAAAGACATTAATGACTGAAGGGTTGGATGCGTATAGATCTCGGAGAGAGGCACCCAATCCCCGAGTTGCTCCCACAATAAGGATATTACCACTCATTTTGTCGTCAATAAGCGGGCACATACACGTATTAAATAAGAGCCCACTATACAGTCAAATTTGATAAATTAATGTTCAAAATTGAAGAAATTGTATTAGATGAAAGCGGGTTTAGATCATGATGAAGTGCAAGATAGCATCCAGTGTGACGCAACCCCTCCGGCGAATGACGTAAGCCAATGATCCTAAACCGGGAGAACATACACGTCAGCATAGGTTGACCTACATGTCTCTATGATTGATGGATGTAATAATGGCTATAATTAAAACTTCTAGAACCTCTTTAAATCTGGAAACCACCCTGGAGGACAATACATCTCGACGTATAGTATACTATAAACTGGACCTCGGTATGGGTGCAGGCCCTGCCAAGAAATGCTGACCTACAATCACCTTTTCTCGCGACAAAGCTGCATCCCTCCTGGGCACTTTTGTAGGTACGGCTTCATGCACCTCCGAGTTCACGAAATTTGGAGAGAAATACATTCTAATTAATACCACTGATCAATATGAACATCAATCACCCTTCCCTCTGTTAAAGTGGCTATTATGGACCCAGAAACAGCTGTACTGCTCCAACCTAAGCCAAGACCAGCTTAGTCATCTAGACCACCCTACTCGTCCGCGCCGACGACGAAAACAGGATTGATGCAGGTTCAGGTTTCAAGTTCAGTTGTTCACATTTTAGATGGTGACAATCCCCTTCCCCGGTGGCTTTGAAGCTGGAGCTGGTCTCCTCATGTCTTTAGACGCTTGACCATGAGCTCTCTCCAACAATTCCTCCTTCATGTGAAACGAGCCCGTGCTGCCATCAACCAGAAAAGACAGGCAGACAGCAGGAGGAACGCTTCCAGACATAGTCTATTTCAATCTCAATTTTCTTCGTCGTCGGTGTATGTATCTCTTTTGGGGGGGTTAATTTAACATTATAGCCTGGTAGTAAGGTTGAAGCTAATGCACTTCAGTATCGACAGAGTCCCTTCAATACCAACGTCCTCACCCTGGGATCTCCTTCCGGTAGAAATCCAGATCAAGATATTCGCCTACTGCGGGATTACGGATTTTCCTCCCCTCAAACTCGTTTGCAGAGCATTTAACCAGATCCTCTCCACGCATGAGCAGTCAATAGCTCGGCAATACCTCCGTCAACGGCGCCATGGAACACTCCCGTCTCCGCTAGATAGCGAAAGAGTTTATACGAGAAACCCGGAAGACGATGTGGTGCTATTGTCGGATCTCTTTCCTCCAGCAAAGAGGGCACGAGGTGGCCATCTGTATACTTTCCGCTATATTTATAGTCTTCGTCGGCGGCAGAAGCTCTGTTCAAAGCTGTGCAATTACCTCGCGGACCGAGTCATGGACCGATTCGTGCACAGTGAGCCGACTTACATGAAATCTTTCTTCCCTTCGAAAATAGAGCGAAATGACTTTGTGAAAGGAACGACGGCGAGGATTTGGTTTTACCTTACACCATTAATGTAAGTTCAGCCTGGAACTCAGCGTTCCCAACGCTCTGCTAAGACGGACAAATTTCCCCTTAGGTTTTATACCTTATACTTCCTCGAGACATATTCCCTTGCTAGACGGGAGCAAACCAATATTCTTTTACGCGACTTTGAAGCAGGACGACTACCCGTTCCAATACCTCCTCACATCCGCAAAAATATGTATCGAGAGCTGCAGATAAAGATCATCCAAGCGCCTCCGTTTACTGACACGTCTACTCTTATATCCACCCACCACTGCATGCAGCTTTTAGTCTCATATCTACAATACACAGTACCTCCCGACGAACGTGGGGATTCAGATGATAGCTGGATCGGCTCCCTGCTTACTGTTTCACCCTTCCTGCGGATCGTGGAGTACTTCTCAGCGGAGATTGGGGACGGTGGCAACCAGCGAATGCAGCGGAGAGATTTCATGTACAATTTTCATCAGGATATCATGCAAAACGAGAAGGACGACATGAACTCTCTGGTTTTTGGGAGCGCACCCAGCGTCCACCTCCATAGTTCGGTGCAGGACGTTTGGTTTGATGTTGTCAGAGCTGAGCTAGCGTCAAGAAGGACAGGCAGACATGCTGTAGAATGCATTCTTGTCTGGCAAGATCTACCCATTATCTTTGGTTGTCCTGACTGTCAGTCCGGGGCGTCTGGCGGCTGGTGTGCATAATATAGATATACCTTCGGGGGGTTTCTCTACATTCTTTTGTTATTTTTTGCATACGGCGTTCTCAATTGGGATTCGGGAGATGAATGGATGAGCATTTTGGCTAATGCATTGGCAAGCTGGAGCGAATTTCTTTTCTTTGCTTATGCTCGTCCTAATTTTTTTGTCTAGATTTCAAACATTACTGAAAGCATTATACAGGAAGCTGCTATAGCATCCCATTTGTTTCTTTCTTTCTGTTTTAAACCTGACTGCTTCAAACAGCCCTAAGCCCTAACTATGCAAGACCCTTGGGAAAGGCGACCTGGCTGGCACGTGCGCTGTTTGCCAAGTTTGTCTCCAAGTCGCGTCTTGGGATAGTTACATACGGAGTACTGGCAAAACTTCATCGCAATTAGACCATCTTCTAAGAACTGAATAAGGTCGAACTTATAAAAATTGAAAAAAAAAAATCGCCGTCCCGAAATGTGATAAGCAGCCTGCTAAAAAGTTATTTTTTTTTATCCAACTGAAAAGAAGTTCTACAACCAATGTACCACGAGGCCTAGACCTTCATTCATAGCATAGCATAGGAAAGGAATGGCGCAAACAAGCCCGCACCATCTACTGAATACTTCATGGACCTCACACCGTCTCTCCCCACTCCACCATGGGAACGAGTTCGAGACTCTACTCGATAACCCCACAGCCCTAGATACATACGCCACACGCCTGCGCGATCATCTCACCAATTCCCTCGCTAACGTCCAAGGCTGGCAGGCCGAAGAAGATGCGCCTACTCTCTCTACCATCGGTGCTCTCAAGTCATGCACCTGGGCGACTCTCTCCCCCCTCTCCGACCTGGGTGGACAAACCCACCAGACTCAACGTGAGGACCACCAGGCCGGGATCCTGGTGACCCTGGAATACGAAAACATCACTTACAAAGCTGCTCTGCTGGCTGCGCCGACTACAAGCGCTTCAGAGCCAAAGACGAAGAAGAATAAGAAGAGCAATCAGAAGAGGAAAGCGGAGTCGAACTCAACCTACCTCCCTGTACTGCTTACACGGCTACCGAGATCCCTGCGGGAGAGCTTCACGGGGTTTCTCTCTGCGACGTTTGACACGTACTGTTCGCTGCTTCGACTACCTTCGAAGTTTATGTGTGCCGCGCTGGAGACGTACGTTGGTGGCTTGAGTTCGAGGGCTGAAGGAAATCCGTCGTCATCGTCTGCACTCATTGAGGACGTCATCAAAGAAATGCATCTCACTTTATCTTTCTCCCCGCCTATCTCGCCTGCATTGAAGTCGCTCAACTTGAGCATTCCGCAGGCCTCACTTACGGCCTTTGTGCGCGCGGCTCCATCTCCATCCACCATCGGGTCAGCTTCTGGTTCCGGCTCAGTGGATGATCAAGGCTCTTCTTCTGTGCTTTCGGGGCTTTCGGCTTATTTAGAGAAACATCTAGCTCTGGATTCGGGTATGAGAATGGGGATGGGGTCTGCTGGGGAGCCTTTTTTGGGAGGCGAGTATGTGCGTTTAACAAGGATCGCGTGCGCCGGGTTTGTTATTACTGGTGAAGGGAGGGTGAAGTTGGTTGCACAGGCGAGGGACGGCGAGGGTGAAGAAGAAGAAGGTCGAAGTGAGAGAAATCGTGCTGCGCTCAGAGCAAGTGAGTCGTTGCTTCGGGCTCTTTTGGGGCGGGGTGTTGCAGAAGAATAATTTCTTCTTCTTATATTTTAGGAATTCTCTTTTAGTGTTGGTGCTGTAAGGAGTTAGATACCATCTATAAATCTATTTTCATTCAAATAAATATGGCATATATTATTTATGACAAATAGCAAACATATTCCCAACTCTACATCATCCTAAACATACCATTGGAAGTTATAGTAACATTGATGAACATGCAATGTCGTTAGTCGTATACATGAGTCAAGTCAAATCGTACAGTCTAAACGCTCAGCTCGCGAAGTGGACCTCCATCGTGCGGCACCGACGGATCAAACATGAAGAGATTGACTCTCAGACTCTATGAATTTAAGTGCTTCGTCGACATGGCCAACAAAGTGTGATATCCCTCCACATTGTTCAACGATACCACTTCGCTCAAACATGTGGAAAACATCGCGGTTAGGAAGACGGCAGAAGAAAACCCTTGTTCCAACTTGCGCATACCGTTCCACAATCTCATATAAGACCTGCGTTCCTGAGCCATCGATGCTAGTAACTCCATGAATATCGAAAATGATGTTCTTGTTATTCTCTGGTGGTCGGATACGAGGCATGGAGGGATGAGCTTGATTAGTTCCGTATAGTTCCAGGCGACGAAGACGGTTCTTGAGGTCTCCGGTATTCGCAAATGTAAGAGGTTCTGGGATTTTGACGATTAAGGCTCCCTCGACTAGCTCAACGTTATCTAGGTGGAGTTCGGCGTTTTCGAATCGATCACTTGTGCCAGCTACCTTTCCAAGAATCTGGATTCGGGGTTTCGTGGAATGTCGGATAAGAATTAGGATAGATAGACCAATTCCAAGCGCAATTCCGAGCTCAAGAGAGTAGAAAATAGTTGATACGAAGATGAGAAGCATGAGCGCCAGCTCTGTCCATCCCCGTAAACGAATGAAGAAAGCTACATCGTGCGGGCATTCTTCGATCAGGGAAAAGGCGACAACAGAAATCATCGAGGAAAGGACGGCTTTCTGGGGTTCTTGTCAGACGTTGTCGGGATGTAAAGGCCTAAAGAAGGGGGGGGGGCGGGGAGCATACCGGAAGGTAGTACAAGTATGGCATGAGAACCATGATACAAATCAAAGTAATCATACTGAGGCAGATACTACTCATTGGGGAACGAGCACCAGTCGATGCATTGACTTTGCTTCTTCCATATCCTCCGAACGCAGGCAGAGACATGAAACACCCACCTACAACATTGGCAACGCCTAGAGCTACCAGCTCTCTGTTAGGGCTGACAGACATTCCTTCCACTCCCTCCTTCCTCTTGGTACCATCAAGTCCTTTAGCGGCAACCGATGACTCGAAAAAGCCAAGGACGGCAATGATAAACGAAGTGCTTAATGCGGTACGCATGTAATGCATACGGTTGGCCTGAAAAGGCCACTCAAATTTAAAGACCCCATTGGCAGTATTTTCTGTTGGACCCAAGATCTCAAGCCCCTGCTCTTCCCATCCAAGGCGCCACGTCAAAACTGCAGAAAGAGCAACGACAATAATTCGATCTGGAAAATAAATGATTTGCGGGAATCGGTTTTCGAGTGTCTTTTTGAGAGTCCTGCACCGGGCATGAGCTTAGGTCGCTAGTTTTCCTTCTGGGGAGTTTATACATACCGGAATACCATGATAATCGCAAAACTGGTAAAGGCGACAGCTGCCGTCAAGCCATGGCAAGACTCGATATTCCTGAAAAGAAATACTAGCTTATCCACTGTACTTCCGTGACTCACGCCCACGCGTTTGGCCTCTTCCGCCAAACCGACCTCCGGAATAAGCTGATCCACAAATATAACAAACCCGATAGCAGTGATAAAGCCCCTCAGGAATGGTCGACTCAATACATTATCCAAAAACCCCAGTCTAGTTATTCCTGCAACCAGAACCATGGCTCCAGCCATAGCAGTAGCCACACCGACCACCACGGCATTGGCGGCCTCGTTTTCTTCTCCTGTGTGTCCTTGGTTCACACAGGCCTTGACAATCGTTCCAGTGAGCAGAGATCCAGCTGCTTCTGGGCCGACAACCATCAAAGGAGCGCTTCCCAGGATTGCGTATATAAAAGGCTGGATAACAAAGGAATATAGGCCGTTAATTGGAGGGGCATGCGCGATGTTTGAGAGGGAGAGCGCCATCGGAATGTAAATGGAGGCGATGGTTAAAGCGGCGATCAAATCCCCGCGAAAGTAGGACAAGCGGTATTGGGTGATCCAATTGAAAAACGGAATATAGTATGACATATACCTGGTCTTTTATTAGTGGACTGTCAAGGAGCTATGAGCTCAGATATTATAGACCTACAAAGATTTACTGTGCTTTACTGCAAGTGGCGTCGATGCCCCGGTCAACGGCAGATTCTCTGGACCCTGTATGCTAGGCGTGGTTGGCGTAGATTGTTGGCTTTGGTTTCGAGTATAGGACCTTTCGCCGCCAGCGAGAGAGTGTACTCGCCATCCAGAATGATCTTCAGGCTCCACTCGTGGGGTAAAGGTGCCATGATTGCAGGAGTCACCCATACCACATGGCGGCTCTTGGTGGTCGTAGGACCTCAGCAATGGGGTGCGAATACCCAAGTCCCGTTGTAGATTCCCGCCTGCTGCTGTTGAGGAAGTCTCGGGGCTATGGGAAGAAGAGGCACGAAATATGTCAAAAACCCGCTCCCGCAAAGAGCGGGTCTGATCTGCCTGTAAGGATCTGGAGTCCGACATATTCATAAAGCATAGAACAAATGTACACCTTCCATGCAGCGATTCACCAAGTCAATAAGGCCGTATATGTTATTAAAGCCAGGAGAACGAGGCAAAAAGATATGTGCAGAGAAAAAAAAAAAGCTAGAGCCAAGTGCTAGAAATAAGCGGCCAAAAAAAAAATAAATAAATACCGCACTCTGCCAGCTCAAGTCAGGAAGAGTTGAGAGGGAGTGGAGGAGAAGAAATCAGGTTTGAGGCATAGCTCTAGCGAAACAGACCGCCAGATAGACTAAATATAAAATTGGAGAAGCGGAGCGGGGAGAGGGGGAAGAAATTTACGGGATGCACTGATTGATGTTCGCCACGCACGGGGATGTTCGAAGTCAAAACATTGGGTTTGGAGTCTTTGGACAGGGGCGTTGGCCTCAGGCCCCCGAAAAGATAACGATATCTATTCTGCCGGGCGGAGAAGAGTTTCTCTCACGTGACCGTATCCGAAGCCCAAAGTGGGTTTTGAGCCGCCACAAAGCGATTTGAAGGAATTGTGCTGTGATCTCAACAGACTGTCCCCGATCTTTGAACATCGGTTTCTTCGCCTTTTTCTCGGAAACTCCCTCCCTGGTTTTTCTTTTTTCCAGGAAATCATCTTGGCTCGGATTTTTATTCCCTGCCCCTGAATTATCCTTCTTAGCACCCGACAAATTCGCAGTCTTTGCCTAGAAGAAGGCGCAACCCCGCCAAAAATGTCGTTAACCAATTGTCGATTCTATGAGGAGAAGTATCCGGAGGTGGATAGCTATGTTATGGTCAATGTGAAGCAGGTACGCATCTCTGGAATCTGGTTTCGGATTCCCAAGTCAAAATTCTATACTATATACTGACCGTGACTCAATTTTCAGATCGCCGAGATGGGCGCCTATGTGAAGCTTCTCGAATATGACAACATCGATGGAATGATCCTGCTCTCCGAACTGTCGCGAAGACGTATCCGTAGTATCCAAAAACTCATTCGCATTGGCCGCAACGAGGTTGTGATCGTGCTCCGTGTCGACAAGGAGAAGGGTATGAGGAAGTCTGACTGGGAGTAAAGTAACATTTTCACTGATTTATCGTGTCTTCGATTTTAGGATATATCGATCTTTCCAAGCGACGAGTTTCTCCAGAAGATGTTATTAAGTGCGAGGAGAGGTACAACAAGAGCAAGGCTGTGCACTCTATCCTGCGCCATGTTGCAGAGGCTACGCAGACCCCTCTCGAGACCCTATACCAGCAGATCGCATGGCCCCTGAACAGGAAATACGGCCACTCTCACGATGCTTTCAAGGTTTCTATCACGTATGGCTTCCCCGACAATGTCCTGAGACCTTTGGCATGTGACTGATACTTTTTCAGGAACCCTGATGTGTGGAGCGAGGTTGAATTTCCAAGCGAATCTGTGAAGAAGGAGTTGACCAACTACATCGGAAAGCGACTCACACCTCACCCAACGAAAGTCCGTGCCGATATCGAGGTTACCTGCTTCGGTTACGATGGTATCGATGCGGTCAAGAATGCCCTGCGCACCGCCGAGGCTAATAACACCCCCGAGAACCAAATCAAGGTCAAACTGGTTGCCCCTCCACTATACGTCTTGACCAGCCAGTGCCTGGATAAGACACTCGGAATCCAGATGCTTGAACAGGCTATTGAGAAGATTGAAGCCACAATCAAAGAGTCCGGTGGTGGCTGTATCGTCAAGATGGCTCCTAAGGCCGTCACCGAGCACGATGACGCCGCCCTCCAGGAGCTTATGGAGAAGCGTGAGCGCGAGAATATGGAAGTCAGCGGTGATGAAAGCATGTCCGAGAGCGACGAGGGTGTCCCTGAGTAGACTCTTCATTGTACAACTGCCAGCACCGTATCGAGCCTATGAGTAGGGGGGACAAGGACAGCTCTAAAGGATACACATTAGTGTAGAATTTCGAGCTGGAAGAGGGCCGGAGGTCGTTATGTGATGTCGGGGGAGTAGAAGGCAGAAACGCAAAAGTTCATTAGAAAGGGTTTCCGAACGTGACACGATTTACGAAACGGGAGACGGTTTAATACGCTCGCAGGCAGAATTTGGATCAACAGCAATGTCGGATATGAGTTCCAATGGCACGAACCTCGTCTAAACGAGGCGTTCTATATCAGGCCATGGGACCTGAACTGCTTTTGTGTATTTCTGATCCGCGAATGCTTTTCGACCTCTGATAAGTGAGCTTTGGACGGCATTTGCTCTATTCCATGTTCTGATGTACATAAGCTTCTTTGATCTATGATTCACCGCCAGCGGGTCCGTTTTAGACATCTTAGTGCTATCAAAAGCTTTTCCATTGAGTTTGACCGAATATGCTTCCTGAAATTTCTAGCATGTTTAGTTCGTATAGTCCTCGATGACCGCCGAGGTACTAAGAAAAAAACCCCATTGAGCGTGCGGAAACGTCCCCAGCTCCAGGACCACCCCAAACGTACCATATTTTATGCCACTCAAAAATACTCACACTCTCTCATCCTATCATACAGCCAATTAAGTTGTCTGTAGATCTTGTGATATAATTCAGCAGAGTGTACGGAGTAGAGAAGGCATGATCGATGTGGCTGGGAGCTGAGGTGGGGCGGACACGGAGGGATCTCCTCGAATCTGATGCGCTGCACAATTTAAACCCTCCAACTAGGCATCCTTCCATCTCCTTATCTAAAGGCGCGAGAAGAGCCTTCTCTGCGAAGCCCATTTCTTCCGTTGAATATTCCCGTTGCTGCTCTGGGATCGGAATAATTCATTTCCTCCTTCCAGTCTTAAAAGTTCTGTCCTAATCAGTATGGGCTGGAGGGATATCTTTACCACGGACGTGGGACATCTGCGTCAACGCATGGAGCAACACCGATGTAAGTCATCGTTAAAGATGCAGCTTTTGAGTAGCTAACACTACGACCAGTGCTTCCTGCTTATTTGGATGATGAATTGCCGGCCAACCACCCGTCAAAGGAAGTCACCAGGGTCGCCTTGCGACTGAAATACCAGATCGAACAGGTGATCCCCTGCGAGTTAGACGAGGACTCCATCACTAGCCCGAACAGTCGAATCATCACACATGCGGTTGTCCACACTGCTGTCCAGGCAGGAGGAGAAGATCTCAAAGCTTGTGTCCCGTTTTGTTTGCTCGTTTGCCTTCGATGGTTTAAGCACCAAGCGACATTAGAGCTTTGGGATTCTGAACTTCATGAACGCCGCGCCCTTGCCTGCGAGGTGATTGCAAAGCGAATGTAATATCAATTCTCCCCCAGAATTCTTTTTTTTTTAAAAAACTCATTACTAACGATTCTGCAGTATTGAAGCCGAGGAGAACCAGGACCACCTGCTTCTCCATGTCCTGCTTAAACGGTACTCCATATTTATTAATGGAGAGGAAAGTGCCCCAGCCAACGTCATAGAACGAGCTGTGGACCTTCATGCTTTGAGGGTCATTGGCTCGTCCGGGTATCAAAAGTGCATTAAATATCTCTGGAATGGGTGGTTCTGCCAGCAGCAGGGCAATCCGACCAACTTTGTTCCCTACCAAGAAAGAGACAACACCAGCTTTTCTGCGCATTTCCGTCCTGACCGCATGAGGGCCCCAATTTATCAGAGTGTTTGTCAAATACTCTCCTCATTTGTGTACCTTGTCTTGTACACACAGGTCATTAGTTCCGTCAATCCCACGGGAGATCTGGACGTTATTGAGGGCATACTCTACGTTATGACTCTCGCATTTATTTGTGACGAGATTACCAAGCTGTGGAAGATTGGCAGAAGTTATTTTGATTTCTGGAATGCCTTCAACTCCACTCTTTACACACTCCTCGCCATATCATTCTTCCTGCGTGTTGCTGCCATGACGTATTCTCCATCCGTAGGTAATGAGGAAAGAGAGACCCTGAACAAACTGAGTTACAATTTCCTAGCGTTTTCGGGTCCAATGTTCTGGATGCGTATGATGCTTTATCTGGACACTTTCAGATTCTTCGGGGCCATGTTCGTTGTACTACGAGTCATGATGAAGGAGAGCTTGATCTTCTTCGCACTTCTATTTGTGGTTTTAGTGGGCTTCTTCCTAGCGTTCATGGGTATGGCTCAGGTTGACGACGATGTGCCCCTCACAAGAAGTATTGTCGTGGGAATGGCCAACAGTGTTATGCAAAGCCCTGAATTTGGAATTTTTGAGAATCTTGCCTTCCCGTTTGGTATCATTCTCTATTACATATTCAACTTTGTGGTCATGATCAGTATGTCCCCATCTTTCCTTCCGGCCCGGCCTTTCCTAACTCTGTAATAGTTCTTCTCAATATCTTGATTGCTCTTTATAACAGTGCGTACGAGGATATTTCTGGAAACGCTACGGACGAGTATATGGCCATCTTCGCCCAAAAGACAATGCAGTTTATCCGTGCTCCGGATGAGAATGTTTTCATACCACGTATGTGTTCTATCTCACCAGTCCAGCCTCCCTGAAAAATGCATCTGACAATCATACTTAGCGTTTAACCTTATCGAGGTCTTATTCTTGATTCTCCCTTTCGAATGGTGGCTCCCCGCAGAATACTACGCCAGGCTGAATGAAGTTGTAATGGGTGCCATTTACTCTCCCCTTCTTCTTATAACCGCATTATTTGAAGTCCGAGAGGCACGTCGAATCATATGGAACCGCCGCCATGGGGAAGAAGATGACAACAACATGCAAGAATGGGAGCATATGGCTGAACAGGTCGATTTTGAGGTTGACGATTCCTGGAAGCAGCTAGTCCAGGAGACGTCTCCCAACATTCATGTCGACCAGTGCAGCCTAGAAATCATCCAACTAAGGGAACAAATACAGGTGCTAGCCAGGATGGTCGGACAACTGACCGATGAAAAGGCAACGGCGAGTTTTATGAACGGAGAATCGAGCTCGACTATGGCGGGTTGAGTATGTTTGCTTCTAATACGATATGACGCATTTACAGAGGTTTTTGTGGGTCATTTTTATCTTAAATATTGTTTACTCCTATGCATTATCTCATTTGGCCATGTATGTTGGAGGTGTTTGTATACATTCTGTTTCCTCGAATGTACCTAGTATCTGTCACTTTTGATTGTCTTTGCCCCGCAAGTATCAGCGAAAAACAATTGTAGTATAGAGAATGAACTGTCAGCTACTACTTTACAATTCTTCGGAGGGTTCTCTCACATGATAGACATGAACCAGCACTTTGCCCTCCCCCCCCTTCTTTCCGATAGATATCCCCCATCCCCTCGCCCGCCACGTTTCTCGCTGTTATATTCAGAAAAAGATTCCACACTACGCTGCAGGTCAGCTTATCCTTGCCATCTCTTAGCTTGATGGTCGAGGATCCATGAAGCAGAGTACTTTAAGGACTTATGCAGTAAGTTTGGTCTGCTTTCAACTTGATCAAGACATGGCAAAGCGAATAGTAGTAAGAGTTTGTGTAGTGCAGATACGGTTATAGGAAGAGGGGAGGCCGGGGGACTGGGCGCGCCTATGCATTCTCTGGGTATGTATCTGCGGTAAAGTGTAACTATATGCCAGTGGTACTGGGTGAGTATTGTTTGGATTATGCGGGATTTGGTGGATGTTGACGTCTTGGTTGGTTGCCTGAGTACTGTTAGGGATAACCTGGAAAGCGGGAGAGGAAATATATATCACGGAAGGGACGGAGTCTGTAATTTTACCAGCACCTACACTGTAGAGAAAGTAAGAATAATTCTATAGTATATACATATTACAGCATCTTCCCAGATAAACAATTTGTAGTCATTAGATTCACCCAATGAGCAACTAAACCTAAACCTAAACCTGGCTTCCCATCAAACCAACCTAAGTAAGCTATTGATACAGTCGATCTATCCCAACGAACCCAATGCCAAGCTAACGCACACACTGCAGGTATACTTATCCTATTAAGGCATCGCTCCATCAACCACCTTAGCCGGGCTAGCTCAATCGGCAGAGCGTGAGACTCTTAATCTCAAGGTTGCGGGTTCAACCCCCGCGTTCGGCTTTTCTTTTTGCTATTTTTTTTTTTTTTCCCCCCCCCCTCATGTCATGTCACCACCACCAGGCAATCAATGGATGAATGAACCAATCACATAAAACCAAAACGCCAGTCCCTCCAAAATATCATGAGGTCTCTTCTCCCCTCCCGGGGGGGTTTTTTTTTCCTGCGTTTCCCCCCCCCCCCCCGGGACCTTACGGCAGAGCAAATCCGATAGAAATAGAACGATCCGTTCTTTCCCAGCAAGACGTGGGAACGGCATAGGATATTCGGGACCGACTTATACGCTGTCCATAATGCAGTCAACCTGGCTCCAGGCGGACCAGGGAAACTGACTGCGCAGCGGATAGGAGGAAAGCACGGGTACACACCGATACTGCCGAAGGGTCCCCAGGAGATACCCTATATTGACTGCGAGAGAGCGAAACGGGATGCTCCAGAGACTGACTGACATCTTGCTACCCGGAGAGGCACGACAATACAGCTGCTTCTGCTGGTACATAGAACCCTGGGAAATAATGGCACCGGCCATCCCACTCGCCTCGTATCAAGACGGCTTCGTGACTTGATGACACCAGCTAAAGCCGCGACAACCGCCCAAAAGAAGGTCGGGTCGACATTATGAATGATTGTCCCTGTCAAACCAAGGATATTGAGGTACCAAACGTGCGTCCTCTGTGGCTGGTTGCTGCTCGTAAGGTAGAGAAAGAAGCCCATGACGTCTCCTTTATATTGCGGAGCAGCAATTGATGTCCGTTCCCAGGGTCTTTGCCAGCCAATCCACACTTCTCCTGCATCGTGGCATATGGGTTGGTTCTCCCTCTGTTCCAGCTGAGGAAGCATCATCGTAAGATTATTAATATGTCGATCACCCCCAAGACTGATCTGAAAGCCTGAAACGCTTGGAAAACCATTCATTCCCCCCCCCCCTTTTTCCTTCATATTCCATTGGAGGCTACGTTGCAAAGGATGATCATAATGAGAGAGCGTTATTGCGAGGGATTCCTGAGAGTAGGTACATACCCCGCTTTAAGTACCCCAAGTATGGAGAAGTGACTGGAGTCACTGGACAATCCACGGGTTTAAGATAAATGTGATTGAAACTATAGTACGGAGTAGGCGTACAGCTACAGCTAATTAATTATACGTATTATTGCATTGTATGAAATTCCAAAGGAAAAGATATTAACGATTGTAAAGGCCTTTCGAATTCCTTGGACAGAATCACTAATCGCATACACAGAACGCCCAGTGCTATGCAGCCACTTAAAGCCCCAAACGCCATGCCATACATCAGAATAAATGAGAAAATAGACATATAAGAGGCGCAATACAAACCCAACTGTTGGGTTTGGCTGGGAACAAAAGAAAATAGGAATTAAAATAATATAGAGGACCGTGCGGCAAGATATGGCGCAAGATTTAATCTGTATGCTGATTACCAGTATACACTCCTTCAAAGTCTAGCCCGTCAAGCATTCCGTTAACGCGGTCAATCTCTCGAGTGAGATCCTCGATATTCATCGCAAGGCTGCTGACCTCGTCAAACTTTCGGCGCCGATTGGCGTCTGCAATCATTTCAGAAACTAAGAACTTCTGCTCTTCCAGCACAATGAGGCGTTCGCGTAATGCCTTCTCTTCCACTTCCAGCGCGGAGACTGCACTGCTCGTATCGCTAGCTAAACTGCTATTGCTTCCACTAGCAGGAAAGCTGCCGTATTTGATAGATGCTAGAGCAGAGCCTTGCCGTCGGTGACCTCCCGTCGATACGCTGCTAGGACTGCCGGGAGCGCTGGGTATATTACCATTAGGAGTCGCATGTTTGAGAATTTTGGGCAGGGTTTTCAAGGGAAGCATGTGGAGGTGGAGAAAGTTGCTAGCTTGCTGGTATATAGCTGTTTGAAGACGTTTCTGTGTTTGAGAATCTGTTCGGAGATCGCGAATGCGCCGGGCGGCCACATCGTATTGTGTAAAGGAATCAGTGAGTCTCTTGCGGACTTTAGACGCTTCGGCTATTTGAGTGGCAGACGGTGGGCGTTTTGGGTTTCTGTAAAATATGCGTTATTAGAGGCATAATCTTGACAAAGGAGGAGACATCGAAGACTAGGTACGTACTGCAAAGTCCCTAGGAGTTTCTGGAACTTGGGCATTAGAAGTCGAATTCCCCTCTCAAACTGCACTAAATTCTCATATGCCCTCACGTCTGGAGGCTTTCGAGTAATGTCGGCCTCAAAGTCACGCTGATCAAATAATGTTGACTTGCAGTCTTTGCAGAGTCTGACATCAACATTAACGGACCCAACACGGACCGATTTTTCTACATATGCTTTGGATACTGAATGCGTCAGCTTAGCATAAAAGTGAGGATGTAGTTCACTTACAAGGAGTTACAGTTAACGGTACTTCAACTGAACATCCTGTCGTCGGATCACCGCATACGACTCGCCCGCAAGTCCTGCAGTGATGTCTTCGGAACGAATAACTGGAGAAATCCTGTTGACAGAATGGACACCTCGAAACGCTTGTATCATCCTGCCAGCTGACCACTGTTTGTTCCAGAGCCTTCCGCTGGTCGTTTTGCCATGGGATTGGCCACAGTTTATTGGCGCCTGATTGAATCTGGTCCGCAGGTAAGCTAGCCAACAGTTGAGTGAGGCGCGTTACACGTTTTTCCAAGCGAGAAACCTCGAGCAGAGCTTTGTCTACTGTCGGTTTCCTTATGGCCTTGAATTCGTCCATTCGATTTCTTACCAAACCTAGTCCGGATGATTAGAGAGAATAACCCAGAGAATAACCCACACGAAAGTAAAATACCGTTGTGATCATTATATCCTTCCCGCGACTTGTAACAAGTCTCACAAACCCTGTACCACAGTCCCCGCACCGGCTCATGTTGCGCCGACCTAGAAAGTTTCATTTGATACATCGTATGCTCCTCACAAAAAAGTTTCCCGCATTTCCGGCAATTAATGCACCCATTGGCCGCATTAAGCCGTTTGCCGCACGACGGCTCCAAGCAAGAATCGTAGAATCCTCGAGGTTGCCAATGGTCCTTCGTTATTATGTCCTCCGGGTCCAGTGGCCTCAGTTGATCAGGGACTAAGCTTTGCGGAATGGGGCCGGGGGGACGGCTTGCACCTGTTACGGTTTGGTGGTTGTCGTTCGATTCGAACACATCTAAGCCCTTGAGTTTCTGGTTGAGGACAGCCAGGGGCTGGAATCGCTTGGCTTTTTCCATCTGGGTTTTAAACCAGTCCTTCACTTCGTCCTGGCGATCATCTTCGAGGTTTTGATGCACGTCGTCGAGGTGTCTATAAGCATTGTATATTAATCGTGGCACGGAGGAAATCAGGCAATAGAAACGTCAGTTCAAGTACCTATTTAGTTGTAACAGCGTGACCTAGATGTTCATTAGCATGCGGGTATTCTAGCAAGCGAATTAGATTCAAAGAACCAGTGGCAAACACTTACCATCTCCTCACTACAGATCGGACAGGCGAGCTGCGCCCCGGCAGCGGCCGGAGCTGCAGGAATCGGGTTGCCGCCATTCTCAAGTGAAATCCGGGACGTGAGGTCCTGGGTCTCGGATGAGATTTGGGAGGCGGAAGCTTGAGAGCTAAGGGAAACAGTGCTGGCGGATGGCGATAGAATCCTTGGTTTTGGCTGTGGAGATGTGATTGCTGCGGACGGAGAGCGAGCGTTCACGGGGCCCAGGACACGGCCTCCGCCCAGTGTCCTCCGGGACATGGTGAGCCCGATTTATGGGAGCATGGGAAGAAGAAGCCGCAGGATGCGGAAGGAGAGATAATGTATGCAAGCGCGAGATGTTGTAACGACGAAATCAAGACTAGGAAGGGACTGGAGGGGGAAAGCGAAGGAGACCTCAATTCCAGGCTGAAGGCCGAGAGCAGGTGACGATGCTTGGAGAGGGGCGGAGGAGCTTAGTAGACTGGTGCCTAGACACCTAAGGCAGAATGCGATCCCAAAGCTTATTTCTCCGTTCAAATCCATGATAGTTTTCTCTTTCTCTTTCTCTCTCTCATATTATTATATTATATGTTTAGTTATCAGAGAAGAAAATAATCAAACAAAATCTCTACTGTACACCGGGCACTTCTTCCCTACTACAAACAAACACACCCGGCCCAAACCAAGCCATAGATAGAAGTTCCCACTTCCAACCTCATACCTTGGCGACATGTGACGAATTACTTCGCGATATCAAGTGGCCGACTCCACAAAATTTATGCGACACTTTTATTGAGCGAGGTGTATTTATTAATTTAAAATCAAATGCTCTATTCTACCTAGATTTCTTTCACCAACAAGGTTGCACAAAGAATGTGTTAGATAGCCATATATCCCAAGGGTCAGAAGCCGTCGATTGGCCGCATCGATTATGTTTACCATTCGTATATACCCAACAAAAAAAATCACCCATATAGCAAAGGAACCGAAACAATCACAATCCAATTCCCAAGAAGAGAAACGAATCTAGACATCTACCTACTCCGATAAATAGTGCCTAAAGAAGAAAAGGCGAGAGAAAAAGTACAAGAAATCCAAGTGACTTTCAATCATTACTTCGCCGCAGCAGTTTCAAGCTCCTCCTTCTTCTTGCGTTCCATCTCCCGCTGAAGCTGGTCTGGACGGCGCACAGCAATGTCCTTTGGCCGGAAATCGCTGAAGAAACTCTTCAGCACGTTTTCAATTGCCCAGCAGCCTGCGTAGTCGAGGGCCATTAGGATAGTAAGAGTCATCTTAAACTCGTTGCTGAAAGGAACAAGGCGCAGTTTCTCGTTCAATTCTGGAATGAACTCTGTCGCGCAGGAGAAGGCAACACCAGAGGCGGCAACTAGACCCCAGTACATAGCCTTGTTCTCGCGGATAGATTCTCTGAAGGGACGGCCCTGGTAGTTAATGGAGAACGTCGAGATTTGCTGAATAAGCTGGAGGAGATAAATGGCGCTGTTGAGAAGAGATGGCTCAAATTCGCCCTCTAGGTCGATATCAGATTGTCTCCTGTACGGCTAGTTAGATCAATACGTAAGTGGGGAAATACCATCTGCGAAACTTACGGTTCAATGGAGTAGACGTAGCTAGACAGGTAGATCAGAGTCGCAATGTGGATGGCAAACTGTCCAAGCACAGAGCCAATGATGTAGACGTTGAAAATGTTTGGCTGGGGACGTTCCTTGGACAAGCCTTCGACAGACTGCGAAAAGGGTTAGAATCAATTCATAAGTTAGGGACAAGATCCTTACCTTCGCACGTGAGATAGACAAGAAGCAGATGCTCATCAGCATGCCACTGATAGTCACCTGGCCGTCGCCAAACTTAATTCCATCGAGGTAGATAACACTCAAACTGTAGGCACTGATCAAGCAGTTCAAAGCAAGAATCTTGTACATCTGAATCGTTGCGACGAGAGTGCAACGACCTTGACGAAGGATGTTGGGAATGGCGATAACATTGGCCAGCTTGCTAGTAAATGGTGCGGCAACGGATGCGTCTCCCAGTTTGATAGTTGGAGGCTCACTATCATCAAGCTCCTGCTCCATCATAGTCGCGGTCAGTTTGTCAGCCAAACCGGCTGCTGCCACAGAGGCCTGTTGTTGGCGCTGGTGTTGGGGAGGCATGTTGGAGTTAGCTTGTTGTAGGGCCTGTGCACCCGGGGAGGTGATGGTGGGGATTTCCTCTGCCGGGTTCTGTGCATTCTGCGCACCGCGCTTGAGTGCTTCTCTTTCGATAGCCTTCTGGTAGTGGGGGTTACTAGGACCAGGGGGGTAAAGATGAGCGATTTGAGCGGGAACAGGCGGAGAAGGTTGATTGAAACGCTGCATCATAGACACTTGTTTCTCGTAGATCTCCTTCATCTTGGTTGTCCGGTAGTGCTCGGCAATCCTAGTCAAATCCTCCTGAGATCCATTAAGAAGTGCAACACCAACATGAGCCTGCTTCAAAGCACCGACATCATTGGTACCATCACCGCACATCAGGGTAGTGTAGCCAGCATCCTTGAGACCGAGAAGAATGTCCTCCTTCTGTTTGGGAGACACACGAGCATATACCCAAGTGTGGCGGAGCAGGTCAGGAAGAGCCTTTTGTCCCTTGAACTTAGCTAGAGCATAGCCGGTAATACAAATATCCTTCGTTTTCAAGATTTCCGAATCCAGAGGCTTGGTGGGGTCAACATCGATGTTAAGCTTGTCGTCGATGCTTCGCCACACAACTCTGGTTCCTGAGGTGTCATTTTCAGGTGCGTCAAGAATCAGAACTTCGCGGTCCACAATTTCAACTTGACGAGCAACATGAACAGCAGTAAGGGGATTATCTCCAGTGATCATGACCACGCGGTGGCTGCTCTCATTGAGCATGCGGACGGCCTTGACAGCATCATCCTTCAATGGGCATTGTAAGACGAGGAAACCAGCAAAGATTAGCTCAGACTCAATATCCTCCCTGGCGTAGTTATTGATGCGTCCTTGTGAGAGTTCAGCCTCCGTGGAGAGGTATTTGTAAGCGAGAGCAAGCACACGAGCACCATTGCGGGTGAAGTACTTGAAAGTTTCCTCATAGTGTGGTGGGGTATTAACGAGCATGGTACGGATCGTTTCGGGGGCACCCTTAACGCCAACAAAGGTGGACTTGACCTTCTTCGAAGTCTTGCGGTCGTTGGTGATAACAGTGGCGATAGTGCTCTGGCGTTTCAAAGCAGAAGAAAACTGGAAACGTCTTTTGACTTGAACAGACTCGGCAACGCGAGAACCTGCCGCGGATGCGCCCTTGCATGTGAGGATATCGTTCCTACCCAGGCTCCAACCAAGCCATTGAAGAGTTGCCTTTTCCATTGGGTCTCCGACGACCTCACCTTCATCCAATTTGACCAAGGCATGAGCACTAGCGAGAACGAGTGTTGTGTCAGCTCCGATGCTGGGACCATTGCTAAGTTCTGTGTGTGCGCCATCCTTGTCAACCATGGCACCTTCGTGACCAAGAGAAAGGCCCGCAACACCATCAACAACCAGATCCTCGCCAGTCAGTGTACCGGTCTTGTCGAAACACGCAACATCAACGCGTCCAGCGAACGGGATACGGAAAGGCTCAGTACAGAAGATGGCGAATTTGCTCAAAGCAGCCAGGCTGGTGTTGACAGCAAGGCTAAGTTCCATTGGAAGTTCGGGAGGAACAACACTGGTAATGATGAGGACGCAGTCCAGCAGCAGCTTTGACCTCTTGCGATCCTGGGCAACGCCTTCTTGCCAAACGTACCAGGAAGCAGCAAGAGCGAAGACGAGAAGGAACAATATGAAAAGCAGAGCCTCTGCATTGTTCGCAGAGACACGTTCTGTGGAGTAAATCATAGTGCGGACAAGGCTGCCCTGACTGGTCTCAAAACCAGTCTTTACCACGACACCTAGGGCTCCGTTGTCAGGAGGGGTGCCTACCTTAGATGCCTTCTTCTGAGCGGTCTCTGAATCATCTATGTTGGTGTTGGGGTGGGTTATCTGCAAGACCTTGGTTCCTCCATGCACAAAAGCGTTCTTGTCCAATGCATCCGGTTCAATACGGTCATCTCCAGGTCTGAGCTGAACTGACTCCTTCAAAAGTGGCGTACTTTCTCCGGAAAGCATGGCCTCGTTGACAATAGCACTGCCCTCAATAAGGAGAATATCACACGCAACGCCGCCATCTTCCTTGGTTCGATTGACTGACATCAAGTCACCAGGGAGCAATTTGTCACTGGTAATTTCCTGCCACTTGCATTCGCGATAAACCCACACATCGTAAGGTTTGATATTCATACCACGGAACTCGTTTAGGGTTCTCTGGCGCTGCCACACAACAGTACTTTCGAACGCAACAAGCATAAAGAGCGTAAAAAGTGAATAGTACCAGTACTCATCCAACATCCACAGTCCAACGCAGAAAATCTGGAAGACAAAGAAGGGCGCGACAGCATGCTCTTTCCACAACTCGACAAAAGTGGGAACGGGAATATCGAACATGTTGTCGCCGTAATGATGTTGGATACGTTCAACCTCAGCCTTGGAGGTCAACCCCTGGCTTTGTTGGAATGTCTTGAGGGCGGGCTTCGGCTCATCGTCAAGGACGTAGGACAGGGGTGCAAAGCATTTCTGCTCAGGGTAGTAGATAAATCGGCGTTTCTGGAACAAGAACGAAATCGTTGTCTTTCCACCCAGGGTGTCCCGAAGCAAACGGCAGATCTCGGCGGAACCGGAGTTGGCCTCCGGAATCACCTTAATGAGCTGAGCAGAGTCAGGGGATTTGCCCTTGGTTGCAGTAAACAGCGTTTCAATATTGATGTTCCATTTTGTCATCAACCAAAGGAGCGACTGAACCGTGATGATAGATCCAGACCACACAAATGTCCATTCCTGTCCTTGGATGTAGGTATCATAGCGCTCGGGGGAGAGATAGAAGGCAAAGAAAGTCGGCCAAATGATCAGAAATGGCCAAACGTAGGTATGCAGTTGGGTAGGGAGGGGGTTATGAAGCGACGCATATTTGATCTGAGGATCATCCACGAGTCTTGCCCTGTCCATTGCTTTCGTTAGCTACAGCATGTAAACGGTGCACGCGATACACCGGGGTGGGGTGCAGTTTGGGGACGAACATGGTGAAACTCGAATGGCCAGAACCCGACCAAACGATGGGAAATTAAGAAACAAGCAAGAAAAAAAAGAATTCAGTAGGACATAGGAGAAAAAAAAGTATCCACCAACTCTCTCCCGAAGCTCCCAGAGAATCAGAGTCCAGTCGAGGGGCGGCGAAATGAATTGAAGAAGCCACCTCAACTGTAGGTATAAATTTGCTTCCATCGGTTTCGCCGCCAACCAGGCGAAAGCTGTTTTGTAGCCACCGATTGGCCAGCGCCACGTGCCGTGGCTGGGGCGGAATTTTAGGTTCTCCCGGCCGGGCTCAGATTTATTATCTATAGAGCCCCAGGTTTTTATATTCTCACCATTTTCCTTGATATCTTGTAAGATTCTTAGCCAATAATCAATTAAACAAGTTGTGAATAGATTAAGGTTCAAGTGCCCTTTTTAGTGTTCTACAATAGGTTTAGATGTGTTATGTAAAGGTTCCAGTTGGTTTTTATAAACATGCCAGCCTCTATTGTCACAGTGCAAGTTTATACATTCAAATATTATATAAATATATTTATTATCCTAAGCTTCACTTGAAGTTACAAAGAATGATTTATGTACATTTACACCGTCAAGGGCCCCTTGTTCGGGATTCAAGCCCTCTTGGCTGCTTGTTTGACTTGCGCGGGAAGCCTGCACCATCGTGGTAATCCCATGAGTATCCTGATTACTTAGATCAGGTCTCCAATACCTATTCGCTGCCTCACCATGTTGAGGAAGGTGTGTTCCATTTCTATTCATGCCGTTCATGCTAGAGAGAGGCATGCTCCCTGTTGTTCTCTTCCCGCCTTTGCTTTGTGAATGGGCGTAATCGGTACCGCGGAACCAGCGAAAAAGTGGACGGAGCGTGACAAGACTTCCCGCTGTAATTCCAAGACCAGCTTCGACATTTGACCAGATAGAAATGTCGGTTGTCGCGTCTACGCGATTCGTTTAGTGTTAGTATTGGCTGTTCTATATGTGAGGTGTCTTTCAGGCAGAACTTACAGAGGAAGTCGGGATCTTTGTAGTAATGGAGATAAGGAATGCGTACGATAACAGCAGCGCTGGCACTACAAGCGAAGGATTAGCTTGAACAAGAAGACAGGCAATATTTGTGTAAGATACTGGCGACGCACACGCATCCCATGCTCAGAATTCCAGCGAGCGCAGCTTTAGTACTGAAGTTCATGTGTAGTTTCCACACCAGTAAGATAGGCAGGAGACCCAAAATCAAGTCGCAGATACAAGCAAATACACTGTAAATGTAGGCTATGTCGAGGACGTAGTCGGTGTTGATACAAGTTCCCTTCATTGTGAAGCGGTGCCAGAAGTACGCCACGGGATGGCACTGGAGAGTCAACATAAACCAGAAAGTAAGTCCGATGATAGTTGATACTACGACAACAGCCCAAAGAATGATTTTGTGTATTCTAGCAACTGTAAGACGGAGGAGTGCTAGAGCAATGGAGATTTTGGCAACGACGCATGTGATAACATAGGTTGTTTGTCCGAGCCACCACCACTGTCAATGCATAAGAAAGGGAAAACATTAAGAGGATTAAAAACTTGGAATGAGGAAGAAAATGTCACTTACAAACAATGCAGTTTCGATATGAGATGGGGTCAAACCTTCGAATTTCTGACCCAAGCCATAGAAAGAACCTATCATACCACATAAAGCGAATAAGATATTTAGTATCTTTCACCGAGTTACAATAAGAGTCAACAACCTCATATAAAAACCCAGAAGAAAGCGAAACGTACCATTGCAAACACCATCAAAGCATCATCCCACCCAAATGCTCTAACTAGGTGTAACCGGACAAAACATCGCAGCGAGACAGCAATGAGTGATATAACTAGAAACACTAGGGTGACGATGAAGATTGATTCACTTCGACCCTCCTGGAGTTCTACCATGTTGCCAGCACCCCAGGATTTAGCTTCCCAATCAAGTGAATCAGTAGCATGGCCTCCGAGAAGGAGGAGAAAGTCGTGTGTTGTAACTCTCGTAAACCTCCTCGTCAGTCGAATCTTGTCCAACACGAGCCGTACTGCAGGTGGGCGCTGGGGCCCGTTTTTTAATAGAACAGAGAAGGAAGAAAAACGCCCAAGCGTTGGAGAGAACAGGTACTACTACTATTATTACTATTACTATTATTATTACTGGGACATTCTAAGATTAGCGATTTAGGATCTGTTACTGGTTAATAGTGACAAGGGCGTTCAAACTCCAGGTTTCATATGGCACAGGGCTGTCGGAGGGGGCCAACCTGGAACAGAATTAGGGTGCCGCTAGCAGGTGGAGGGTGATACCTAGCACCGCTACTGTCATTTCTCCGTGTCCTAGTTAATGATGAGTGAGAAGTGGGTAAGGCTGGTTATGATTGAGGTGGAAACAATAGCCAGAACTCTGAGGAAAACATGCGTGGGAATCACGGATGTAGTGCAACCTTACCACATCCATGATGGACCCGAGGCCCCTAGATGTTAGATAAAGGGTAACCAATGGAGGAGTGATATCTACGACTCTAAGTCTGGATTGCTAACTAAATGACAGTTGAGATGAGGGGCTGTACTAATCATTTAGGCAGCTGATAGGAAATGACGGTGCGGATCAAAGGGGAAATGAAAACGCTTGCAAGTCCGGAGTGGTAAGTTGTGCTTTCCAGGAACAGCCAACGAGGTATTCAAGGTCCAGCGATGAGATAGCGAGGTAGAGACGGATTCCACGACAGAGACGCATAGCGAAATAGTTCATCGGTAATTAAAAGGGCATATATTCAAATTAAGGCCTGGTAGCGTGGAGGCACAGTCGCGTTGGGATGTACAGAAAGCCTCTGGATGAAGAGACATCGCTGCGCTCCGCAGGCTTTCTGGCCACCACGTTTTGTCGATCGAGGATCTAGTTAGTTGTTGCGGACGCGCGACGCCCCTCGGGCGTTGCGGAGATGTCCGTCGAGTATTGCTAGTCTGGACTCTGTTGAATGGTTAGACTGTCGCTTAACACCTGCTGACGAAGACACATAGCACGTTTTCTGCAGCAGACAGTCTAATTGGTATGCTTGGGAATCGTGGATTTCCCCAGAGGCAGGATGAGAAATAAACCTAGAAAGGGTTCAAAAAAAGGAGACAATGCTTATCTCTTGAGCTTCGGATAGGATAGCTTTGGAGTCAAAAGACGAGGAAACATGAAGGTAGTTTTGACGCGCAAAGTTGACTCGCCTGTCAAGACAAAATATATCTCGATGATCCATGCCTAATAAGAACTACTAGTCTTCCTTGACCTCACCATGTTAGATCAGAAGACAACAAATCCACACTTAAGTTCCGCGGACATGGCTGCTACTCCGGATACAGCGGCGTGTGCCATGATGTCGGACGAACAACTATTATTTCGATCAACAGATGGTTCCCACCGGATAGTTGGCAGACAATCGACTCTAAGTCTAAGGAGGGAAGAGGCCGTGTGGAGCAGGGGAATCTAATCAAGAGTTCAGAATCGGATTATTGATATCAAAAACGTTACACATGATCAAAGATCATATTCTACTCTGTAAGTATTTATTGTAAGGGGAAAAGAGGCCTTCTAACAATGTCGCATTATATGGAGTACTACTCCGTACCCTGATTGACTGTATTCAATATTGATGTGTGTCTGCCAGGTCTGAAACCCCTATCTAATGCTTAAACCGCGCCCTAAAATTATTAGCCCGAGGGCCAAATTTACCGTGGTTGACACCTATGATTTTGTTAGTACAGTGGGCCCTTCTAGGATCAGGATCCTTTGAATTCTGCCAGGAGGAAAATTGAAGCTATTCCCAACCGAGCTAGTATTTTGCATGGCTGTTGTACCTTGCCTGTATAGATTCAGTAAGGGCCCTTTAGGAAGTCCCCAATCAGTGTATCCAATAATGCCAAAGGTGGGTCAGCCAAATGTGCATGCCTTGATTGTATAAGGACAGTGCATATTGTACCTGACATTTTTGGCGCGGGGGATTGATGTGCTTCGTATCGATATACCTACTCCGTAGGTAGATAAAGATTACATAGGTTGTCACAGATAAATTATCATTTAGTTACATCGCTCTGCTGCTTGCCATAATATTTCTTTGTAGGCAGGTGAATATTGTTCAGATATCACCAAAAATAACAGTGCGTTCTGGTATAGTTTAGTCAAGCTATGCAATCAAATCCCACAGAATCATATATACATTTGGGGTCAACAATATCCTTGAGATAATATGCATCAAGCTGTTATCACGAAGAAGAATCCTGGTCAACAGAAATTTACCATTTCGCCTCCTTGCGGTCCTGGAAAGCCTTCAGAATGGCAACTCTCTCCTCGAGAGCTTTCACCTCAGCTTCAAGGGCAGGTTGGACCTTGGCAGGGTCACCTCCGAGTTTAACATAGAAGTCATTTCTGTATGGGGTTGCAGACATGGCAGCAGAGAAGATAGGCTTGATGATAAATGAGTGGTGGGGCTTGAGGGTTCTGCCGTAAGCGTCACGGAATGAGGTGGAGAGCTCAGACTCGGCATTGTCAATGTTATGGCGGAGGGATTGAGCGGTGAAATCAAGAGCTCTATATTCGAGAGAAAAGGTTAGGGACTTCAATCTTTGACGACAACACTGACGAGGTCCATTAGATGGGGGTTTAGCATTAGGGACGCACCTAACGAGCCAGAGCAGACCTTCAGTAGCAACGTGCTTCTTGGTCTTCAGTTCATTCAATACAAGAGCTTGAAGAGTCTCGGATTCGCCAGGGGCAGCCAGCTGCCTGTCTCTGACTTTCTGCAAAGATGTTAGAAGTGGGTTATATATAAGTGCGGAGAGTAATAGGTTTGACCTTGATGTTGCTAGTTAGATCACTTTTAACAGGACCAAAGGCAGCGGAGCCAAGGATATCTATAATAATTAATGCAAGATTAGAATGGATATGCATGCAGCACAAGTGGTCATTCATACCAAACAACGTGGTCAGAGATTCAGCAGCCTCGAGGAACTCGACGGTTGGGATGGCATTGTCGTTAGCAGTATCGACAGGAACGTCGGTAAAGGACTTTTTGAGGGTGTCGAACCAGGTTCCGCTGGGAGAAATAGCAACAGATGCCATGATGAACTAATTGATCCAAAGATTGCTGTACTGAAAGAGAGGGTTACCGAGAAGAGGACCGTTGAGGGGAAATGCCTGTTGTCAACAACAGCTACACCGCCGCCAGCAGGACACGCAAGCATCAAGCCAATAAGCGAGTCTGTTCTGGATTTAGCATCACAAACAGTGCAAACATAGACAAACAGAACAAATGGACTTTCTAGACCACGGGGTGGACTAGCGACGTCATTGCCTTTAGCTGAGCTCTCGATTAAAAGGTACAAGGGGCGATCGAATGAAACATAACCGTTGGTATTCTTGCCCTTCAAGAATTATACCCTGTTTTATCTTTGGACCTAGCCAGTTTGATAGTATTGTTTCCCTTCCGCCACTTAATGTTGTGCTTTTCTTGTTTCTTCCCACGTTGAATTCTAGGACAGTGCCATGAGCACTCGCTTTAACGCGGACCAGCATGACGGCCACGAGGGAATGGAGGTCGACCCACGCTCTGTATTTCATAACCATCACCATGGCTTGGAACCGGGCTTCTATACTACTGACAAGCTGGTAAGTTCGCCGTTTTATCTCCAAGTCTGTCCCAGAGTGGCTAACAATTACAAGCGCTATGCCACTGCTAGCCATATGCACATGACTAACAGACGATTCTTCATCGGACCAATACCGAAGGGCTGGCTCCAGAGCCATCGCAAGTCCTGGTATAAGACGCGACTGAAGCTTCAAAATTATACCTCGAAAACGACCACCTTTTCCGCAGAGCGCGCGACCGCTCGGGAAACAGACCCAACCCCTATCAATTATCTTCCCGACGCCCCTGAGAATAATGAGGTGGAACAACCGACCCAGCATCTCAGGAACCTATCTCACCCCCTAGGAAAGGGACAGGAAGGTTCCTTTTCTAGGTATGAGGTAGGCGTTTCTGCAGACACTGATGAAGAAAACCCCGTGGGAGAATCAGCTAGTATCAGACCGGACACACGATCAGCATATTTTACGGCGAGGGAAGATGCCCCTACACCTGCCAACACAGGACGTATATCCCCAGTCAAGCCTGATCAAAGAGTGACCCGAGCACAGTCAGTCCAGGAGCGAAGGGAGCAGGTGCTGACTATACCCAGTCAGAATGATAGTAGTCAGGCATTTACTCCTATGGTTTCTAGCGACGCTGGCTCCACGGCTCCACTGCTAAGGCCGCAGTCGCAAACTCAAGTCAAAGGGAAGCAGCCTAATACGTCATCTACAAACCTTGAACAACAAGAACCTCGCTATGAGGACATCAATGAAGATGGGAATGAATTGAATGACAGACGACAACTATGGCACGATCATCATACAGCTCCTTTTTCGAAACTCTCCACCAAGTACATGTTCGATGATAACTTGCTGGACAGACAACAACGAATTCTATCTAAAGTATCGAACACTCAAAGGATGGTTCCAGAATGGATTTATCGGCAAAAAACGCAAGAAGGGGAGGCTATCAAAGCGGAGAAAATGCTTGTCCGTGTTGAGGAGACGATGCAAGATGATTTACCAGAAGATTACACCGAATTCGATAGTTTAAGAGTGGAAACTCGAACACAGGATAACTGGAGAGAATTTCTTGTCATCTGCCGGTCAACATCAAATAAGGATGCTCCCTTTACTTTACAGATGTACAAAACGCGAGTCATCCCAGAAATACAGAAGGACGGCCGGAAAGTTAGCCCCCACTACGAAATCTCTCTGGGACGAAAGATAGCCAAGGTGAATCTTTACTCATCTTTGGATAAAACAATAGTGATTTGGAATCGGTCGAAGCGTGGGACGAACATCTACATATTACGTCCAAAATCCACTGCACATGCCGTCGAGTGGTATGCTTTTCTCACCCACACATTGGGCCGGCGCCGCCCTTCTTCGCTTATTGTAAATGTTCCTGACCTCGGTGTCTCTCTCGATTTCCCAAATCCATTCGCGCAGCCTCAACCAGTTCATGGCCCTAAACAGCAAAGAGATGAAGCTACACCCAACTTTACGTCAATGGAGCAGTCCGCGTGCACATCCATAGTGCAAAGGTGTATAAAAAAGCTAGAAACTCTCCCCGAATGGGGCGAGGTTCTAAAGGAATGGTCGAATAACGAGAAAATGGGTCTTTCCTGGAAACGATACGATCGTTTAGAATGGGTGTATGGCCTCAACGAGGAAAGGATGCATGGTTGGCTTACGATGCAAGGCACCCATGAGCTTGAGCTAAGACCAAGGCAGCACTACGATACTTCTGTTAGCTACGGCAGCCAGCAAGAGGAAGAACCCAAGCCGGTCGAAGGTTTCCTAATACGCCTTACCTCTCAAAAAGGTGTCCATCAGCGAATGAATAAAATGTTCTTCAAGCGTCTATACTTCTTCAGCCAGGACCACTATTTATTTTTCTCCAAACCGTCGCGCTCCCTTCCACCAACACCTCCGAAGCTATTTCCATGTGAATCTGATATCCCATCAACCCAACAGATATTGGATGAAATGCCTCTTTCTTATGATATAGATCCCTTCCCTCTCCAGGGCGGAGAAATTTCGTGGCTGTCTAGTGGGAACAGCGCTCATCTGAAACGACATGACGAAGAAGCGTACGCGCAATTGCAAAGAAATATTCATAATCTCTCTCAGTCCGAAGGTTTTATTAACCTTTGCCAAGTGCAAGAAGTGCGCCACGTTTCCGATAATTCATCAACCGAAACAGATGCTCAATATAGTCGGGGGCCTGGGCTCAACGAGTCTGCAACAAATCACACATCCCGAAACAACAGTACAGTCCGATATAAGGACGAGGTAATGTTTGAAATGCTTTTGGACAATGGCCTAGTCGTTCGTTTTCAAGCATATAGCAGCGCAACCCGGGATGATTGGATGAAGCATCTGGATGCTCTCGTGAAATACTGGAAAGCAAGAACTGCAGCTGATACAGCCGAGCTCAAGTCCACGAGGCAACGGAACCTTAATTCGCTGGGTATTGATGAGGAGTTAGAATCTGCGATTGGCCAATTTGCCAAAAAATGGGAGGTCAAAAAGGCAGAGGCATCCCCGTTATTGCACAACATGTGCTCGTTGTCAGGCTGTCGACCCATCAAGGTATACTTCTTTTTTGGTCTTGGTTATAGTTAATGCTAATGTGAGTTTTTGAAGATGTCTGGCCTTCTATACAAAAAGCCTCGTCGCCACGGAACATTCAAAAAGTTCCATGTTGTGCTCACTTTAGGGAAGCTTCTAATTTACCACAGCTCGTTGAGACGGCGCAATGGCACTGAAGTAGCTCATATTCACTATCATCTCGAGTCCGTCATAGAGCTAGAGAACTGTTACATTTACTCCGGATTGCTCACGGAATCTGATTTACTGTACGCAAATCAAACATTCGACAGTAACCACCCCGGTCATCGGGCTTTGCCGCGTGTTTATCTCTCCTCAGACCTATATACAAGCAGTGATGAGGATACTGCAATCAGTTTTGTGGTTTGGCAGCCTTTACGAAAGAATCTCTTCCGTGCCCAAGATCTAGGTGAAAAGGGCAAAAAAAAGCACACTTTGAAGCAGGTCTCCAAGTTAGGCGTCCACGGACGGACTATAGTCTTCAAGGCTCGGAGTCGAGTTGAGAAGGATCGTTGGGTTTTGAGCATTGCCTCTGAGATCGATGAGTTGCAGGAGGGTAAACCGGAAGAGGTCCGACTAACCTCATCGCGGTAACAATACTTGACCTCCAAATAGCACTTCTGAATCTAAAAATTCGGGTCCGTTGAGAGGGTTTACAACGCATGGTGTTTATATACCCGTTAGTTCTAAGAATACGATAGACTAATATGAAGAGTAATCCGATATTTCCAACTAAGCATACAAGCCAAATCGAATATACCAGGAGCAGTACAAGGCCTACAGCAGGTAACAACCATACCTAAAGACAAAATCTTGGGTATCTCGAATATCTATCACTACTCTATGGAGTAATTATTGACGTTCAATTTGCCTTAAAAAGGCAAAATTTATGCGTAACAATGCCGTACCAGAAATCGCTATGATCTTGTTTCTTTGTTTTAGGCAGTCTATATACAAAAATCTTAATGTTCCCAAACATACTACCTAAGTATCAAGTAACTGTTTCAACAATTTTCAGACCATTGCCTCAAACCAGATACACTAACTGCCTGTGATTTTTTCTTTAGCCTAATCTAATGATGGTTGTGTTGCTTGCTTTCCGTCGAATCCTAGACCTAGAATCCACCACCAACAATTCTGTTCATGAGGGTATCAGTCTTGTCCAGGATCTGTTCGCCTACTCTGCTGGATGGTTACTGGGATACCATTATAAAAAATGAGCACTAGCATTGCATTTGGGTTCAGAGAAAAGCAATTCAGCGGTATCGAGTCGCGCATGTAGCTGGCTAAACATGATCAACTACGACGATTGGATAGGGCATATGAAATGGTTCTCTATTGAGTACGTGACTAGGTAAGTAGAGATCAATACGGTTTTAATTGTAGAGGGACTTGAAATCTTGCTGGAGTATTGTGATGACTGGAGCAGGATGGCGAGAGATATAGATTGGAGATGGTAAATACAATGGAATTAATTGTATGATTCAATATGGACAGTGACGATGCGTAGCAGAAAATTCTAGCTAGCGAAGCATTGCACTAGAGTTTGTGCCTCGATGCTGATATAAAGCTTTACCTATATATAATATAATATGTACAGTAAGTATAATACAGTTCTAGACCAGAAACCTCTACAGAAGGCCAAATTATCCCAACGAGGGACGCTCCAGTTTAACGGCCTCTTTCAAGACCCGGTCCCGTACCTCTTGACGATAATTCTCCCCAAACCTTCGCTCTGTATCCCCCTCCACAAGGCCCTTCTCCCACTCCGACCAATCCAATACCCTCAGATTCGGCCAAAGCACAGCAATCACCCGTCCTGTAATAAGGCTTATGCTCACAGGCCCGTAAGTATTACTATCCAGCGACCTCTTGGGATCCTCCGCATCCCCTTCCAGCCAGACATGGTTGAACGGCACGATCTGCGCCGACTTCATACAGGGTTCTCTCGTCATAATCCGATCCCCGGGAAGACCAACAACACGTTTAATCGCCACATGTCGCGGGTTTGCTGGTGATCTAAACCCCCCCCCCCCCAAACAAACAAACAAAAAAACACAAGCAGTCAGTAATTGTATTAGAACCAAGAAAGCGCAATGACGGAGCGAAAACATACCGAAAGGTCACAACCATCCCCCGCTCCAACCGCCGTTTCCTTTCCCAGGGCCAGCCCGCGCCTCCGAACGGCCACATATTCACTAGCACCATGTCGCTTTTCGTGTGCATTTGCTCATAGTCCTCGTTGAGATATGGGGTCATGGACGGACCGCGCACCCACATAACCTGGAGAACATGTTCTGAGAAAAAGAGCCCGATGGGGATAATGGGGGCTAAGATTCGGAGGACACGGAAGGATCTTCGGGAAGGGGAAGAGAAAGATGTGTAACGGTTGCGGAAGAAGGAGAACATAGAGGGCCCCGGTTTGCCGGCGGGGTTGCTTTGCGGGTTGGTGGGAGAGGAGTTTTGAGGCGTTGTTGCGGATGATGATGATGATAAGGAGGAGGAGGAGGAGGAGGATGGGGTGGAGGATCGTGCCTTGGCTGAATGCCGGGAGAGGACTTGAAATATTGTCTTTTTAGGCATCGTTGGAGGGCTTTCCGGGGTATCTTGTGGAGTTATGGATTGGTAAATTTGGGGATCGTTTGGTTTCGAGGAGAAAAAATCCGGAGCTGTGTTGGTTTGCGATTCAGCTCATGGGCATTGAATATCGTCAATTGAATGGAAAACCGAGACGAGAATATGCGGGCTAGTATCGCTAATCTAATGCATATGTCTAGTGGTACGACTGGAGGGCGAGGAGGTCGAAAACTTGCATGGATTGTTCGAATGGAATCCTAGTTTCCGAGATGCAGTGATATCACAAGCTTGTTTGTATGGTTTGCACCACTGCCTATCTGGGTAATTTCCCGGGCCACCGACAATGTGTTACATATATCGCTCAATCTTCACATCGCTTCCTATCCAACTAGGGGAATCTTTCGCCATAAAAGCTTGCAAGTCATTGTTTTACTTATCTTCAATGCTATAGACTTCCTGATAAAAACATAACTCTGTCATACAATGATGTTAATCGTTAAGCCGATTTTGCTCTGCCCTGGTTATCAAAACCCCCAACATACATACATAAGCAACTATAGAGATAGCACCGATGCTGTACAAAATTGACATGTTGAACTCTGCTCGAGAACTCTCCTTAACCACAGAAACAAAACAAAATATCAATCTTTTTCTAAGAATCCATCTGTCGAGTGAGACTGCACCATATCGATAATCCCGCTGGATTGCACACTCTGCACATCAGTAGGCGAAAGGGGCCGGTCAATCTCGACGGGTTCATCATCAAGTTTCTCTGTGCGGCCGTCCTCTGATCTGTCGACTTCTTCCCAGTCATCTTCGCTCCTATCATCTACGCTCTTATCGTCTGGAAAGCTCGCGACACGCGCAGTTTGGGTCCCGGCGTCTGTGCTGATTTTGTGTTTCTTGCATTCTGGCTCTCCCGCCAAGGTGGGTTCCATAGTTGGAGGATCAGGAAGTTTAGCCGCGAGAAGTTCCGGAGAGGGAGAAGACGACTCATAAGAATCTTTGTTAGCTAATTCCGGGGAGTCAGCTGGTGGATAACTAGCTTGAGGTATGTCTTGCTCGTCGGGGGGAAAGAAGAGGCTATGAATAGTTTAGTGCAAGACCCCAAGGAAAATTGGTGTTGGTAGAAGTTGCTTACGGAACCATCTTTTGGTATGCATTTTCGTCCTTGAGTTCGAAATTGCAGAAAATGACTTTCTCCAGTTTGCCAATGTTCTCCTCGTTCTCCAGAAAAGTTCGAGTTTCGTCGAGGACCGCGATAGCGGCTTTCTGACTTGGGTATCCATATACACCCGTGCTGATCGCTGCAAACGCAATGCTCTTCATATTATTCTCAACCGCTAGTTCGAGGCTACGGCGGTAGCACCTTCGCAGGAGAGACTCGGGCCTTTTTTCATAGCGATATATAGGACCAACGGCGTGAATCACTCGTTTGCAGGGGAGATCATATGCGTTGGTGATCTTGGCGTCACCCGTGTTGCAGCCATTGAGCGAGCGACACTCTTCAAGGAGACCATGGCCAGCAGCACGGTGGATGGCACCGTCGACCCCACCACCTCCAAGAAGAGAGCTGTTCGCTGCATTCACGATGCAGTCGACACCTTCTAACTTTGTGATATCACTGCGAATCAGGGCGATCGTGTCATTGAGGGCTTTTGAAGGTGACGTAAAAGGCTGTGCATCAGGGACCAGGCGCTTGAGTTTATACAGCAATGAGACAGTGGGGATCTCCGTGATGTGTCTGTAGGGAGGTGCCATGCTGTGCGGCCAGATTGTCCTCCACGGTGGCGTGGTGCCTAGCTGATCCTTGATAGCAGTAGGTGGCTGTGGATTTAGTTGAGTGTCAGAGAATCAATAGCCCTAAATTAGTTAATATGAACAATTTTACTCCATTAAGCTTTAGGCTTAAGCAATATAGTAGATTAATTCAAGGAGACTTCCTGTGTTATAGCTGTTATGGGAGGTGAGGGAAGCTTCCCCGCACGTGATGACACATGATTACGATAAGAAAAAGCTATCTTATCATGTCATTCACTCTTGGCAAGTGATTACTAGGATCCCAAGAGTATCTTGAAGAGGTACGGAGGACTTTAAAAGCATAGAACACTCTAAACCTATACCTAAGTAAGTTTTAGACTGTCACTCACTAGACTAGATCATGATCAAAATCCCAGACACTTTAATATGCTAACTAACACCATCAAGTTTAGAAAGTGAACCAACTTTGTAGACTAATGTAGTAAGATCTTCATTCCAAGTCTTCAAAACGAGAGAGGAGTATATTATGGACCTTTGGAACTTGGGATCTTTTTATCTTCTAGACTAGAGAATCAAAGTATCTTATTAATAATAACCATTGCATAACTATCGTATCTCAAATAAATCAATGAGTAGTTACTCAACTTGGCTATATATTGAAATCGACAAGAACCCCTGGGGCTTATTTCGTATGATAAGAGTCTTACTTGCGCTTGAAACACTAATGCAAAGTTGATCACTCTTCAAATTCCACAGCAATAGGATCGGTACCTACCAGCCAAGATTATATCTCAAATCCTGAGAAAGAAAGTGTACTACTATACATGGAAAAGCCGCCGCTAATAGAGGTTCTTCCATTCCAAGATCCTTGTCTATGGAATCAGGGTCTGACAATAATAGACGGCTCACATGCATGCAATAATCACCAGCCTTAACCTTCTGCTTCTCATCTCACATGGTTCCATCCTGCAACGATCTTTTTCGACGGATCATGTCCTATGATACACCGTACTTTTTGAAGGCAAACTAGCGTCAGGGGCCTACCCTACGACTGCATGCATTTTGCCAGGCAAGCCGGATGCTGGGGTACCAAAGTTACGGATTTCAATACCATCAGCTGGCCGTTTCGTGGGAAGCAGTATCGAAGGTATTTCACAGTTTACAATACGTATAGATACACGTTCTTAGACGGTAAGGTAATCATAATCAATCCACAAGAGTGTTCCACCCAGGGTGGTAAGTGGTAATGAAATACCACAGTTGTTGCGTTGCGACTTTTACTGCCTTCTTCTTCCTTGGCAAAAGAAAAGGATATACGGTCTCTGATAGGGGAGAAACAATTGTCCCTGAGGACAGCTATAGGTACAGAGTAATGGTTGCGAGGTTTGGTACTTTACACACATTAGGAATCACTTTTGTGAGTCGCACTACACAAATTATAGTATAACTATTGATTGTATACAATGTCACCCTATTTTTCACATGATTCCAAAACTGGCACCAATATTACACACAAACAGGATCTAACTATGTGATAGTTACTAATATCATTATTTATAAACCAGATCCAAGTTCATCGTGGGAAAGGAAAAAAAAAAAACTCGACAAGATCGATCCCGATCAATCGCGATCCCAATCCACAGTACCACCCACACACTTCTAGATCATTTTCTAGCGCTACATATAGTGGGCCGCGTCCATGGAAACCTAAATTTGCAGCAGGCACACACAGAGATTCATTTCCTGTCGTCCAGGACCAGGTCAATTCCAAATTCCGTAATTCCAAATTCTCGATCTAGGCGGATCTCCAGAATTTTTCATTCAGGCGCTCAGTTGCGGCAGTGTGGAGTCCTTGTTGACTAACACAAGCTCGTGGCTGTAGAACCAGATCGAAAATTGGGTTTAGTATTCAGCTTGCATCCATGGGACGAAATTGATTGTTCGGCTCCTGGCGAAGCCCCCAGAATCTCTCTCCTGACTTCTTCCAGTGGATTGAGGTGGATTATTCAACTTATAAAATATCACTGAAATCCATGGTCTCTGGACTAGTAACTTTACCAGGTTTTTACTGTGGGATTCTCCTAACTGTGGGGAGAGAACATCACACAACCACTCTGGATAAAAGGCATGTACCTCTCTCTCACTCTACTAGATACCGGGGCTGAGTTTCCTTGAGCGGATTCATTCAGCTTGTTCCTCATCCATGCAGACTTGGCTGAGTCGTTCTAAATTCTGACACATGGCTCCAGCCTCCAGCTCGTCCAGGTTGGCTGTCATGTAACGCCGTATTTTATCTTCCACATTTAGTTAAACCAGTGGAGCTGTTTTCTACATTTCTGGAAGAATTCCATGGATAGTAGTACCCCTATACGGAGTACTCCGTACACTAAAGCAAAATCACTAAATAACGAACACTGAATGGGAGTCTTGGAGACAGGGGACTCGCGGGATCCCATCTTCCCCTTGGTGCCTCAGCATGTCTTACCAACCAACGAACGTCACGAACTATATTATGGTCTATTATAAGAGCAAGGGCCATGTTAATTCAGCTAACCTTCTTGAGTGCTGAAACAACAGGGAGGAATACTCCGTAGTACTTTTGTAGTACCTACATACCTATTCTCGAGAAAGGCTCCAGGCAAACAAAGACTCTTACTGGTTTGGTTTCGAACACAGCCACGCATATAAATAGGCGGGTGTCTTGATTGATATTTATGTACTAAATGCAGAAGATTTAGCAGATCTCTGTTATTCATTTGAAACACGTGAGATTTTAACTCCGCACCCAAGATTATGCGCTGAGAGAAACTATCGTGCGGAATATATGGGTATCTAGATGGCTGAGAAGCAGTGTTGGAACTTCAAAGGCCAAATAATACCTATGTATGCACTATACTTTTATTTCCTTTCCACATTGCACTTTTAGCTTACACCAGTAGTGTTACAGGACCCAGCTCCAAAGATACTGATTAGTATCCACTCGGGGAACCATGTTCCTCCAGCACAGTCCCCAGTCTCCATAACACACACAATCGCAGTGAGGAATCGGAGGAAGCAGTCCCCGCCCGGCTGCCTGCATTTTCAGACTGCTCACTACAGAAGAAGAAAGGAAAAAAAAAAAAAAAAAAAAAAAAAACACCCCCGGGGGGAGGGGGAAGGAGGTTCCATCGCACCAAGGCAATCCATGCATCGCGCTCATCTACCCTGTCTAATCTTGATTCCCTTGTCTGCATAAGTGACAGTCCACCATCCCCCCCCCTTTAGTGTTTACAGTCTCCTTGCTATTTGGTAGAGACCCAGTGCTTAATGTCAGACACAGACACTCAGGGGGCTGAGCAACATCCACACCCTTGCCCGCGCGCGCGCGCGCGCGGAGTATTCCGATTCAAGATGGAGTCGCTTTGGGTTCAGATAGTAAACTGGGTCCCGAGACCCGATTATCGCGGCACGATAGGCTGGGGGAGGAAATCTCATTCCACTAACTCTAAAGTTAGACTCCATGCCGCTCAATAGTCAGGGGGGGGGGGGGGATATGTACTCCGTATATGGAGTAGTTTAGCGCGGCTGATGGATTGTCATCGTAGTGCATAGCAGGCCTGGAGATCTGGACTACCTTACCTGGCTGTACGAGTGTGTACTGCACCGTGCATATACAGTACAAGTAGTAGTACCTCTACCTAAGTAATGCTTTACGGGGTATGGATGCATGTCTAGGTAGGTTACCGTGCTGTGCCTGCGGATACGGTATACGAAGTACAAAATAGATTGGAGAATGACTAGTTATCATTACTGAATTACTCAGTAAAAACTCGATGGGGATTTGATCTAGGCTCGATTCAAAACTAGAACTATTGCTGTTGTGTAACGCGGGTCGACGACGATTGCTGCGTGCAATTCGACGTGTAGTCAGGAATAGGGAGTTGACAGTTGACAGTGGACAATGGACAGTAGATAACTGACTACGAAATTGGATGGACAGCGTGTCATCAGCTTCGTGTTCCACAGCATCTGTATGGAGCAGCGCATCGCGAGTGTCTCATTTCTGGAGAACTGGAAGTTGCTTAAGGTCTCTGTAGGTATGTGTATACTTTATTATGAACTGCTCCGCGGTACTGAGTTACTGATGTATCTTTCAATGATTAGGAGAATCCTTTCTATCGTTCCTTACCTCGTAGATACTCCGTACCTCGTCCCGTCACTGGGTAGATCATCATCATCATCATCATCATATCGGTAATTGAAAACAGATCCCGTACTTCCATTATGGATGGATACAGTTAGTTACATACATAATACTGTACCTGTAGATTCTCCGAAATCACAGATCCACCTCGGAACAGCACCATGTCATGTTATCGCTTCACTATACGGATAACTTTGAGTATGTTTCCATCCAAAGTTAGGTATCTGTTCCGAACCAGGCTGCCGTAGGGGATTTGGAAAAGGAATTCCAACTTGGCTCTTCCTGACCAAATGGATCCATCCATAACTAGTACTCCATAGTCCATACAACGAGTCATTAATAGCCAACATGGGGCAATCCATGCCCGCCCGGGCTCCAGTTGACTTTTTTGGGATTACTTCCAGTTCATGGGGTGGCTTTTCCTCCGCACCGAATCTAATTCTCGGTGTGGCCGTCGCCGCACTGCCTGCCGATCAAGATTGAGTGTCCTTACTAGGGCACGACTCGTAAATTTCGACACCATATTTCGACGAAATAAGAGAAAAAAGAAAGAAAAACAAAAACAATGATGAATAGTGGTTAGTTACTAACTAGACACTCGAGAACACTAACTAATACCTTACGAGGTAAAATATACGAACCGAGTAAGCAAACAGCAAGCTTTACCCCAAGTACATAAGTACGAGATACGAACCTACTTAGTACGGAGTAACGGACCGTACTCCGCACTAGATACTTAATACCTAGGCGCAGTCGTTCTACAGCACTATATTAACCAAAGCAATAATAATATGCGAAGAACCCGATTCGAAACTTGCAGAAGCCCGAGGCGTAGGTTTATCCGGAACCAACATCCGGGATGCCCATCCACAATCCGGATCGAAAATGGGAACTGTCTCTGCTGTAGGGGTAACCAGACTGATTGTAAATTTCAGATCCAGAGCGCCAATAGTTCAACAAACCGTGAGATCGAACCTACCTCCTAACTAGTAAATAGTAGATAGATAGTAAATAGTAACTAGTAAAGTAGTAAACACTGCTTCTTTACTTAAAAAAATTCCCTTCACCGCCGCTGAACCCGACAGATTGGGTCGGCCGATCCAGTGGGTCCATTTATGTATGTATTGTTTGCACTGGTCGGGATTTGAGATTTGAGATTGATTGAAACGAACTGGGTATCTGTGCGTTGTTGTCCGATCTTTTTTAATCATACCTACTTGAGGTATTCTCTTCGCTTTCCTTCTTTTAAAATCTTTTTCAGTGAGAAAGGTTACCTTGCAAAAAAAAAAAAAAAAAAAAGAAAGAAAAAAGAAAAAAACAATGAACTAGACCTTGGATGGCTTCTAAGGTACGGTCGGAGCGGTGTGGCGTAGCTCTGGCGGCCAAGCAATCGATCTCGAGATCTTTATGACAGTGGTCATCATAAATGAGAGGCGATCGCGACCAAGTCAACCTAGAAGGGGAACAAACTTATTATGTGTCTGGGAAAACAGATAGATAACTAGATGGGTAGAAAGAATTCCAAATCATTGGCGGTAAGGATTGGGAATAGGAATCTGGACGAGGCCGGTGCACGGGTACAGACAGGTACACAGACAGGTACGGAGTACACATCATGGGATTCTAGTCCACACTTCTACTACTACTACTACTACTACTACCACCACCTACGTAGGTAGATATTATTCTAGGTAGGAATTACCGATTACCTACTAACTATCTGTTTCTCTAGAGGGTTAGTTTAGTAAGATTTCTTATACTTTAGCGAGAAAAAAAAAAAAAAAAAAGAAAGAAAGGTATCCATCCGTAACTATACTTAGAGACTTATCCAAATCAGCGGTGAGAACAAGCATGGCTGGCGCGGGCTAAAAAAAAAAAAAAAAATAAATAAATAAAAAATAACAAGAAAAACCGCAACGAACGAACCACGATCACCACTCGGTCTTTGTCCTGTACCACAGTTGTGCCGCAGTTACACGTACATGCCGCTGCATCTGCATACGTACCTAGTGGGCTACCCTCACCAGTGAGAAACGGGTTAGGGAAAGCGAACCGAGTCCGAAACAGCGAATCGGGGCTCTCGTAACCAGCAAAGTCAGTGCTGCTATGTTATGCAAGATGAGATTTCGATGAGATCAAATCGAGGTACAGATGCGGATCAGCTAGGAGGTACCCGACAGTAGTCCAAAGGGTTGCTTGCCACTTATGTACAGTACCCTACTATAACTGAGCAGGGAACACACTACTTAATCCATTAATCCATCTGACTAGTGAGTGCTAAATGGAGAAATCGATAGTTAGTTAGTTAGTTAGTTAGTTCGCGAGGCGAGACTAAGCAATCCCGAATCTACGGAGTACCTAACTAACGTATTTACCAACTGAATCAAATCCTGACTAACACTTAGGTAATAACTAGTTAGTTAACTATTGTAACCCTTGATTTAGGTACAGCGGACAATGAAATCACGATCCAACCAAATCTCGCTCTTTCCCGGCCGGGACGATCGACTCTCCCGCGGGGTACCGAGTCATAGTGTACCGAGAGAAAGTTCTGGATCTGGTTGAAAAGAACTGGGAAAGGTCCACGGTTCTAGCGCGTGTGCGCATGTCTAGTCGGGCTCTGATTGGTGTTGACGGGATCTACAGTACATTGTATTCACTAGTAGAGTAGTTACAGTCTTGATGAGCCTCTTCTCCCATGTCCGTGTCCTATACATACTCTGTAGAAAAAGACTCCAAGAGGGGGTGTTTCCTCGCCACGACGCCGGTGGCCACTACTACATCTCGATTCTCAAGAGATCTCTTATAAACTAGTAACTAGCCTCTACGGTTGCTACGTGGCAAGAAAATTGATATTTCTTCAAATTCTCACATTTTATTATTTTTCGTCTCATTTAGTCAAACAAAGTACTATCTGGTTTCCTGATAATGGACGTGATGGCATGATAAATCATATGACACCTCTTGTGTTCACCGATCCCGGAAAAGAAGCAGGACGGGGATAAGAAATGGGTATAATTGCAAATCAGAACAGCAGCAAGCGTAGGAATCAAGGCCAACGAGGCGAGCAAAAAAGAGATAGGCAACCAACAGATGTCCCACCGCGTGCCTCCCAAACAGAACCGGTAACTACCACAAACGAACGAGTAACAAGATCATGGAAAGTCTATCCGCATGCCTTTTCTCACAACATCAAGGGGTATTAAGAAGTAATTCCAGAGACAGGTTAAACACTGGACAGAACAAAATCCATGTGTCGGGGAAGATTCATAGCCGCAAAACCTCTGAAAAATAAAAGGAAAAAAAAAAAAAGAATGCCATACCCTGAAAAAATCAACGACTATCATATCATGTCCAATGAAAAAGATCAAAGTGAAGAGCATTGGGAGATGATAATCCGAAGCTGAAAGAGGACTCAGAACGCCTGACCCTTCTAATCCCAAAGCCGTTTTCAACGCCACGTGAATGAGTAGGCTGACATTTTAATGACTCCCTGGCGACGCAGAGTCAAGGGCCGTCTTAGGCTTGAGGTTGGAACCAAGGGCAGCCGCCTTGTTGGCACCCATCTTGCGCGTCAACTTGGCATAATGCAAACCACACGCATTGCACAGGGTACGGGCACCATCAGGACCCCGCCGCCATTCAGGTGTTTCGGCTCGGTTGCAACTGTGGCAACGACCAGGAGGGGCAGCTTTCTATATGAGAACTCCCATTAGTGATGGTGAAAAGAGATACGGGTAGAGGATGACAGGAACAGCCGGACTAGGCAAAAGAAAAGGATATAAAAAAAAAAAAAAAAAAAAGGAAGGGGGGGGGAGGAAAAACATACCCCACGTCTTTTCTTCGGATCTGGGCCTGCAAATCCGCCACTGCCCTTAAACTCCTCTTGGTACATCGCCATATGGTCATCCTCATGGGCTCCCGCAGGCTTGAAGGCCTTTCTTTGGGCCATTTGCTCGGCTAGAGCATGCTCCTGGTTCAGGACCGCGGTACGAATGCGCATCAGAGCATCCTGATTTCGCCGCTGAATATTAAGCATCTCTTCCACTTCCTGGAGAGATGGCAAAGATCCCAATACAGGCCCGGAACGCTGAGTTTGGTGCGCTCTCGCAGCGTAGTGTCGTGAAAAATCCAGAGTTCGGGTGCTCATATCCGCAATCTGGCAAAGTTAGCCCTTGAAATTCTAAATTATAGAATATTGACCAACCTCATTTAGTGACGTTTCTACATCGTAGACATCCAAATGGCGCTTCATAGAGTCGTTTTGAGGCTGTCCAGGAACAGAGCGGCCAATTCCACCTTTAACTTCATCGACGCGAGTACCTACATAAGGCCGCGAGTCGAAAGACGTAGCTGGGTATGCCGGCGCGCCTGGAGGAGGTTGTGATTGAAACGAAAATGGCTGCGAATAAGCACCATAACCGTTTGGCGAGGCGACACTACCCGCGGACGTAGGAGCATTGTAATCATATCCGGAGCCAGCCTGCGACCCAGATAGAGAAGTAATCCCAGTCTTCGCACTTTGTGTAGGCGACTTCCCCGAGCTAAGGGATTGAAGTGAAGGATTCCTGGAGTCGTGTGTATTGAGGGATGCCAAGCTTGATCGTGATGCTTCCGTTTGGAGTTGTGACTGATGTGAGAGGGCAGATTCCCGCAGGAACGAGCCTGTCGGTACTCCGTTCGAAAATGGGTTGGGAGGGCCCGATGGACCTTCGCCACCAGGGCGACCGACAAGGCTTGGAGGGAGCGAATGCGGAGGTGGTGCGCTGTGTGATTGTTGAGGGGGCGCGGAGGTTGGTGGGGGAGGGTATGGTAAAGGATTATCGTTTCCTAGCGCTTCATGAATAGAGGGAAGTGACTGTCGAGGTGGTTGTTTTTCTTTATCATCTTCGAGGGCGCGTCGCGAATCTGGAGGAGAGATGTACCCAGTTCCTACACTTGCAGGGGTTGTCGAGTAAGAATAAGGGGGAGGTTGGTTTGGGTACATTGTTGTTGGGCTAAGGAGGGGCGTGGGGGATGTGATAGAGCCTCTTGCAACGGCGGGGTGTTTCGGAGGATACCCAGCTCCGTCCTTGCTTAGGAAACCGATAGCGGGAAGATGTTCCCTGTGAGAGATAAAAGAGTTAGTAAATTCATTGTGCGACGAAGATTCAAGCGAGCTTTTGATGTACCTGTGTCGATGTCCAGCTTCGAGTGACCCCATCACTCCAGTCAAGTAGTGTTAAGTCGACAAGCGATGGACCGTCCCCAGCGTCATCAACTGTAGCAAGACTCTTGTTATTCAGGGGGGTGGAGGCGTTGGGATGTTCACAGAGATGAAGTCGGTTTCGCAAGATGAAGAAAGAGTCAAGGTGATATTGGATGGATTGTCAAGGCAGACGATGGTAGCGAAACTTTGTCCTGGGAGCAAAAGGACGGTATCCAGCACAAGCCTTACGAACAACCAAACCACTTCGAGTCAATCAAGCACGGAGCCTCTAGGAGTTAAGTAAAGGTGAAATTAAATAGAGAAAAAAAAAAAAGATTATCGGTGCCACTTGCTTGAACCAGATTTGTCTGGGGTGGTGGCGGCTGTGGGGAGTGAAGAGAGATTATATCGGGCGAGATGCGAACAGTCGGACAGAAAGCTTCTCTGGGTCAACCGAGAAAGGGAACAAGCAACTGAGCACGGCACCCTGAGGCCAACACAGCTGATTGGGAGTAGACAACTGTGTGGGAAAAGTGGCGCCCCGATAATCAGGCAATCTGCAGGCGATGCGATCGCGATTATAATACCCGCAGTGGTCGAATACAGACAGACCCTTGGAAGGAAGGTAAGATCGAAAAAAAGTACGACAAGCACACGCAGCGTGCAGAGAACAGATCAGATCGGGACGGCGCTTGGAACAACCATCTGTCTAAAGCCGAGCTTGCGCACCAGAGCTGAAATAAAAATATTAACGATCAGATTTTTGACCTAGATTCACTCCAAGGTTGATTTGACAATGGTTGAGTTTGCGGGCGGGAAGAGAGCGGCGGAGGCGCAGTGCACGCAAGGGATAGAGATGAATGCGTCGCGTGGAAAGGGCGGCGATGAGATGGCCGTTTTTTTTCTTTTTGTTTCTTCGTTCTTGCTTTTAACCCTTGGTAGAAGTCTCTCTGTCTTAATAGGTAGGAATTAATCGCGATTCGAGCCCAATGAAAGGAAGTCAATCTTTTGTAGATTGGAAGATCAGAGGGTATCCCGAGATAAATATGTCAAAGGGATTTCGGAGTTGGGGGTGGATTACAAATGGGGAAGGTGACGGGATCGAAGATAATTCGGGAGGAAAGGAGGTATGTGTCTTTTTTTTTTTTTTTTTTTTTTTTTTTTTTTTTTTTATTTACTTGCTTCCGTTGGGAATGCAAGAAATCTCAAGGGCAGGATAGAGAGGGAGGGAGAAAGAAAGAGGTAGGAGAAGGAGGAGGAGGAAGATACCTAATGAAGGTGGGAAGAGAAGCCAAGGTGATGGCGATAATAAGAAGGAGGGAAAAAAGAGCACCAACTGTCGACAGTAACTAGTCTTGGTTATTATAATAAAAGAAAAGAAAAAAGAATAAAAGAAAAGAAAAATAAAATAAATAATAATAATAATAATAATCAATAAAAATAATGATGATGATGATGGTAATAAAAAAAATAGTAAAAAAAATAATAATAAAATAACAATAAAATAAAATACTGATACCCAGCAAACTATCTTAGTTTGACCTGCTAAGAGACGATTATTCCAAAACCACCCCAACCAGGCCCGCACACACTTATGGAGTTCATTCTCATGAGAGGAAGATATGGAAAGATCCCAACAGGAGGTGGTTAGAAAAACTACCTACTCTTGTAGGTACATCAGCCTGAGGAAGGCTAAAGCAGATGAGCTCAGGCCTAGAAAAAAAAACACAAAAAAAACACAAAAACACACAAAAGAAAAAGAAAAAGAAAAATCCCCCCAAAAAAAAGGAAAAAGAGAAAAATCAAAGACAGTCAGGACAGACTACCACCAGATCGTCGAATCATACTGGCAGTCGTGACCAGTTTAAAGTTACGGCGAATTACAGAAGCTTTACGGGCTGCGAACTGCGGATCATCGAAGAAGTGTGGAGTTGAGTTGGGATCATACGGGCGATGTGCGGATATCTTGGTGGGGAGCGATGGAGCCTTACTAAGTTACTACTAGGGGTTGTCCCTGGCCTGAGGGGAAAGAAATACTTTTAAGAAAGTACTACTAGTATCTAGTACTCCATCAAGTACATTACTGGTATTTAGGGTATTTTGGTTTTACAGTATTCTGTGTATTTTGTATATTTCCATTATACCACCAGTGGTCACTGGTCAGTGGATTTGTATCCCGAATACTGTACATATTCATTTATATCTACTGAGCAATATCTATATTTTTATATATGATTTACAAAACACGAAATAATTCTGGAGCTTTCCTATACTTTTTGTGGTTTCATGGGGAGTAAGAGTTACTATAGTGTATCAGTATTGAATACAAGTACAATACACCGTTAGATTTGGAGCATCTTGCCATCTGGGATCCAAATTGAAACAAGATTTACCAAAGAAAGAGGGGGCTGGCCGTGGTCACGGTATGTAAATATTACCACCAGAACTCGACCTGGACTGTGTAGCGTGGTCAACTTGTATGGATGCTGTACGAAACGCAAAAAGGAAAGAGCGGGGCGTTTTTTTTTTGCGAGGGTTAGAGCAAAATACCTAGTCCTGATAAATGAATAATAATGATTATTATTATTACTATCATCGTCATCATCATATAATAATAAATACTACCTAGGTATGATAACCAAGTCCTTCAGATCCCTTATTAGGTCATATGCCAAAAAAAAAAAAAAAAAAAAAAAAAAAAGGGGAGGAAAGTATCGAGATCCATAGATCGTACGCTACACAAATTAGGGGAACGGCTCACAGACTTTAATTAAAGCAGAAAAAGGAAAACAGGGAACGAGACTAGAGCGCGGGAGGATTTGGTATTCGTTGACTAAGTCCCAAGCCCGAGTCAGTGGGCACTCACTTACTTATTCTACCTACGGAGTGGTAGGAGAGTCGAGACTGGGAATTGGAAAAGGATAACTACGGGAGGCAAACCTGAGTAATTAATTCCCTATTCCGGATATTGATGGGCCCCTCCTAAATATCTACTTACATGAATGACTTCGTTACAGAAAGCAATTTTAATTTAATTTAGCATACATACCAGATCTAAGGTTGTTTGTAAAATGAGTCAGGAATGAATAAATAATGTCTGTCGAAAGCTCCGGAATCCTCCCACAGAAAAGAAACTTATCTAGCTAACTACCATTAGTAGTACCTAGGTAAGCAGCAGCAGCAGCAGCAGCAGCAGTCGTGTGTCTTCCTTTTCCCTCCCCAACGTAGTGGTGGCTTTTTCACTCCGATAACCTCCTTCCGTCACGTAGCCCAGCTACTGCATGATTGCATGGCCATCCAGCACATACGTTAATGCATGATCGTGTGGTGGAACTGGAAGACCTCCGAATGGCCAATACTTATAGGTATATCTGTACGACAACTAAAAGTACAGTTATATCGAAAGTCCAGTCCGATTCAATAGACATTTCGGGGCGCATTTTCTTTGCCTTGTCCAGCTTTGCGATCCAGTGCGAACTAGCATGGCCACATAAAGACTGGCAGCAGGTCTGCGACACGAGAGTTATAGTGCGATCTTGGTACTGATGAAAAACAGTCGTCAGTAGGAGTACAAGGACCACGACAACACATTTACAAGTTTTTGATTCTTACGTTGAGGTAGAGCCATCATCATGTGAAGTTCAAGTGTATACATACCTACCTATTTTGTAAAAGATGAAGATCCTCGTCATTCCTGGGTCCCTCTGCCCTGTATCGTTGAATGCAAGAAGAAGGGCGCAAGCTCAGCTGAAGTCAAGGCCCCAGAGGATGTAAGCTAAACGAAGGATTTCTACCTCTCCTTGGCCCAGATCTGGAAACGATCGCAGTGGAGAAGCTGGATCGCGCATCAGCAAGACACACACAATCGCGCTAGTCATGTCCATCACTTCTTGCAGTTAGCCTAGAAAAACATCGGCCGTTGGAATCGTGACTGGAGGACATCAGCCGGCAGTGCAGCTCACCACTAAGAAATTAGAACCCGGCCGAAGTGGCTGCAGTGATAGCCTAGATCCCTTCCTGCAAGAAGAGACGGATCTTACCCTTTCCTATCCTTCCATCCTCTAGTCAAAGGGAAAGTGAAGGAAGGAAGGAGGGGTTAGGGGAAGCAAAGAAAAATGAGACAAAACCAAAAAAAATGAGGTTCAGATAATAGCCCAGGGATGAAGGATACTCCCGAGTACCCATACTTGGGTGAATTGTTAATGTTCCATGGTACGTTTACGACGCTCCCCGCTTTCCCTTGCTTGAGATCTCGGGATAGTTAGTCGTGGTCGCATTGGCATTATTCATGATCGCGATCGCCGGTTCCTTTTTCTCGGTCTCAGTCACAACCGACCAGAAATTGTTTTTCTCCGTTTTCTTTTTTCTTGGGTTATCTATTTGCTGCTTCTTCGGCCTTGTCTTTCCTATCCCGTTCCTTCTTTCCTTCTAGTGAAACATCCTCCTAGGCGTGTAAGTCTAAGATGATCAGCACTGCTGGTAGCATCTTCATCACACACTCAGGACATGCTGTCTAGAAATGGAAACTGCCATCGACGCCTAGTCCAGGTACGGAGTAGTTGGTATCGCCGTCCATGCTACGTATCTACCTACCCTCCTATTCTCCACACCCAAAACCATGCGAAGTCAAATAAATTCCTTTGGAGTCCTCAGTAGGAGGTCAGCAGAAGTCAAGATTTCTCGAGATCTTGCTTAGTCACAACACTATCTGGTCGTGAGTTAGTTAACTAGTTAATTAATTTAATTTTCTGGATAATAAATAATACGACGAACAGGCCACGAAGAAACGAGAAATTTCTGACTCACCGGACACCCGACGCACATCCTGACCAGTGCTACGGGACATGGGTGTGTGCTTGACGCAAATGAATGGCCATAGCTGCTACTCAGTGGTCAAACTTTGAGTTGTTACCATTTCTGGCCGAGTGCGCAGACTCCGATGTATGGGAGGTGCATCTCCGCTCATATGTGGTGCGCACATTGTACATATTACATAGGACTACGCGCTACCAAAT